TACTGTTCCTGATCTCCCTCTTGGACTCATCACGTCTGAATTGTTTACTGTTCCTGATCTCCCTCTTGGACTCGTCACATCTGAACTGTTGCTGTTCCTGATCTCCCTCATGGACTCATCACGTCTGAACTGTTTACTGTTCCTGATCTCCCTCTTGGACTCATCACGTCTGAACTGTTTACTGTTCCTAATCTCCCTCTTGGACTCATCACGTCTGAACTGTTTACTGTTCCTGATCTCCCTCTTGGACTCATCACGTCTGAATTGTTTACTGTTCCTGATCTCCCTCTTGGACTCATCACGTCTGAATTGTTTACTGTTCCTGATCTCCCTCTTGGACTCGTCACATCTGAACTGTTGCTGTTCCTGATCTCCCCCTTGGACTCATCACGTCCGAACTGTTTACTGTTCCTGATCTCCCTCTTGGACTCATCACGTCTGAATTGTTTACTGTTCCTGATCTCCCTCTTGGACTCATCACGTCTGAATTGTTTACTGTTCCTGATCTCCCTCTTGGACTCTTCACATCTGAACTGTTGCTGTTCCTGATCTCCCTCTTGGACTTGTCACATTTCATGCAAGTTTTTCTCAAAAATGCTGATGGCAGGTCTTAGATAGTACATGTAATTATTTTTGATTCAAAATTTTATAAACTCAGGCTGATAAAGAACTTGACATATTGTATAGACACTTGTCTATTTCAAGGCATGATGTTGCCCTTTAGATGTCTTTTGATTATATTTGTTAATTGGTTGCTGCCTTATTGACATTTACCCCATATATTCTATGTTGTTACTTATGTAATTATATTGCAAACAATAGAAAGCTTTTTTGTCATCCATGCCATAATTACATCACATATTAAGTTGGACTGGAAGCCACATAGTTATATTTGTTATATTTGTCCTTGGGTTGCTGTCTCATTGACACTCTTCTACTATGATGTTACTGATGATGTCATATTGCCAACAGTAGACATAATTTTTCCTCACACCCATACCAGAGTGGGAGGAGAGGTGTCATCTTGAATTCTTGAGAAAAATGAATCTTAATTCCAGAGTCCAGTAAGTGTCAATCACGAATTACCTTAAAAAAAAAGGTTCATACTGATGCCCTGAAAAAGGTCCTTTAGCCCCTCAAACCATAACAAAAATCATGTAATATGTTAGTCTGGAAACTGCATGCATTCTGCAATAATACAGGAAGTTTCTGAATAATTATATTTGATATTTTCTGAGAATTTAAAATACACATAGACTGACTAATTTTATAATATAACAGTATCTCATATTTGCTGAGTGGATAGTTTCTTTGTTATGAGATTATAACAGTTAGCAAGGAAATTAATGTCCCGGGATATCGGTCTACTGTATAGTTCACTTAGTTATATTAGTGAAGAAGTCATGTGTTAAACAATTGCATGTTAAGTTACTACTTTATTTGTTGTATAGTATACCATGAAGAATTATCTGAAATGAAATTGATGACATTTTGATGAATTATTTAAACATTTTTCTTGATTTAAATGCTACAACTGAATAAAATTTATTAATGGTCCAGCCATTATTTGGTGAGGTTTTCATACTTTAAGTTAAGGTTTAAAATTGACCCATCATTGATTTGGAATGAGAAATCAATAGTAATTGCTATTTATTAAGGCTTATTTTGGTGCAGACTTTTGTTATTGATCATAAAATTTTCACGATTGGACATTTTTACAATAGTTTAATTATAGATCAGTCTCAGGTACTGTACATTGATTATAGTATTATGAAGTTTCTAGGTTGTAAATACTAAAGTATTTGTATCTTGATTGTTGTATTATGATGTTTCTTGGTTGATAATTCTGTGGTATTTTGATATCCAACAGGGGCTTATTGTCAAAAAGATCATTTAGTTAACAGTTGAAACTTGAAGTGTTTTTATTTTAGCAAGTTGATCTTAGAGTTCTTTATGTGTTTTATTGGTTTCGTTTTTTCAAATAACTTTTTGATTGTCATATTTTAAGTTTGAATGATAACTTATAGATGTCAGGGTTACTGTAAATGATAGCTCGTACTAACAGGAACAATGTACAGAAATACCCAGTAGATTTCCTACATTAAATATTTTATGCTTCATCAGTAGGCAAACTTCTATATTGGTCTGTACACCTTTTATGCTGAATCTTAAGACCTCAATCAGAAGACTTTGGGGATCATTTGATAAAGTATATAAATTGTTGTTGCTCTATGTCAGGACTTTATTAGGAAAACATCTTGGTATGTACCGTATATTGAATACTTTGTACTCAGTCAAGAGAAGTTAACAGCAGGTCAGTGAATACTTTGCACTATCTCTGAACTAAATTAAGTGGTGGTGTTAACTAGTTTTTGAGCAGTCAACTGTCATTCTTTTAATATCTAGTAGTTAAAAGTTACATAGAAGAATATTGGTGAATTGTGTATGCCCTATCGTTTGACCCACAACAGAAAGGTTTTGTGGAAAGGGTCAAGGCAGGTCACATACATACATACTGAAATTGTCATCCAAGAATGCAATAATGTTTTTAACAAGTTACCATTTGTGTTTCTATTCAGAGTTGCCTGCAATATAACTAGCTGTAATGAGCTCATTTAGTTTAAAAAAAAAAAATATTTTGAAAGGTTAAATATTTTAGAATTATGTAACTTGTATAAGAAATATCCATATTTGAAGAAAACAAAAATGGGGTGATAGGAAATATTTACATATTACTATTGGTAGCATCAATTTAAAGGCCAACACCTAAACGATTTATTTATGTATATATATTCCTATGGAATGACATCACTTTTATAAAAATTTAAATTATATATGATAACTGCTGTAGAAATTGTTATTTAATGGGAAATTCTGCAAAGCTTGTACCAAAATTTGCAACCTTGTAACAAGATAGAATTGCAAGTGGGCGGTTTTCAATTAAAAGTCATTTTACAAATCTTTTGAGATCGTTCAGATTGTACAATGTTGTGTATTCTGTACATGAAATTATTTTCTTCCTGAAGCATTTTCTCACATAATGCCATTGGAATGAGTTATTATATTACACAATATTTTGACTGACATTGCAGGAAAATTATAATTTAATGAGTTTTTGACATAGGAAATTTTCTATTTTATGCTCTGATCATATTTGTATTTTTTCTATGGGGTGTTGTAATTTTGAGAACATCTTGTCAGATCCTTAGTTCTTTATCTTTATTATAACAAAATTAAAATTAAATTCAAATCTTTTTGCTGTGGTAGATCTTAAAGGTGTTGAATTTATCTGTGTATAAGATATATATGAGAAAAATGTCTGGTTGACGAAACCATTAAAGTATTAAATATATCATTCTTATATGAAATACCTGAAGATTTCTTCTAAATATGAATGTAAAATGTTTGCCTCTACTCTACATACAATTTTCCCCCAGTGACAGTCCAAATTTCATAATCATCATTCTGTTCAAACCAATTAACAGAATTTGCCCATTTAATTCAATAGAATAAATAAGGAGATATGATATAATTGTCAGTAGACAACTATACATTAGAGACCAAATGATGTAATGTAAGAAACTATGGATAACATTACAGCCTTCAACAATAAGCAAAGCCCAAACCATATAGTCCACTATAAAATTTCATGAAAAATATTCTGACATGAAAAAATGTGAAAAAATTCAGCCAAGAAAAACAAGTCTGATTTGTTGCAAAAAAAAATAAATGAAAAAAACAAATATGACTGACAGCAACTGACAACAACCACAAACAGTAAATTTGTTCTTTCTCTGATATGCATGAAACATTTGTCACAGGACATTCAATGAACAACAATCAAATTAGTATTAAAATATAAAAAGAGGATCTTAGACGTTGGATTAACCAGAAAAAAGGCTTTTAAGTGTCTGTACATTAATTGGTGTGTGTTCAACCAAAATTCAATAGAACCTATGTCTTTTTAACAGATAAAAAAACAGGATTTTAAATAAACAAATTGAATAACACATGAAGTATCACACATACAGTAAGTCTACTTATTGACCTAAATAGCTATACATATAAGATTTACATTTATTACTTTCAAACAAGTTCTAAGCACAACATTCTAAATATAGAAACGAAATCACATGTTGGGTGGACTCCTTAATATTTGTGTCACTACTTTAGAAATTATGAGTAATGAGAGGTTATCAGTATTATAACACCTTATGACAGTTTTTAAAACACAGTTTTTCACATTTCTGACATATATACCTGTATTTAATTTCTTCTCCAGTCAGGTCATATGTTTATAAATGTGTCTTGTATTACTAATGACCAACATGATTCTGTAAAGATTAAACACAACACATTAACTTTTTAGTGCTTTATTTTTATTTTTTGAGCTGATGGCTTGACAGATATACAGTTAGTAGTATTTAAGAGTCATTTAAAACATTTGTAATATTATTATGAGTTAAGATATATATAAGTTTACAAAGTAAGGGTACATTTGTAAATATTCAGTTCACATTGTCCTTGGAATATTTGTTTTTTTACGTAACGGGGGGTAAATTTTGAAATAAATTACTTAATTAGTACAGTTTACTTCTAGCTCTAAAAAAAAACATACATAACACAACATCAAAATAGGAACTTATTTCTGAACCATGAAAACTCATACTTTTTACTATATGCATCAATTAAAATGTTTTTACAGTATTTAAATAATAATATATAAATCTGTATATTAAGACTTCCACTAAAATGTTCTGTTGAGTTTATAGCTATCAAGACTTATACCATATTATGTGCAGGCAGATAAAAATGCACCATATTCTTGCCAAACAAATATTTTCTGTTCATAGAAAAATCATAATTTTGTTTAATGTTCAGCCATGCACTTTCCCTTTTTTACAACACTTGGTGACCAATTATTCAGACCTAGCCTGTTGAAAGCCCAATAATTAAAGTTAAGTTCCTTTTGACTAATGCTATTATTTTTTCTTCTTCAGATAATCAGGTAAAGGTGCTGTCAAAATGGAGGGAACAGATCAAACTGGTGGTGACCCTGAAAGAGGGGTAGAGGATATGATCAACCTCAGGTATGTGTTTAGTGTTATGTGAGATAGGGGAGATAGTGTTATGTGAGTTAGGGGAGAGAACATCAAACTGGGGGTGACCCTGAAAAAGGGGTGGAGGATATGATCAACCTCAGGTATGTGTTAAGTATAAGTTGAGGTAGGGGAGAGAAAACTTTAAACTGTGGGTGACCTTGAAAGAGAGGTGGAGGTTATCAACCTCAGGTTAGTGTTTAGTATAATGTGAGATAGAGGAAAGAACATATTAACCCATTCTAAAAGAGGGGAAGAGCTTATGATAAACCTCAGGTAAGGAATAGAAATTAAATTTACCATTTCATAGGTTGCTGTGTGTCCAAATTGGCTTTTAAACATAATATGATAATAAATATAGTTAACTTAAGTGGGACAAGGACCAAACAGTATGTGAGAAATGAACTTTGACATTAAACTCAATATGAATTGATGAAAATTGAGATATAGGTCTGAGTAACTATTTTTGAATTATATGATTGTAGGTCTTTTGCTTAAAAAAAACTTTATAGTCAGTGAGCATGAACAAAGGTCACTGTGACCAAATTATGTTCTAGGAGGCCGCTATATTCCTAACATTGCATATTCAAACCAATATGAAAATAAGATGTGGTATGATTGCGGATGAGACAACTTTCCCCCAGAGAAAGTTTTTTTGATGCATGCTCTGTTGCACCAAGTTTTATGATTGTAGGTCAAAAAGTATCTGAAATTTGAACTTAGTCATAAAACTTGATTGAGGTCAATGAAGCATAAGATATTGGTTAGTGACCTACTTTACTACTCCAAAGATACATCATATACCAGATTATACGATTGTAGTCCGCTAAGTATTTGAGATCTGAACTCAAAAGTGAAACTTAAAAAATGAAGCCCATGAAGCATAAAATATAGGTCAGTGTGGCCCTTCTTTAATGGAAGTCTGCCACACTCCCCTAGATACTTCCTGACACCAAGTTATATGATTGTAAGTCATTTAGTATCTGAGAACTAAACATTAATGGAAGACTAAATCAAGTTTAAAACTATCAAAGCCACTGAATCAAAAGTAATGTCCAGTCTCAAGTCTGTATCCATGGTTCTCATAGACAAGTAGAACAACCTAATGTTGCATTTTATTTCCAAACCAACATTTTTGCAGGGGTTTGGATAGACTAATGCAGGTTTTTAGATAGGCTAATGCAGGGGTTTGGATAAACTGTTGCGAGGGTTTAGATAGACTGACACACAGGTTTATGAATGATAAGCTTAAGTTCATTTTTTGAATGGAGTTTCAAAGAATACTGTTTCACAACTATAAATAATGTTTAAGGAAAGTCCTTTTAATTTAGTATCCCTTTCTAAAAGAAATAAAATGCTTACTCATTGTGTATCAGTTCTATGTTTTATAATTTGTCTTTTTATGACAATTAACATTCTCAAAATGCTACAGAACCTAATGTATTGTAAAACCTTGGAAAAAATAGAAATAGTCCCACCCAGTTTGACTGTCTAATTGTAAAATTGATTGATTGCATAAGATGATATAAATCTTGTGAAATGAAAGAATTTACATGACACAAAAGAATAGTGGATTATGTCATTCTGGCATAATAGAAAGAAACAAAACCCAACAAAACCATATAAAGTCATGATATTAATTTGGATTTACTTTAGAAAACACACGGTTTAAGTCAGCCCAGGTCTTCTTAAACTTTGTGTTATGTAATTGAACTTATCTTTTATTTGATCAGATATCTATTCAATAGTGCACTAATGTGCAGTAATGTGCATGTAAAGGTTGTGTAAATTTTACATGCATGAAATTTTTAAGTTGTTTAAATAATTCACGTTGAGAGAAGATTTTAATTGATAAGTGCTCCAAGTTATATTCATGCAGAGCAAATCCTCATGTCGTTTAAGGCTTGATTAAGCAAACACTGTATTGAAAGGAGATATGATGAAGATATCTGTTTTATCTGACTCTTATTGTGAGGATGCTATTCATTGAACTCAATTTTAAAGAGACAGCTAGGTTTTAAAAGATGTAACAGATGCATATTGATGGCTTTGGGGGTCAGTTTCATAGATATTTATAAGGGATTGATTTTCACAGGAGACTGCCATACTAAGAGCATTACATTGCTGTATAGAACATTAAACACTGCCTAAATAGAGGGAGGAGGACATAAACTTTTCAAAATTAAGGTCATACTGATCTGGAACCTCTTTTTTTTTTTTTTTTGGTATTGTAAATTCAGAAATTATTGTGAGGATTTATAAATGCAAACAATGCTACTCAAATTAGATATAAAATAAGAACTCAAATTCTGATATCTGATACATATACACATATATCGCTATTTTATGAAATTTTGCTTTGATCTTGCTGACTGATAATTTCCTTTTTCAGCGGAGTCGAGTAATATGAAAAATTATCGCTAGAAACTAAGGGTGCACGTAGCGTTGTCAATGAAATCGACATGAAATTGACAACGCCGTCATAGGTAAAATAGCGATAAACAGATTATCATTAGTCATCTCAACTCGATTACTTTTCTCACTTTCGCCGTACCAGATTTTCCTGAAATCGCAATAATTAAACGTATTTTTGTCCATTCTTCAAAAATCGCAATAATAAATGCACCCAATAATTCCTGAATTTATAGTATTGCATGGTGAAACAGCCAGTTGCTGTTTTAAGACTTAACATTTATTGACAAAGCATTCCAGTTTTTCTGCTGACAAAAGTCTTTCATTCAAGTTTTTCATTGTTTAAATGGCTGCTTAATGTTTCTGAGTCACACTTTTGTCCAGTTTAATTCCAATTAAGCGGTTTGATAGTGGGGGATTAAGATAATATGATATAAGGAAGTAGGTAAATCTATAAGCTTAATATTCAACAAGGATTATATTTTAAGATTGTGGGTAGTACATTGTCCTAGTTTCACAGATGGAAAAAATTGGTTTATTATCTGTATGAGATATAAGTAAAAGAAAATATAGGGTATACATTGTTTAGACAACAACACCACCACAAAAATCCAGTATGATATTTAGAGATCAACATGTGGTTTTCAATAATAGACAAGAAAGAGTCTTATTAGGAATGTAAAAGAGTAGATACTAATGAGTTGGCCCTCTGTCTAGCTGTCTTGTACTGAATGTTTATATAGATATGATATTAAGATGTAGCAAATTGGTTGTTTTTAGAAGGATGATGTTAAGGGCACAAAAAATATCACAAGATGTAAAAAAAAAGTTTATTTTGGGTGTTCCTACTTGGCTTATGTTGTTTTAGTCAAATAATACCCTGACTTTAGGAGTGAGGGCTATATTGCAATCATCTTGTCTATCCATTTGTCCAACAAATATATATATCTGGTCTGCAACTTCACAGTGATGGCTTGTATTGAAAGCACTTTTCAGATCAGACTAACACTTTCTTCTTGTTTTCTGATACTTTGAAATATGAATAGGGATATTCTTAGTATGATAAGGCATGTTGCTGGTGCAACTACTTAGTTTTATATCATTTGCAATATGTTGTAATCTGTTGCTATGGACATGTTTATTAGTTGCTTGGAACTTGGAAATTATTAATCATGTTTTAAACTTTTCCCAAAATTAGTCCTGCATAAACAAGAAAAGTATTTAAAGTGTAAAATACAGGCTTCATACTCTACAGTTTTATAGAACTATGCAAAAGTGAAAAAAAAACCTAATCGATACTAAATATTAATAAAGAGATAAATGTCACATCACATAACGTTTTGCCATTTTAAAGTTTCAGAAAGGGTTACGTCTAATAAAATTACATCTGATTTAATAGTAAATGTATAGATTTTGGAGACATGTCGAATTTATTGGTAGACAGTTATTTTAAAATCTTATGACTCTTTATGATAAAGCACTCACTTGTTCAAAAAAAGCATGTCTGCTGATACTAATAATTTTTGAAAATGCTTAACCCAAACCTTAGAAGCATTGACATTCATTAAAAGGTTATGTCCCCTCAAATGATTTAATCAGTTTAAACAAACTGAATGAAATGTTATTCATTTTGTAGATTCAAATTTCATGCTAGTTTATTTTAGAATGAATTATAAAAACATATATTCAAGGCAAATGAATTGATTATATTTACTCCAGTAAATAATCTGAAAAGTGTTTGATTTAAAAAGTAAATTACAAAAACATTAGTATGTTTCACACATTTTATTGCTTTATCAAATTAATCTAATATTATCAAATTAAATATTGGGGAATAGCCCTTTATTAAGGATTAAAAAAATTCAGTGGATTTCTGAAAGCCAAGTCTTTAAATAACTTTAAAATGTCTTTTTTCTCATTAACTTTCCTAGCATAAATAATATATTTTTTTATTTGAATAGAATATGAAGCTATGTGAAACAAATACAGTTCACTTGCTATGCATTATTTGTCATTGGTGCTATGTGGTATTAATATTTTGAAGTGTTTTGCATTGGTTGTTCCATTTTACAGTGACATCTAGTGGTGTACATAGTAGGTATCACATGAACTAGCCTGGGATCCTGGCTCACTGCTTGACAGTAGAGCCAGGCGGATTATGACGACATGGTTTCTTCAATTGGATGTTAGAATGTTGCATCGTGGGATAGTGTCATTTCTTGACACATGGTGGGAAATATTTATATTGTCACGAATTCATTGAAAATTATTTTTCATTTCATATGAAATGCAAATTTTGAAAAATTTAGCATAAATAATTCAAACGTTATTGATTAACATCGTGAATCAACTGTTAATTAACGATCCGATCGATATATTCCTTGTTTATAGAACATGCACATGCGCAGTAATTCAGTCCTGTTCAGCACTGATAGTTGGTCACGTGGATTGTATTACGCCTGGCCCTATCGACGAAGTATTAGATTGGGTCAGGATGCCAGGCTATCACATGAACTTGAATATTGGTGTATCCTGGAGTGTATAGATTGCCAATTTGCCATTATCTAATGAAAAAGATGGCCACTGTAACATACCTTTTCCAATTCATTGACTTTGACTAAGTATCAGGTTCATTAATTTCTCAGTTACTTACTATGCATAATTTGACCGTGTAGACTAGTGTATGGGTTTGTCCTTGAATGTAGGTCAGTATCTGGACAAAAGTAGGTCACTTAGATAACATTGTCAAATTCATTGACTTGAATGAAGTTTTATGGTCAATTTGTTATTTCTGTAACTATCAATAAAATGACAATGTACATAGGTGACCTATTTTTTCAAATGATAACTTTTTGCATTTTACCGAAATGAGAAAGTTTTGCTTGTTGGTGGGCATACATGTGATTTTAGCACAGATGTTTATTTTTGGTTTGTTTCTATCCTTATTTTTTGAAGGCCAATGTTTTAATATGTTGTTCTCTTGGGTAGTATTGAAGTGATTTCATGCATTTATCAAGATCATACAACTTGAATGTTCCTGTAAACAGATCTTTTACATAATCAACTTCTTAATAATACATAAGATCTATTCAGTTTGTCTTTATAAGAAATCACAAATGTGCAAAACACTTGCATGTGGTGAATACAAGTAGGAATTGTATTTTGTAATACGAGCCTGTGAAGTGTCGGATTATTTTGTTCTCTAGCCCATACTTTTCATGTTGCTGTGAAAAGATCTACCAGATGTTTTATTTATTATCCCATCAATACAATTAAAAGAACTTTGAAATCCCTCCATAATCTCGATTACATTATTAAGGTCACCTTTTAAATTCATTCAGTATTACAGTAACACACCTGAATAATTCTATACAAATAGGAGAAGGATAGATAACTGAAGATGATAGAGGATAAATAAATACTCCATTGTTAACATTAGCTGGACCTTTATTAATTATGTTGTTTTTGTTACTTAAGATGTATCTTTAATTTTTTGCTAAGCTGTCAGTCAAAATCTGTCTGGTCGTCAGCATCAATTCTTGTGGGAAAATTTAGATCTGATCCAAAAGGACACAAGATAATTTTTTTTTCAATAGAAACAAAGAAGGAGATCATTGAACCGTTGAAAGTTTATCCTGTATAGACCTGATGTTATTTTTTAAAGTTTTTTTTGAAGTAAAAACACACAAACAAAAGTTTTTCTCAAAACTATTCACAGGACCATACTTGCATAACACATAGTTGGCAGAACACCATAATACAATTGCCAAAATTAATTTGCTTTCAAGCATGAGCTTGAACAATTCATAAGACTGTTAACTTTGAATGAAAAAAGTATAGTATCCTTGTCAATAAATCAGTACAATATTTCTTCACTTTAGAAAATAAACAAATGTAAAGTGAATGAAAATTTGAATCTATTGATTGTTTAAATACAAGAAACTCATTTATCTTTATTATTGGTACAAACCTTTCCTAACTTGGACTTATAAATATTTATTTTAACAGTTTTGACACATACCAGTAACGTATATGTCCTGTCTGGAACAAATGAATCTTTTTTTTTAAAGAGTCTGACATAAATTATGCTTGTCAGATCTATATTATCCATCTGGATCAATGGTATTGATAAAATCTAACATTCAAATGTAATAGTGTGAGTAGGGCATGATGTCCTATAGACACATATTCTTGTTAACTGATGTGTCAGTTAATTATATGAAAGTCTTATTTGGTGAGGTGTTGTAATTTGTGAACTGTTGTTTGCCTTTTGGTTTTTTTTCGTTTTTTGCCATGGCATTGTCTCGACCTATAAGTTTGAATATACCTGTGGTATCTTTTGCCTCTCTTTTAGAGTATTTTGCCTCTCTTTTAGAGTATTTTGCCTCTCTTTTAGAATAGAGTTAATGCTGATGATTATGTTTCCATTTTCCATTTCATACACATAATGCCTAGAGTCAAGAAATAAATTAGTTCTTGTTTTATTTTTTGTTGTTGTTTTTTTCTTTGTTGGCCTCATATCATCTAATGTTGGCAAAAAACAACACATACCAAACATAATTTTAAAGTGATTTAAGTAGTTTACTGCAAAAATGAATGAAAATTCTACTGATGTTTTTAGTCTGACAAATGTTTTCATCTCCATGTCATTTGACTTATGGTACAAATTCATGATTTCAATTCTTACCATTGCAATTGGAACTGATTTCAAAAATAGTAACCATAGTTTATTTGCTCTCTTTTAGTATTCAGTACCTAGATCTTTATCCTGACTCCTTATAATCTACCATTTATAATTTTTTTAATATTTGTCTAAGAATTCACAACCAAATACAAAAGCAATGTACTATATATGCATGTCAGTTAATTGAGCTATATGTTTTTATTGCAACTGCTGTAAATTCTAATTTTCTTATTTTATTTTCATTGTAGTTTACTTGACGAAGAGGTCATACTAAGGAATATCAAAGCCAGATATGAAAGAGAACTTATATATGTAAGTTTTCTCAACAACAGGTTGGAGGAAAATTGATTCAGTATATAGTTCCTCAATTTTCAGTGTATGATATTACAAGTACAATGAAATTGATAAGGGGTTAAATGCACATTTGTTATTGATTTCAGTCAGTACAACAGATGTCTAAACCATAAATGTTTGGGTTATCATCTATCAGCACCAAACAACACAAACAAACATGACCTTCACCTATGTACAGGGATAAATCACATATGTCAGGCTCTAAATCAACAAAAGTACAAGGATCCATCCCACATGTCAGGCTCTAAATCAGCCAAAGTACAGGGGTCCATCCCATATGTTAGGCTCTACATCAGCCAAAGTACAGGTACCCATCCCATATGTCTGGCTCTTAATCAGCCAAAGTACAGGGGTCCATCCCATATGTTAGGCTCTACATCAGCCAAAGTACAGGTATCCATCCCATATGTCTGGCTCTTAATCAGCCAAAGTACAGGGGTCCATCCCATATGTCTGGCTCTTAATCAGCCAAAGTACAGGGATCCATTCCATATGTCTGGATCTAAATCAGCCAAAGTACATGTATCCATTCCATATGTCTGGCTCTAAATCAGCCAAAGTACAGGTATCCATTCCATATGTCTGGCTCTAAATCAGCCAAAGTACAGGTATCCATTCCATATGTCTGGCTCTAAATCAGCCAAAGTACAGGTATCCATCCCATAAGTCTGGCTCTAAATCTGCCAAAGTACAGGTATCCATTCCATATGTCTGGCTCTAAATCAGCCAAAGTACAGGGATCCATTCCATATGCCTGACTCAAAATCAGCCAAAGTACAGGTACCCATCCCACATGCCTGGCTCTAAATCAGCCAAAGTACAGGTATTCATTCCATATGTCTGGCTCTAAATCAGCCAAAGTACAGGTATCCATTCCATATGTCTGGCTCTAAATCAGCTAAAGTACAGGGATCCATTCCATATGTCAGGCTCTAAATCAGCCAAAGTACAGGGATCCATTCCATATGTCTGGCTCTAAATCAGCCAAAGTACAGGTATCCATTCCATATGTCTGGCTCTAAATCAGCCAAAGTACAGGTATCCATTCCATATGTCTGACTCGAAATCAACCAAAGTACAGGGATCCAGCCCATATGCCTGGATCTAAATCAGCCAAAGTACAGGGATCCAGCCCATATGCCTGGATCTAAATCAGCCAAAGTACAGAGATCCATTCCATATGCCTGGCTCTAAATTAGCCAAAGTACAGGGATCCATTCCATATGCCTGGATCTAAATTAGCCAAAGTACAGGGATCCATTTTTTATGTCTGGATCTAAATCAGCCAAAGTACAGGGATCCATTCCATATGCCTAACTCGAAATCAGCCAAAGTACAGGGATCCATTCCATATGCCTGGATCTAAATCAGCCAAAGTACAGGGATCCAGCCCATATGACTGGCTCTAAATCAGCCAAAGTACAGGGATCCATCTTGTATGTCAGGCTCTAAATCAGCCAAAGTACAGGTACCCATCCCACATGCCTGGCTCTAAATCAGCCAAAGTACAGGGATCCATCTTGTATGTCAGGCTCTTAATCAGCCAAAGTTCAGGTACCCATCCCACATGCCTGGCTCTAAATCAGCCAAAGTACAGGGATCCATCACATATGCCTGGCTCGAAATCAGCCAAAGTACAGGGATCCATCTTGTATGTCAGGCTCTAATTCAGCCCAAGTACAGGAATCCATCTTGTATGTCAGGCTCTAAATCAGCCAAAGTACAGGGATCCATCCAATATGTCAGGTTTGAAATCAGCCAAAGTACAGGGATGCATCCCATATGTCAGGCTCTAAATCAGCCAAAGTACAGGGATCCATCCCATATGTCAGGCTCTAAATCAGCTCAAGTGCAGACATGAATATCATCAAAGATATGGCATTGATGTTCCAATTTTAAAGTATAAAAAATTAGATACCACAAGTTTAAGGAGATGTAGATTATTTGTCTATTAGAAATCAACACAACAACACAATACATTCCTCAAGGATATAAAAAGGTCTTTGAGAATAGACAAGGGTGATACTATGTCAAACTATAAATACCCTTGAATCTAGACAATTGTGAATTGATTTGATAGAGGGACTAAGAAATGTTTGCCATCAGCGCCAATTTCCTTAATAGATGAAAAAAAATACTAATAAATAGAGAAAACATCAGACTTGGGTTCTTAATTGGCAAAGCATGTCAAGATTTGTGAGATTTCAACACTATAAATCTCCCTCTCTTTTTTAAACTGCTTATAGTTCTGATGTCTAACGTTAAACAAGTAAAATTTCATATATGATGATGACAGATAGACTTTTGTTTCCCACAGACCAAGATTAAAATGGTAATAAATGAGAAAAGAAATGCCTTAATTTAGAAACAATGATTTGTACAGGAGATTGATAACCTTTCTCTTTACCCTTCTGTCCAAACAGAGACAAAAATGTCAAACAAGACAACTTGTGTGTGTTACTACTAACATTTATATACAATTTGGATGATGTTTTGGTATTTTAAGTTTGTATTGACTGTAATTACAGTTTTCTACAACAACTTTCCTTGTACATTCACAAGGATAAAAGGATGTAGTTAGGTACTGGTAAATACAAGTTGGTATTATAAAACATTTATCTTGAAGATTTACATGGAGAATACATTAGGTGTAATCAGAAAAAAAAATAGAAATTTGTTAATTAGTCAATATTAAGGGAACAGTATTGTGTATTTTAAAGAAATGTTTAATTTTATCTGATATAAAATTGTAATACACTAGAAGTCCGAATAATGGACATCTGATATTGGAGAGTAAGATGAAAGTTAAATTTTCTTCAAAACTTGTATTTTCAGACATTTACTGGGAGTATCCTGGTTTCAGTCAACCCTTATAAGATGTTTAATATCTATGGACTGGATATGGTCAAGAAGTATGAAGGCCGAGCTCTTGGAAATTTACCACCGTAAGTTCTCTACTTAGTAATCAAATGTACTGTATTAAAATTATTTTAAGCATTTGAAGGTACTGAAAGACAACAGGGGTTCAAATTAATGTTGGACCATGGTTTAAGACCTCTCTATTCTTGGAAGGAACCTTTAATTTTTTAATAACAAAGTTTAGAATCTCCCATCTTTTACATTGCTGCTTAATACAGGACCTACTACTTTCTTAAGCAGAGCCTTCCACTTAAAAATTCAAATGGTCCTGAGACTTCCATTCAATAAATCAAATTTGAACCCTTTAACCTGCTGTCCTGAATTTAAAAATTCTGCATTGTAAACCTTAACAAGGAAAATCAAGGTACTGACATCATGTGGCATTGTTCAATGATGTAACTTGGCAATCAATTCCTTGTAAATATTTACTTCAAACAGTTTTTTTGAAAAGGAAATTTGTCAGATGTAAGAAAATTTATATAAAGAATTCAGTTTAACTTGTGATTTCAACTTTCTTTGAAGTTATCTTGTAATCTCCAGTACCAATGAACTAACAGTTCATGTTCTCAACTAAATATTGTCAAATTGAAAATTTATTGCCCCTAAGCTATGATAAAATCTGATGTTTTAAAAGTAACCCCAGATAATTTAGAAATACTAAATACGTAATTGGTTTGTACCATTTATAAGGTGAACGTTTTGTGTTACAAATAGTTTGGTATTTGAAAAGAATGAAATTTAGTAAATAATTTGAAATGGTAAAATTGTTTTCTTTAGATATTTGTACTAAGATGACCATAAATACTTGAGATTTCCACAAGTTCCTAGGTGTTGACATATTTGACAATATAGTGCCACTGAGTTCATGGAATAACTAACATATTTTTACATTTGGACAGCTTGAAAATATTGATATATTGTAAATGACATTTTTAAACTCCTTTAGTTTTCTTCTGAAAGTCTTTATGATATGTTATCACATTAAAATGAACAGTTTTTTTCTTAACCCATTCGCCCCCAATCCCACCTGTAGTCCTGGTTGCAACAGCCATTCTTTTATAGCATGTATGATCGTCCATACCTTTTAGCTCACCGGGCCCAAAGGGCCAAGAGAGCTTTTCTCATGACTTGGCGCCCGTCGTCTGGCATCTGTCGTCTGGCTACCGTTGTCCGTCGTCGTCTGTTAACTTTTACAAAAATCTTCTCCTCTGAAAATACTTGGCCAAATTTAACCAAACTTTGCCACAATCAAGATGGCCAACATGGCTAAAAAATAGTACATAGGGGTAATATGCAAGTTTTTGTCTATTATTTTGAAAAAGAGAAAATCTGACACAAGCAGAAACGTTCAAATTGTTGAGCTCTACCAATTGTTCCGTTAAGTCACTTCTTATAGGAGTTATTGCCCTTAAATGACAATTTTACCTTTTTTTTCATTTTTGCCTATTATCTTGAAAACTATAATAGATAGAGAGAAACTTGAAATTGCAAAAATGATCATCAAGACAAGTTCTACAAATATGTCTAATGGTTGAAATCGTCAGTCGACTCCTTATTAGAGTTATTGCCCTTTGATGACGATTTTTACGAATTTTTTGCGTTTTCTACCTTATATCTTAAAAATTATAATAGATAGATAGAAACTTAAATAAGCAAAAATGATCAGCAAGACAAAATCTACAATTTAGACAATGTGGTGGAAAATGTCCGACAACTCCTTATTGGAGTTATTGCCCTTTAATGACGATTTTTACCATTTTTTTTGCGTTTTGCCTAATATGATAAAAATTATAATAGATAGATAGAAACTTGAATAAGCAAAAATGATCAGCAAGACAAGATCTACTTAGTAAAATTTTGCTGGTATAGTAAGTAGACTGTTACTCTTTATAGGAGTGATTGCCCTTAAATTAAGATATTTTTTTACCCTCTTTTGTGTTTTGCGCAAAAACTAAAGAATATAGAGAGAAACTAAACAGACTAAATGATCAGCTATACAAGATCAACAAAACAGACATTTTTGTCATGAATTCTATTCTAGTCTACAATGTTTAAGAGTGTCCTTGTTGAATATGCATATAGACCAAGTTGAGTCCATTAGTAGTATTTATCATCCTAAAGTCATCTTTTGTATCATATTCAACTGTTTGTAGGCAGATGAGATAAATATTTGATCATTTATTGGTCCACACTATATTCTATCATGATGCGACTTGGTTTGGATATTTCGAAGAAATTTTGCTCGAATCGCTGTAGATGTCGTCTTACATTATACTAGATTTTTCTCAAACTATTGAACTGATTATGACAAAACTTGACAGGAATGCTTGAAATAACCAGTATTACAAAGGAAAAAAGTCACATTCAGTTTATTTAACAAAAAAGTCTTCTTTATGGGAAGCTGTACATGCACCTTTGACCTTGTGAGTACTCTCATGTGTTAAAATTCATCCCCCTGAACTGTGTTGACAGCAAGGAGTTCAATCTGGCAATTCATGTTCCATAAACTCTTTCAAGATGTGTTGTTATGAAAATATGACAACTTTATGCCCTTCTTTGAGTTTAAAATCGGAAAACTGTGAATAGTAGCCCAAATCAGGTGGGGTGGTAGTCGTTTGATTGCCACTACATTAATGGTATAGGCTGTAGGTATTAACTATTGTCCTAAATGCATGCATAGGTAGTTCAGGATCACAAGGAGGTATTATATGGCCGAACAAAGTCTGGTCTGTTAAAACAAGGTGACTGGTTTGTCAGAAATCTGTAAAAATGGACATTTTGCGACCTGGCTTGCCATTAATAATTCCACAGCAAGACAATCAAGTCAAATTTACTTCCATTCAGCATGGATGGTTTGCTGTTACTACAAGGTAACAATTCAATTACAAAGAAACACAGTTTTGCCAATGTTCACCTCTCAAGGTTGTATTAAAATCGAAAAAATAGACTGAAAATGACCATTTTTCAGCTAGGGTGGGTTTCATTACATTTTTGTATGAGAAGAATAGTGAATAAAGATCCACGATTTACAATCTAAAATATGTACATTTTGTCTCTTACCGAAATTAAAGTTGTCATCATTTAAAAACATAAAAAATGAATATGTTGACAACATTCCAAGTATGATAAATGATACAAATTTTGAAATGAGAAAAGGAATGCATATGATTGTCTTGTATCTTACAATTAGAATTAAGAGGATTCTTTGGGGTTAAATTTAGATTTTTAGGGCTTGTTTATTAGATGATTGTCAATTGGTGAACATTTATTGATATTTTGATGCATTTATTTTTAACAAATCAAAATACTTATTTACATGACTTATAAACCAATAGTACATCTCATTATATATTAAATGATAACACAAAAAAATTAATTTTGTTCTGACTGCTTGGTCTTTTTACTTTTTAAAGTTGTATGGTAATCTCTAATTTAGTTATTATTATTCTATATGAATAAAAGGAAATGTGGGGTATATATTAATGAGACAGCAACCCAAGGACACTTAAAACTAAAAGTCATCTAGAGGTCAGCATATAGTCTTCAACAATATGATAAGCTATTAATTGCCTTCACAACATCAAAAAATATATCTCTAATGTAATGATATTCAGTTTGTTGATCTTTGCTGATATCTTTTTGTCACCGTTGTAGACAAAAATAATCTTTTAAAAAATTTAAATTAAAAAGAATTTGTTGTATAGTATTTAGAGCACAGAGGCTTCAGTGGCCGAGTGGTCTAAGAAGTTCATCTACTGTATTACTACCCTGTCAACACTGAGGTTGTGAGTTAAAACCCTGCATGGGACAGTTGATTTTGACTCCTTTAAACCCTGAAATGGACAGTTGATTTCAACTCCAATCTTAATTTACTAGGATTGTCAGTTTTCCTGTTGAGGGCCTGTGTTTCTATTCTGGCCTCCACCTATAAAATCTGACCGCCATGAGATAGCCAATAGTGCTGAAAGTGGCGTTGAACACAATCAACCACATTTAGAGCACCAACATTTTGGCTGCAAAAATTACATGAAATCAATATAGATGTCTAAAATTAAAGATACTAAAGAAATGTTTTGGATGAAATAATAAGATTCATGTCGCCCCTCTGGCGAATGTCAAAAGGCAAGACATATGTATTCTAATCCAGTGATGGCAAGGTTAGGTGATCTCTTTAGTAACAATCAAGTAAAGGTAATTTTTTTACTAGCAGCATGTCCTTAATACATCTGAGCATAATATTTGCACCACTGCTTCAAACTAGTAACATTCTCTTTATAATTAAATCAAATCAAATCAAATATTTTATTGTCTTATAAGCTTTACAGTTTGTGACCAACATGTATAAACACAATAAACATATATACATACACATCAAACAAACACAATAAAAACAGCATCAAAATTTATAAAAACAAACAAGCTGTTAAGAGTCCCCTGCCCTCAGTTCTAATGACTTTTTCAAAAAGGATCCTAACTTATTTGTTTGTAAAGGCGTTGATGGATTTAGTAAATAATGAATTTTTTCTTCTTCATTTAATTTATTAAAGTTATTATTTTCAGTACATATGTGTTCAAAAAAGGCATTTCTTAGTGTTTTATTATAATCACAATAGAGTAAAAAATGTTTCTCATCCTCTAGTATTTTACATTTATGACAAAGTCGTTCCTCTCTTGGGATTTTAAAATATCTCCCCTTTTCAATTAAGAGGGAGTTATCACTTAGTCTAAATTTAGCGATCAATCTCCTTATCTGAAAATTATATATATTTAGATTAGATTCTAGTTTGCAATCTTTTTTAAGTTTTTTATATAGATAAATTTTTTTTATCATCAATGTTTTCAAATTTAGATATATAATGAAAAACAGAAATATTTTGAAAAATTTTCTTGAGTCATTCTTCTCACATCCAGAAAATACTGAGTATAAACGTTAATGCTATCTTGTCTACACTACTGTCATAAATAATTCTTTTTGCTGCAAATAGACAACGAAATCAAAACATCAAAGTAATATTTGCAGAGATGTATAAAGAGGTTATTTATAAGTGAGCCAATAAGTACCGATGGTTTTTGATAATATTTATATAGATAGATTGCATCTTACTCTGTCTATTTAAGATCAGTGTAGCTTAGCAACACAAAATTTCTTCATACAAACAATCTGATTTATCATGTTTTTTCACCTTAAAAGAATTTATTACAAAATTCCTTGTAGATCCAGATGTCATGTTGATATCTTGAAGAAATCACTTTAAAATCTCGTTATTAACTACTCAGATATTTGACATTTGAAAAGCAGAAGTTAACCTGATTTATGATTTTTACATATCATAATTTTGCAAATCTTCAACATTTTTCAATCCATATAAAATATGTATAAATTTGTATCTGTCACTTCAGGTGTCTTCTTACACCTATCTTTGTTTACCATAAATGTTTGAGTCATATTTTATTGCTTAAAACACTTACTATAAACTATAGCAAATTGAAATACATATTTTGTTAGCCTATTAAGAGCCTACTAAGTGTTTGCTGATTATTGGACGATTATTTGTGGTTTCTATGTGTTGTAGTGTTACAGTTTCAGGCCAAAAAAGAGAAAATGTTGTATTTCTGCTTACAAAACTAATTCTCTTGATATACCTTAAAATTGCAAAATCTTTAAAATGAAATATTCTGATATGCTACTGTTTTTTAAAAAGAGACACATTTTAATGCATCCTCCATTTAGTGACTGGCACATATTGTTGCCCATGTCTGTCATAAAATTTTGGTTTCCATGTTTTGGAACCATAATGTCCTACATTTACAAAATTTGAATTGGTTATTTCCCATCAGATGACCTTATGTCCCTCATTAGATCTAATATCTTGTGAGCCATAAGTCAGACTTTTTCCTATCTGGTAAATAATGGGCCTTAGGTAAAAAAAAAAGACCCTTATTGATTTTTTTGGTCTAAGGTCAAAGGTCAAGGTTAAGGTTACAATAGCATTTATTAGACAGACATTTGGGCAATTTTGTTGTTTCCAACCATATGACATAAATTTTGTCATACTTTATAGTCTTCATTGCACTCGAAACAAAAAAAAATCTTCTGCTACAATTCCATGCAAGTTGCATCTCTGCTTTGGTACTCATGTTAGGCCTCTGTATCCTCCTCCACTCAATGTTAGGGTATTAGCTGAATATCCAGTGTTTACAACGTTAGCTAATCAAAACATTTTGGTAAACTTGAAAATTGAACATTGTACAAGCAAGCACCTTACATGGTTTGAATAAAATGTATATCATTTTCCTGAGAATCAATTTCAGTGTATTTAACTAAGTGAAAATAATGTTACACTGGACTTCTGGTACATAAAAAAAAAAAATTCATTAAATTTGACCTCAAAATTACAATGTTGGATTGGTTAGTTATTGAGTAAAGGAAATCATCGCTTTCATGTATAGAATTTAAAAAGCAACCATCATTGAGCATAAAGCATTGAGTCATAAAGCAAAATATCATAACTAAATGAATATAAATTTGTATTTTTCAGACATCTTTTTGCCATTGGTAGTACATCATATAGTAAAATGATGAAGGACCTGGAGAACCAAGTTATTGTTATCAGGTAAATCTATTATTAAACAGGTCACCTCTATGACCTTCAAACAATACATGTACAAATTCTTGTCACTGAGGTTATACAACTGCATTGGATTTTCATAGACTATAAACATCATGGTTACAATGATAATGTATGTTCTGTTTGTCCAATCCTTATTTTAGTAAAATGTTCTAATGACCCAAATGAAAGGATATAATGGATTGGTTCTTGATTGTCTGACCCCACTCAATATAGAAAAAAGTGCATTAAAGACTAGGATTACATTAATATTTGATGTTGAAGTATTTATTAAAGTACTTAACCAGCAATTCTGTGTCCAGCACAAAAATCTGTTCGCTCATATGTCCAATATACATTTCCAAATTTCTCTTATGGTCATGCAGTGGTCATTTCATGCTGTACCTGTCATTTATCTTTAAGGTGAAAATATTAAGAGAAGGAAGCTTCCAATAAAAGTCATTTAAAAACAAACTATCATGAAATGGTGTTATTGTACTTTGTAATTTATCTGTAACTATTGGTATACTTTGTTTAATAGAATGAAACTATGTCATATTTTTATTTTATTTATATCTAGCTGTAGTTAAAATGAAAATATGAGAGTCAAGGCCTGGCAGTATAACTCTACAATATTGGAATTCTGTCAGATAAATTTGAAATGTTTGACTTTTTGAGTGTATGTAGATCACAAGTGTAAATATCTATCAGTTGGTCTCGTGTACTTGTTTTTAAACCAAGTTTAATAAGATCATTTGTTCGTCAGTTTTATTAGATTTACTTGAACTTATAGGGGTTAAAATTAAGTCTTTGAAAACGAAAGGTTATATTTTTTATGCAGAGTTGTTTTTTCAGATCAAATAGATTTATAACTAGAGGAATGCTTTAGAAATTTCTCTGCATTTTAGATACCAAGAAAAGTTCAATGCCGCAATGTTCAATATTGTCATTGACATAGAATTCAGTAGGTGGTCCTCCCAATGCAATATTGTATAAAAGGTGTTTTATTAAATAATACCGTTCTGATAGAATCTTTCTATTGTTGCTTATCTTTTGTATGTGAGCAATCTTGATACACATTATTGTATAATTGTGGTGCAACAAAACTTTCAATGAAGTGTAATTACAGCAACTTATTTGATTTGATTCAGGGATTTACTATTAATTTAAGGCATGATAAAACCATATTAAACAGTACAATATGTTGGTCTGCCTTTAAATTGATTTTGGTACAAGATAAGGCATTTGGTGTTTAATGGCTCCAAAATGGTTAATCTGAAATTCATTCAGAAGAATAAGATAGCTATACTTTGATTGCATGGTTTATTATATACATTTAAGGTATTAAATTGTAACGAAATGATTCATTGTCAGAGAGAATCGTCTTAAAGGAAAAGAAGTCTGCTAAGTTATTTCTAAGCTCTATTGATTAATTGTTGATATTTTGAGGTTTTTAAAACATTGGCACACATCCAGAGGCATAAAAGAAACATTTAAAAATTACTCTGTTGACACAACATGATATCCATTTAAAGGATTATTTTTTTAAACAGTGTATTAATACTCAGATCTTGAACTTTAGAAAATTTTAATGAATGTCTTTGACAACTTCCTATCAAAACAAAAATATCTTTCTCATTACTGTAATCTTCCTTTCATCAAACTTAAGCAATTTACAATTATATACATGTAACTTTTTGATGTGACATTTTAGTTTTATTAGTAAGATTCGTGAGAAATTTAATCTTACCTCGTAATTTCCATAAATATAATGCTATTCCAGTTCTTGCATAATATTCATAGATATATAATTCTGTCATACCTTATAAAATAAGAAAAGTAAGCAATATGGAATATGTACCTATTCTTATATATCTAACAAAGCATCTTGGTCTTTGCTGCATGATGGAATATTCATCATTAAAGATCCCTTTTGAAGATTTGAAACCTACGCAAACAAATCCAAAAGATTTATTTTCTTTTGGAACATTAACTTATTTTTGTTTTTTTGTATTTCATGTATTTGAAGAAACCTACACATAAGATTTCAGTAGAATGTTAAGAAAATGGCTGTTATGCAAATTTATTTAACAGCGTGAAGACTTGTTTTCAGTGACAGATTGACCAGTACAAAAATTGCTTACACCAGTACAAGTTAAACAAAACAGACATAAAGGTCACTATTCTGTCTCAACATTTCACAGGTACCCACATCACATAATAAATTTATAATTGTCCAAAGTCTAGAAATGTTTTAATGGATTGGACATAGACCACCAAATGTATGACACAAATAACAAATTCTCCGCTAGAGACAGCTGCAACAATTAACAAGATTTCTCACTTTAGACAAGTACTTAAACATTGTGCAGGGTTAAGCTAGTTTTATGACAACTCAACTGCCCGTCTAGTGCTCCTAGTAAAATTGGTCCCCAAAATCAAATAGGATTTATATGAAATAGTAAGAATAGTAACACCTTGTCTAAAATATGATGTATGATATGTTATATTCCTTCAAGCTGCATAGCGTTTGACAATAAAATATCAGTATTATTATTCTTCCAGAAAGATAGTAAATATTTTTCCTATCATATTTGCTGTCCCAGTATTTTGATAAATATTTGTATGAATATGATTTTCTAAATGTTTCTGTTTTTTCATGTTACAGTGGGGAAAGTGGTGCCGGTAAAACAGAGGCGACAAAGTTAGTGATGCAGTATCTGGCTGCTGTCAACAAGAACGGTAATAATCTGATTACTGAACAGATCCTTGAGGCTAATCCACTGTTAGAATCATTTGGGAATGCAAAGACAATTCGCAATGACAATTCAAGCAGATTTGGAAAATACATCGAAGTATTTTTTAAGAGGTATAAATAACTTAAATACACAATGAAATTATATATTTTGAATATAAGAACATGGTTAAAAGTATGCTATACCAAACTCATTCTCTTTACCTCTTGAATTCTAATGATAGAAAGTTTTCTTGAATTTTTGTATAGTTATGTATATTACAGATTCTAGTAAAAAAAAATAATTGAATAATGCATTTGATTGATTGGTGTTTAAACTCCACTTTCAACGCTATTGTGCTATTTCGTGGTGGTCAGTTTTAATTGGTGGAGGAAGCCGGAGTGCCCAGAAAGAACCACTGACCTTTGGTAGGAAATCTGAAAATCCTAGTCAATAAAGATTGGAGTCAAGCGCACCTGCCCATTTGCATTTGAAAAAATACAAGTAAAATGTCAGTCTCTCTTTGATATTTAGAAGAAATTAATTTGTTGAAACTATATTGACCGGCATATGAATAATACACAATATTAAAATTAAATGGTTGAAAAGAGGCAATGGACAATATTTAAAACAAAGACCATGTGTATATTGAATTATTCCTTAATACAACAAGATAGTTAAGTACTGTTGTATTTATTGAACAATGACATGACTTATTTAATTCACTGTTAAAACAATCATTTTATAAACAATTCGGAAATATACAATTACCACAGAGACAATGTTTACACAGGAATTGAATGTCACCTTACACTAGACATAAATTAGCCCTAAATTCTCAACTGAGATATTCAAAAGATAACTAACTTGTCAGACATGTTATACCAATCAGAACATTGCTTTGTCACTGATATTTTATATCAAGATTTAAGATCAACAGTTTATTTATTGTTGATAAAATAAGGTTAGAAACATCAACAAGAATATTTACATTCTTCTCTTGTAGTGTATAATCTGTTTGTGACCCTAAAAATATTTTCATGTTTCCACAATTTATTTTACCTATTAAATATAACAGTTTATTACAGATTAGTTATTAAACAAGTTTGAAATAATATGAATCTGTTATTTGATTTGATTTGTAAACATTTGGTTTGCTTATGATAAAGTAAAAACTTGCTGCTAAAGAACTATAATTGGAAATCTGACTGCAGCAATTGTACCAATACTATGATAATTAATGCAATAATTAAAACCAACAGTACTAAAGTCAATGTTTAATTTACCTTTTCCTAAAAATAACTTTTTCTTTAATTAAACCCCAAGGGTTTTCTGGGGTAAAGAAATATGGTAGTCCCTGGGCTTCTTCAGTTTTGGCAGTAAAAGCTTTCTTTAAGTGGGGCATTCCTTTGGCTCGGCAGGATATGTGAATCTGCAGCTGCTCTGGTCAGAATGAGGACATTAAATTGGATGATTGTGTAACATGAGTGCCACTCTGCCCCTGTCCTTTTCCAAAATACTCTTAATTTCCAGTGGCATCTAAAATTTCCTGCCTTCAACCTGATCATCCCACCTAGCAGATCTTACCTATTGTAGTTATTTTTGATTTGTTCATGCAATAATTGCTACTTGATGTTAAGCAAGCAACAATCAATCAATCAATCAATCAAAAAACAAAAAAAAAGTTGGACTTGATTATTTTATCTGTAAATTTCTATTTTCTGTGATGTCTACCAAACAATACTGCAAGAAAAACTACTTATCGTATACCAAATTTTTAACATTTGAAATTTCTGCTCCGATTATTTATCTTCATTTGGCCTCCAAATTTGTTACATTATAAAATTAAAAGTGAAAGTGCAAATTACTATTAGTACCAGTATCATTTTATTTTATAGTTTTGTGAGTTTTATGCAATAAAACCAAAGAATACAAATATTACAGATAGGCAGTTATAAAGCATTATCGTACCATGCTGTGCCTAATGAGCTTTGTGCAAATTTTGCTAAGTCACTATCCGTAATATTGCTTGAAACTTACAAAATACTGCATTCAGTATATAATTAAACATGGTTTACAGAAGGTCGAAATTTCAAACTGTGTGGCCTCTCTGGTAATCTTACAATAAATGTTGTATTGTTTAAGATTTGTATTAAATCCAAAATAACATACTTATTTTGATCTTTTTTCACAGTGGTTCAATGGTTGGAGCTAGAACATCAGAGTATCTCCTTGAAAAGTCACGCATTGTTACTCAGGTGTGTAAACTTTACCACACAAACAATCTATACAGAAGTGTCATTTATATTTAAATAACAGGAGATTATATAAACTTATCTTTTTAAAAAATAACAATTCTTTTGTTGGTTAAGAATAAAAATAAATCCTTGCTGCAGGACAAGTAGATGGGTAATAAGAGTATTTTACAGATTTCTAATAGTTATTCTTACATTTACATTCCTTCAAGGTTAAAGGTTAAAGAGATTTTTCAGTTATACTCTGTTTCCATTGCCTTCTGTGTTCTTTTTACTCAACCCCCGTTTGATTCTAGCATAATAAAATTTGGCTCACCTGGTCACAAGCAGCATTCAGCAGTATAGTTCTAAATTAGAAGACCATTTAGCGTCTGTTTCCAGTTTTAAGCCTAAATATTCTCTGAAACGGCTTTGAAAATTTAAACCAAACATGGCTACATCAGTTTTAATGATGTTCACTTTCAAAAATTGTATCTTGTCCTGTGGATTAGCTAACAAATTTGCTGTTAATAAAAGAAGTAGAAAACAAGAAGTAAATTGAGAATAAAATTCTATAAAAAGGTATCTGAAATAGCTGTAAACTGATATTGTGTCAACTTAGTGTAATGATACAATTTTTATAATCTACAAAAATTATCAGATTGCCTCAGTGATCATCAAACATGGCCACCACTGCCTATGTATCAGCAGAAAGTTTGATGACAATAAAGATACATAAAGGAAATACAGAACAACCCAAAAATATTCAACAGTGCAATATACCACATTATCTCATTAAAAAAACCCACAAAAAACAACCAACAACACATAGTCTGGTTATGTATGTAAACAAGGAGATACCAAGGCTTTATTGAGTTGAATAGGGTAATATTTTACATTATGCAAGGACTACAGACTCATATGGGCCTTTTGTTCTTAGTAATCAAAGCTGGGAAGTAAACATGCATAATTAATTTAATGTCATATGTCACACGTAATAATGATAATTACTATGTATAGAAAAAAACTATATGAACATAATCTACTTTATATAAGTAGACCACAAACACTTCCTCTCCTGATAAATGGTTAAACACAAATGAAATGTCCTGACCATTCATGCCAGTAATTAAAGAGTTTTATAAATTAAATGAAGCAGTTATAATAAGAGAATATAAACAATAGTGTCTTCTAATTGTTTTAAATGCATAAAATTGATTAACTTGTCAGTGTACCTGTCTTTTTGAAAAGACGTGAATTAAAAGTTGAAATCTCATATGCTATATATGTTAAAATTTAAGGTACAAATGTGTAGCTTTTATTAGCCTTACTTCCATCACTAGCAGTACATTGATATGGCAGAAGAAATTATCAATTTTCAGGGCTCATCTCAATTGTAATATATCAACAATGATATTCTGATTGTAGAATAAGTTTGCTAATGAATATTTTGTTGTTTAGAATTCATTGATATTTCATCTATACATCTATAGAAAAAAGATATATTGCCTTTAAATTCAACATAGCAAGAGGTCTAGTCTAATTTAGAGAAAGTGATTAACTTAAGTGGAGAACTCTGTAAATGTTATTATAACATAATTACATGTATTGTTATTTACAAACAAATTAAATATTTTGAATAGTCCATGCATCATTTTATGAAAATAATTGAAAAATAAATGTTTAAATGTGCAAAACATTCTGAAGAACTGCTATAGGCACATCTAGACAATGTTGATTAAGCAAAATTTATTTTAGACATATGTAGGGTTTCCATTCATTCTTTTTATTTCAATTTATACTATGACAGGTATAAATGATTTTAAACGTCTAATATCAAATACTTGATCAAATAGAAAAAGATGACTTTAAATTATATGTCCAAGAACAGAAATTAGAAGTGGCGGCTATATTGCACCTTATGTATGTTCATCCATCAAGTATCTTGGTCACATTTTTCTCAGAAACTACTTAAAACAGAATGACTGTATTTGGTGCTTTACAGTGATAAGTTGTAATATGTGAGCACTTTACGGATCTGTTTCATACATACTTTCTGTTTGCAAATACTTTTAATTTTTCAATCTTTTTTATAAACTTAAGATTTATCATCACACATTTCTCAAATACTACTGAACAGGAAGACTTCATATTTGGTCATCAGCATGACAGTGATGAGTTGTAATGTCTGTGCACTTTTCCAGAACTGTCAGACATCTACTTCCTGTACTTTGAATTACGAACGTGGGCATGCTTTGCACAACAAAAAGTGCATTCGTGTTTAATTTATCACTTACAAAATGATCGCTAGTGGGAGTTTCTATGTCCTAAAGACATATGATAATTCTTTTATTTATCAATATCAAGTACATGTATATGTATTTTATTCTTGAATGAAATTGTAGAATTCTCTGTCATAACAGAACATTATAGTTACTTGCACATAAAAGTTTCTTTAAAAAATGATAAATGATCAAAATCAAAATCTGAATGAACGGCCCAAATGAGGTTAATAAAAGATGATAATAATACTTCTTGTCCTCGAAAAAAATAATAGCATCCAAAGAAGAATATAATATGGGAAATTTATATCCAACAATTGTTTGTATAAATGTCTTGTTGTCCTAAAGGCTGTGAAATTTGACACCACGAATGTTGATCGTAAGATACAACCACAATCTATTATGTTTATCTAATAGTTTTTACTGAAAACCCCATTAAATCAACAATAAGGTTATAATGTATTCATAATTGAGAATATTTATAGTGGATAATTCCATTAAGGGTTGTTTGAGTCTAGTTGGAAATATTTTTTTTAATTTCATTCTGTGTTCACTCATACAGTAATGTTTACCAATGATCTGTTTTACTTCATATTTTCATGCACTACCCAACAAAGTGTATTTCAAATCAAAAGAAGTCATTTGATAATTCATTCAACCAGATCATAAATATGGAGCCACTTTTGGACATACTTACAAATAAAAATATACTGGAAAAGTTCAAGACTATGCATAGATGCTAGATTTGCAATGTAGACTTTTTGGAACTTCAAGTTACATGATTGATTGATTGTTTCTTTAATGTCCAGTGGAAAATATTTCATGCATGTTCAGGACGACAAGGCAATTAAGCCATTATTTCATCATTTGTTTGTTTAACAAATGTATCCATATTGAATGCTCTAAAAATGTTAGTCCATTTAAAATCAGAAAATTGTGATGTACAGGAATGGTGCATCTGAAAACTCTTTTTTCGGGGGAGGGGGGGGAATAGGTTTTTTATTCTGACACTTAATTCTAAAGAAAATAATAATATGATTTTCAAAATTCGAAAGAAATATATGAATGAAATTAGTCTAAACCAGTGCTAATCAAAATTCAAGTATCAACATTCTCAAATCAGACCATTTTCATTTTTTATGAAATAATTTTCTAGCCATGCATGAAGGAGAAAAAGTTTAACCAACTTCATTAAAATTAAATGGTTAGCCCCTGATAATAAATATTTGAAATTTATGAATATAAGTCAGGTTAAAACCTTAAATACTATCCTTTAAATAGTATTTGATAAAGTGGACATCTTCTTTAGAAAAGTCGGAACACTTCACTTCTTTACAAGTGAATTCAGATTTTGATTAATTATTTAAAAGAATTTAAATAAAATGATATTTTTGAATGGAATAGAGGTTGGCAATAAGTTTAAATATTCCATTAAATAGATTTGAAAATAAACGAAAATATTTATCAATGACTGCTCAAGAATAGGTTTTCTTTGTTTGATTAACAAAAATACAGTGACTTGCTGTCAACTACAATAGATAGTTAATCAAGCTCCAATTGAGTCTTGCAACATACAATTTATAAATCATTTTATTAACAAATATTTGATTTACAAATGCATTCAGCAATTTATGGTCTACTTATGAAACAAACTTGAACTATTTATTTTTTGCAAGTTGGATTAAATGAGCAACAACGCTTTTTAAACTATTTTTCAGTTGTCAGGCATATATATTTGTTGATGATTTTATTACACAAATAAATCATTACCAACAAATCCCTTTACACCTAGAAAGTCTTTAATTTATATAATTTGTTCAGATCTTTTTATATCGGGACAGTTTTTTGGTGTTTTTTTTTTTTAGTTAAAGATGCAATTATTATGCTTCTTATTATGCTTGGTGAAAGATAACAGAAATCAGGATAAAAGTTAACAAAATTTATAGATATTTAAAAAGTTCATCAAAAGAATCTCCTCAAAGTAATATGTTTGTACTGGGAAAGAACATTTGACTTGTTTGCTAAAGTGCTTATAAGCAACTGTTTGATGTTTACTTAAGTTTATACAGTTTAAATTTTAAAAAAGGGCAAACTATAGATATATTAAGAATATGATGTTTTTACACCCTGCCTAGTAATATAGTTTGGCTGTACTTTACTGAATCAGATGAAGCTTTTAATTATATTCCGTTTGATGAATAGGAATGCAGGACTTTTTAGCAAAAATTTAAATCTACTAGTGTAAAAATAAAATTGAGAATGGAAATGGGGAATATGTCAAAGAGACAACAACCCGACCAAAGAGCAGACAACAGCCGAAGGCCACCAATGGGTCTTCAATGCAGCGAGGAAATCCCGCAACGGAGGTGGTCCTCAGCTGGCCCCTAAATAAAATTGTGTGCTAGTTTTATTGTTTATTTTTAGCACCATCAGTATAGCCTATTTTTGCACTTGATTAATCTGTTCACCTGTATTTTCATTATCCCATTGAAGCAAAAACTTACTAAGTTGAACAATTCTTATGTTGGTTTAGTTAAATATGGAAATAAATGTTGATAAAACAAATTAAAGAATGAAGGTGCAAAGTGTGTCAGATTTCTTTATCACATCAACAAATTAATAGGGCTAAGAAGTCCAGACAAGATAAAGAGAAAGAAAACAGTTCTTACAACAATTGTATGAGGTAGTAGGAATGTATGAAGAGCCTTTTATGTATAATCACTTGAATTTCAATTTTAAGCTAGAATCAATTTGTTATATTGAGTTCAGAAATGGTTCAAATGAAATCATTGGTTTTATTGTACAAAGTATTATGACTAGCATTTAGTGTTGCATATGAATGAATATAACATTTTTATATTGTGCTTTTTTTACGTTAAAACTTATTCGCTATTTTATACTGTAAAAGAGTAAAAATGGCCTATTTTTTATATTGTTGCTAAAATTGGAACTGACTGTTCTACTTTTTCACTGAAATTGGTAAAAGAATTAGGTGCTACAATGGGTTTGAAAAGATGGCCTATCAATTTACTAAAATGTCCTCCACTTGATGAAAAGTATTGAAAACAAACTTATTATACCTAACACTACAAAGAAATGGGGGTAGATAGTTTTTATACGCCCATTTATGGGACATATTATGGTAAACCGTTGTCTGTCCTTCCATCTTCAACATGTTTTTTTCAAATGAATTTAATGAAATTTCGCTGAATTGTTTCTATCTATTGATGTAAGCTCCCTTTCGATTTTTATAAGTTTTAGACTTTACTTTTCCGAGCTATGGGATTTTATTCAGTAAAAATGGGGGATTTTCCAGTTTTCTGACTATAACTCAAAAATGCTTTAAACAATTTTCATGGATCTTTGGTGAATTGTATATATATATTGAATTAAGTTCCCTTTGGATTTTTTTAAAACTTCTGATTTTATTGGAGTATTGGGACTTTATTCATAAAAAAAGTGGGATTTTCCAGTTTTCAGGCAATAACTCAAAAATGCTTTTAGCAGTTTAATGAAACTTTGGTGACTGGTTTATATCTTTTAAAAGAAGCTCCCTTTAGTTTTTTTTATAAATTTCTGATATGACATTGAGGAGTTATGGAATTTTATTTGTTGAAAAAGCGACGGGCGTATCATGCGCTCATGGTGCAGCTCTTTATTTTACCCTTCCGTCAGTCTGTTTTTCACTCATTTTAGTTGCCAGATGTTGAATCAAATACTATATATAGAATTCCAACCATACATGGATATGTGGTTACATATAATGAGAGGTATTTCTCTATGAGGTCAAAACCAGAAAGGTCAATTGTCAAGGTTAAAGTTCCTGGAAATAGAATAAAATATGTACAAAAAAAGTTGTTTCAAGATGCTAAATCAAATATTGCATATGCATAGCTTGTTCTGTTTACTTTAAGGTATGATTTTTGACAAAACTGTTGTCCTACACAAATCTATTTTGAGATCAGGAGATTTTTTTCATAACAGGAATTTTCCCCTTATTAGATGTGACCATATATATCCAAGTAAGGTACAATGACCATCAGGTTACTAAATGCTTTTCCCCTTTATGTTTGGCCAGCCATGTGGTATGTGAGCTTGCTCACTAAAGGTTTTTAATTTATTATATTTTACATAGTCTATCAACATGAAATTTCATTACTGAATATGTTCAAATGTAAATTACAGAAAATATGTCAGAAGGCTAGTGTGACCTACATTTCACAGTTAAGTGATTGGCTTGAAGTTGTATACTCTCATTTAGGAAAATAGAGATTTTACTAACAGAACTGTGAGTGATATATTTTTTTTTTATTTGTAGGCGCCAGATGAAAGAAATTACCATGTGTTCTATGAAATTTTAGCTGGCATGACAGAAGAAGAGAAAAAGAAATATGGTCTACAGACAGCTTCTAAATACTTTTATTTAAATCAGGTAAAAATGGCTTGTCCACTGTTGTAATGATATTAACTGGAGTTGATATCACATGATATTCAATTCTCACATGTTAATATAAAATGGCACTGAAGTAATACTACTACAATTTGAATTTACAATTCTACAAATACAATTAAAAAAAAAATATTACCATGTCACAAATCGCTAATTCTTCGTTGGTATCAATTTTTAATGCTCTCATTTCTTTCCAGGGAGGCAACTGTGATATTTCTGGTCGGAATGATGTAGAAAATTATCGTGTATTAACTGGTGCTTTTCATGTGTTGAATTTTGAAGGAAATGAAAAAGAAACAATATATAAAATCTTAGCTTCTGTTTTACACTTTGGAAATATTTTTTTCAAACGAGTACATGACTCTTCCCATGATACTGTGTTGCTTGGAAATGATGCTGAGATCAAATGGATATCACATCTGTTACAACTGTCTGAGGATTGGCTGAAACAGGCTCTCACTAGCAAAGTCACAGTAAGTAGAATTAGCATAATGCATATTCTGTGATAACCATGAATTAGGTAAAGTGAGACATGTTATATTTCTCCTGAAAATTTTACAACAGATGCTCCAATTGCTATTTTTGATTGAAAAGTACATTAATTTCAACTAAAAATTCATTTGAGCAGATTTACAAAATCTAGGAGCCTATAACAGCCACCATGTGAATTAGAACTTAACTGATGCTCTAAAACTTACTAGTGAAAAATTGTAAATCTAAAAATTCCATTTTGCTTTACAGGAGACTAGAGGAGATAGAGTTGTTTCACCATTCAACATAGATCAAGCTTTAGATTCAAGGTTTGTATTTCCTTTAGAAATGGCATTAAATCAGAAAAAAATGAAAACCATATCATACAACATAACTTAAATTTAAGCTGCTATTTGGTATAAAATAGGTTGTCTGTCTTTTTGTTCTGTTTTATTTCTTGTATGATCCTTGTGATTTGAGCTATACTTCGTCGTTACTTATAGGGTCGTAGGGTCATAAGCTTTACTCAAAGTTAAAGACACAGTATCTTTGGATCCAAGACCTACTACCCACAGGAAATAACATCACTAAGTTATTACCCATTGTGCAAAGGTTACACATCTTTGAGTTCAATGTTTCAACTAGTTCTAACTTAAAATCATGTCAGAACCACAATCACTATTTCAATTTTATTTCGCATTTCTTTAATTAAAATTTGTAAACAAAGATAGCGATTTTATATATAGAATAAATGGGTTTATTTTCTTTTTTATGCCCCCACCGTAGCAGAGGGGGCATTAAGTTTTACCCTTGTCTGTCTGTATGTACGTACGTCCCAAAGTTGGTTTCTGTTCTCTAACTTAAGTTTGCCTCAACCAAATGTTATGAAACTTATACACAATACTTATTACCACAAACCACAGATCAAGATGAATTTTGGTGGTGTCACTTTACCCGTTCTAGAGTTATGCCCCTTTACAAATGGAAAAATTCGTTTCTGTTCTCTAACTTAAGTTAGCTTCAACCAAATGTTATGAAACTTGTACACAATGCTTATTACCACATAATACTGATCTAGTTTGAATTTTGGTGGTGTTACCATTCTTCAGTTATGTCCCTTTATAACTTTATATGATAAGCAAGAGGGGGCATCATCTGTGTCCCATGGACACATTCCCCATTTATTTCATCATATTTGTGAACAAAATTTGAATTTACAATATTGTGACATTACTTTGGAGTATCTTTCAGTATCTTAGGGAAAATGTATTGATCAGTAGTTAGATTTTAAGGCAAAACTCTCTAATCAGGTCAAGGGTGAACTTTATATACAGGTTTGACTTTTCAATTTATTGTGAAAATAACATTTTATTTTCAGGGATGCCATAGCCAAAGCGTTGTATAGTCGTCTATTTACCTATTTGGTAGAGAGGATCAATTTAATCACCTGTAGGTCAGAGAGAGAAAAGTCCACATCACTTGCTCTTCTTGATATTTTTGGATTTGAGGTAGGATATGAAAAGTGTACACACAGCAGAAATACAAAATGGAGTAAAACACTCAATGAAAACTGACATTCAACAAAACACCAAATGAAATCAGAAAATCAACAAAACACTAAATAAAACCGACTTTTAACAAAACACATAATGAAAACTGACATTTAACAAAACACTAAATGAAAACAGACATTCAACAAAACGATATTCAACAAAACACTGAATAAAACTGACATTCAACAAAACAGGTAATGAAAACAGAAATTCAATAAAACAATAAATTAAAACAGACATTCAATAAAAGACTGAATGAAAACTGACATTTAACAAAACACTAAATGAAAACTGACTTTCAACAAAACACGTAATGATAACAGACATTCAACAAAACACTTAATGAAAACTGACATTCAACAAAACACTGAATGAAAACAGACATTCAACAAAACACTTAATGAACAGAGACATTAAAAAAACATGAATTCATAAAATTTTCAAGCTAAAAAAATCTATTTACATGATACAGGGAAGACAATTTATCTCAATAATGAAATAGTTCTAGATTTTCATTCAACTCTTAAAGAGGAGGTCAAGGTATTTTTATTTGAATTGAAACCTTCTGCCATGAAAATAAACACTCAAGGTTGAAATAAAAGTTTTAAAAGCCAAAAATGTGAAATGAAAAAAGAGAAAGGAGTGCATAGGAAGGAAAATCTAGGAAAATGTAAACCTACAGAAACTGGTTCTCGCCAGTTTTAGAACCTTGGGAAAAGATGAGAAGAACATGATTAATCAGGAAAAATATCTCTGGATAAGCAGTGAAAATACAAAAAAATTAAAAGATTTTCAATGCAATTAAATATTATAAGAACAAATATATGAGGTATATATTAAGAACTTGTTTTTATAGTACATACGTTTTTCTTTTTTAGGATTTCCACACAAACAGTTTTGAACAACTTAATATTAACTATGCTAATGAGACAATGCAGTTCTTTTTCAATCAGCATATATTTAGAATAGAACAAAATGAATATTCAAAGGAAAACATAGACTGGCGGCACATAGAATTCTTGGATAATCAACCAGTGATTGACTTATTAGCTAGTAAACCAGCAGGAATATTAAGCATCTTAGATGATGAGAGTAGTTTTCCACAAGCATCAGATACTTCATTCTTAGAAAAATGTCATTTTCATCATGCCAATAATCCATTATATGAAAAACCCAGGATGTCGGATCCTGAATTTTTCATTCGTCACTACGCAGGAAAAATCAAATATAATGTAAGTTTTAAATATTGTGTCAGGCAATTAATTCAGAAAAGATATGTGTTTAAAATATTTCAAAATGGATTTGTGTTTAAAACTATAATTTTATGAAAGCTTGCAGATCTGCAAAAAAAAGTGTTTACAATCAACAACAAAATGCTAGCACATCTGCCCAATGCATCGATAAAACAATGTCACAAACTGTGTATGCTTTTCCATAAGGCATTAATATAAAACTTTAATTGGCATTGGCATTAATTTTTCATATGAGAGTGTGAATTTCTCACAGAGTAAGAGAAGATTAAGGGTGTGTGCCAGTGAGATAGCAACACTTCAACACAACACATACAATAAAAATATGTAACGACACAGTCTACAGCAATAAACAGGTGTCCATACTTCATGTCACCACACAGTCTACAGCAATAAACAGGTATCCATACTTTATGTCACCACACAGTCTACAGCAATAAACAGGTATCCATACTTCATGTCACCACACAGTCTACAGCAATAAACAGGTATCCATACTTTATGTCACCACACAGTCTACAGCAATAAACAGGTATCCATACTTTATGTCAACACACAGTCTACAGCAATAAACAGGTGTCCATACTTCATGTCACCACACAGTCTACAGCAATAAACAGGTGTCCATACTTCATGTCACCACACAGTCTACAGCAATAAACAGGTATCCATACTTTATGTCACCACACAGTCTACAGCAATAAACAGGTATCCATACTTTATGTCAACACACAGTCTACAGCAATAAACAGGTGTCCATACTTCATGTCACCACACAGTCTACAGCAATAAACAGGTGTCCATACTTCATGTCACCACACAGTCTACAGCAATAAACAGGTGTCCATACTTTATGTCACCACACAGTCTACAGCAATAAACAGGTATCCATACTTTATGTCACCTCACAGTCTACAGCAATAAACAGGTATCCATACTTCATGTCACCACACAGTCTACAGCAATAAACAGGTGTCCATACTTCATGTCACCACACAGTCTACAGCAATAAACAGGTGTCCATAGTTCATGTCACCACACAGTCTACAGCAATAAACAGGTGTCCATACTTTATGTCACCACACAGTCTACAGCAATAAACAGGTGTCCATACTTCATGTCACCACACAGTCTACAGCAATAAACAGGTATCCAGACTTTATGTCACCACACAGTCTACAGCAATAAACAGGTATCCATACTTCATGTCACCACACAGTCTACAGCAATAAACAGGTGTCCATACTTCATGTCACCACACAGTCTACAGCAATAAACAGGTATCCATATTTTATGTCACCACACAGTCTACAGCAATAAACAGGTATCCATACTTTATGTCACCACACAGTCTACAGCAATAAACAGGTGTCCATACTTTATGTCACCACACAGTCTACAGCAATAAACAGGTGTCCATACTTTATGTCACCACACAGTCTACAGCAATAAACAGGTGTCCATACTTTATGTCACCACACAGTCTACAGCAATAAACAGGTGTCCATACTTTATGTAGCCACACAGTCTACAGCAATAAACAGGTATCCATACTTTATGTCACCACACAGTCTACAGCAATGAACAGGTATCCATACTTTATGTCACCACACAGTCTACAGCAATAAACAGGTATCCATACTTTATATCAAGCTCTAAATTGACACTAGTTTAGACAAGTAATCTAAGTTATAAACCACAGACTTCTAGATATCTGCAATCAACAACGGAATTGTCTAAGTAAAAAAGACACTTGAATATAAACAATGATTGGCGCTGTTGAAGTTCATGGTTTGAGACAGAGGCATGTGAGCATATGCAGAGTTAAAATTAAATATGTGAGCCTCAAACCTCCTTTTCTGTTTTAATCAGTTGAATAACAAAAGTTTGCTGTACAGTAAAAGTCAGTTTAGAAAACATACTTACAAAATAATGATTCGAGACAACAAAAAGGTTTCAATTTAGCAGAACTAAAAACAGTATGTCAAAGAATGCTTGCAGTTACTGAAAGCTAGCTTATTTAAAGTACTGCTGATATAGAAATGTGTTTTGTCTACCGAGCTCCAGTTGATATGGTAATGATATCTGTCAGTCCAAAACACATCAATACACAGAGATCATTAGACAAAAACCTTTTATATTTGAAAGTGTAGTTTATCGTCATATTCATTTGACTGTACTGTATGTCAGTTTGATTTGACAATTTTAATGGGAGTTTTGGGACTTCAACCAATTTTTTATGGAGTATTGTAACAATAACACCTTGTGAATGCAACTCCTTTGAGTGTTTTACTGAAAATTCTCAAGCTTTGTAGAATTGTTTGCTATCATGTGAAGTTGACCATATTATACAGTTTTGATTTGACCATTTTTATAAGAGTTATTGGGCTTTTACCAAATTTTGACAATACATTGTGACACACATTATTATTCCTCATTTTATACAGTGCTGGGGAGACATTAAGCTACAGAGTAGCAATTTTGTTTACACTCTAATATCAACATTGATTTATTTCTGAGTTAATTTATTACATACAAAGTGACTTGCAGTAAAAGGTTGAATTGACAGAAGTCTGATAGGTTCCCATGAGAATGCAGTCACCCCGAGTGTCATTTTTTATGCTTCATTGAAAGGTTTACATCAAATGTTAGTTTTGAAATACAAAGAAACTTGTATTCCTGTAACTTTGCCTCTAAAAAAATGTGGAAATTTTGTTTGTCACGCTGATTTTCAATTTCATGCTTCATTGATTTTTCCAAACTTTGACATACTTGTAAAGTACTCTGAAAATATATGTTTGGTTGTCATATTACTTTGTCTTTGAATCAATGTTGAATATTCCCCTGCTGCCTTTCAAAAATAGGTTATTTTTAAATACTTTGCATGACTTATTTGTCTTTGAGGAATTAGGTAATACTCAGTTTTTCTTGTTTTTATTAAAAAAATGCTATTTCAAGGATATCTAAAATTAAATTATTTGTTCATACCAAATCATTATCGGCATTTGTATTTCTTTATAAGCTTGGTTTGTTTCATTGTAGAATCTCCTTAATAAACAGAAGTTTGGAAGAATTTCTTTACATGCATGTTGTTGTGCACCTTTTTATGTAATTAAAAGTTTACTGGAGTTTCTAGTATCAAGACATGTCTTCATTTTTAGCTCACCTCTCCTTATGAGGTGCTGACCAAGCGTTGTTACTTTGTAACTGATCCATCGTCCAAGATGGCCGCCAGCGGGGGACTTAGTTTAACATAGGACCCTATGGGAAATACATACAAATGTCTTCTTTTAGAGAACCACTGAATGGAATGAAACCAAACATGGCATGAATGTTCCTTATGAGGTGCTGACCAAGTGTTGTTACTTTGAAGCTGATCCATTATCCAAGATGGCCGCCAGCTGGGGACTTAGTTTAACATTGGACCCTATGGGAAATACATACAAATGTCTTCTTTTAGAGAACCACTGAATGGAATGAAACCAAACATGGCATGAATGTTTCTTATGAGGTGCTGACCTATTGTTGTTACTTTGAAGCCGAACCATAATCCAAGATGGCCGCCAGCAGGGGACTTAGTTTAACATGGGACCCTATGGGAAATACATACAAACGTCTTCTTTTAGAGAACCACTGAATGGAATGAAACCAAACATGGCATGAATGTTCCTATGAGGTGCTGACCAAGTGTTGTTACTATGAAGCCGATCCATAATCCAAGATGGCCGCCAGCGGGGGACTTAGTTTAACATAGGACCCTATGGGAAATACATACAAATGTCTTCTTTTAGAGAACCACTGAACGGAATGAAACCAAACATGGCATGAATGTTCCTTATGAGGTGCTGACCATGTGTTGTTACTATGAAGCAGATCCATAATCTAAGATGGCTGCCAGCGGAGGACTTGTTTAACATAGGACCCTATGAGAAATACATACAAATGTTTTCTTTTAGAGAACCATTGAATGGAATGAAACCAAACATGACATACATGTTCCTTTTGAGGTGCTGACCAAGTGTTGTTACTTTGAAGCTGATCCTTCATCCACGATGGCCGCCAGATGGGGACAATGTTTAACAAAGGACCCTATGGACAATACATACAAATGTCTTCTTTTAGAGAACCACATACTGAATGGATTGAAACCAAACATGGCATGAATGTTCCTTATGAGGTGCTAACTAAGTTTTGTTACTTTGAAGCTGATCCTTCATCCATGATGGCCGCCAATGGGGGGACTTCCTTTTACATAAGACCCTAAGAATACATACAAATGCTTCTTCTAGAGGTGCAGATGAAGTGTTGCTACTTTGTTGCCGATTTACTGTTCAAGATGGCCACCAGGATTTTTTATTAAATTACAGGACCAATATTAAACCAAATTTGACCTCACTCATTATTAGGCTATCTGTTATGATTTTAATCTATTTTTACATGATTTCCAAAACCAAAGTAGAATCAGGTGAGCGACACAGGCTCTTGAGAGCCTCTAGTTTATCAGTTTTAATTCACCCCATGGCAAAACATGGCCATTCCTATCATACACAAGTGACAAGGGAAAATGGAGAATGGAATACATTTTCAGTTTTAATTTTATTCTTGCCTGTGACGAAAGTTATAGTAGGTTAGACATAAGTGTTACCTTTCCTGTGGTGAATTACCTCAATATCTTAGGCAGTTATTGTTTTCTTGCCTTGATCCCAATTTCAGGCTCAAGTGGTCTGGTTTATATGAATAAATGTATTGTGGGGTTTATGTCAATGATACATCAACCCAACGACACAAAAAACCAAAAGGGTTGTAACTAAAGCCCGTGTTTTCAGGATGAGGTCTGTCATTAGAAACTATATATGCATGAAAGTTCAATTATATTGTGTAAGTGAATTGTTTGCCAAGAGTATTTTCATTTGACCAGTGAGTTGACCTCAGTTTCAGATATCATTGCCCTTCAAAAATAATTCCAATATTGCAACTGGCTAGACATATTAGTGAGTTAACTTTATGCCTTTGGATGATTTTTGTTTTTAGAGAAATGAGGGCAATTTATTTTTTAAATACAAAATTTGATTTGCAATAGAATTGTAAATAAAACTTCTGTTTTGTTTTGTTTAAATTATATTTCAGTAGTACTAATATTAATGCTTTCAGGTTCAGCAATTTTTAGACAAAAACAAAGATACTCTTAGGAGTGATGTGATAGAGTTACTGTGTGAAAGTAAAAACAGGGTATGTATGGATTATAGAATCTATAAAGGAAATTGGTATGACAAATAAGATATGCAATATAAACCGACCATGATAAATACACTAGCTTGATAATACCTGCAAAACATGTTCTAGTCATTCACAGCTAACTGCTATTTTTGGAAAAAGTATTTATTTTTGATATAGAGTTATTTCCCTTAGTCTTCATTTAAATCTTGTGAAATATTTAGTTATTTGATAGCTGTTGATAATTTTTTTCTATTATAACTGATTGGGTTTTTTTTCTATAATAACTGGTTAGGTATTTTACATTAACTGATTGTTTTTTAGACCAACATTACAACATAATTTCAAACAAAGGGGTAAAAATGGAGAAGGGGTGTGGGGATCTGTGATTAGCAAGATGTGATGTGCAAACTGAATCATGAGGCTTGTTGGTCTTGGTTAGAAAAAAAAAATGTATTGCCTTTTTTTCACGTTAGAACAATGATTTTCTTTTAGACCATAGCACAAATGTTTAAAGAAATGAGAGACAGATTTATCACAAAGACGTTGAGTAAAACAACAGGACGTTACATCACAGTAAAGCCAAGGACTCCTACAGTAGCAGCAGGCTTTACTGAATCTTTACTCTCCTTAATTGACAGCATGTCTAAGTAAGATACAACATATATTTTATTGCTCACTGGAAACATCTCTTTAAATGTAAATTCCATTTGTTATGTTTTTGTTATTGCTAATATTTGACAGGATAGGTTTGGCAAATTTAAAAACTAGTATTTTATAAGTTTTGATATCATTTTTTGTGTGTAAAATTTTATGAAATTCTAATGTTTAATCTCATTTATTTTTCCATTGTTCACCAATTGCAAAATTGAATGCACAATTTTTTTTTTAAATTACAATATTAATACTCAGCAAGGAGGAAAAATTGTCTGATTATAAATGATTATGTGCATTTATGATTATTTCATGGCCATATTTCTTTGATATGGAAAATATTGATTTGAATAAACATCTAGAGTATAGTGTCAGCATATAAAAATATTAAATACAACAGAACTTGATTATTCAGTTCATAAATCTAATGTATTTGTTACTGAAGAATTATGTTTCACTTACTTTCAGATGTAATCCATTCTTTGTGAGATGTTTGAAGCCAAACAACCACAAAGCTCCAATGTATTTTGAATCATCTGTAGTTCTGGATCAGCTGAGGTACACTGGGATGTTAGAGACAATCAAAATAAGAAAGATGGGATATCCAGTCAGAGTGAAGTTCCCAGCATTCATTGAAAGGTATATGACTGAAAAATCAGAAATTTATACCGGATAAATTTGTTAAATCAGTAGAAACTTAGTTTAATGAATTACAATAGAAAAGTTTTATTCTTTGAGTTTTAAACACATAAGATGTATATGTACTAAACTAGAGAAAGAAAACGAAATCTAATTTGACTTGAAATAAAAGTTAGTTACATTGAGTTGCAAGGTACAAAACTAACATTATGATCTATGTCTGTTTATGACCAAGATTGTCAAATTATGTTATACTCAATAATATAAGTGGAAATTATAAGGCTTATAAAATGATAAAGCAGTTTATTAACACAGTAAAGGGTGTGGTTCAACAGACGAATAAAAGGTGCAAATCAAATCACCATCCCATTTGTTTTTATTTTGTTGTTTTTTTATGTCTTAGGAACTATTATATTAACATAGGAAAGGGTGGATATATGTCTTAGGAACAATTATATTAACATAGGAAAGGGTGGATATATGTCTTAGGAACAATTATATTAACATAGGAAAGGGTGGATATATGTCTTAGGAACGATTATATTAACATAAGAAAGGGTGGATATATGTCTTAGGAACAATTATATTAACATAGGAAAGGGTGGATATATGTCTTAGGAACGATTATATTAACATAAGAAAGGGTGGATATATGTCTTAGGAACAATTATATTAACATATGAAAGGGTGGATATATGTCTTAGGAACTATTATATTAACATAGGAAAGGGTGGATATATGTCTTAGGAACAATTATATTAACATAGGAAAGGGTGGATATATGTCTTAGGAACAATTATATTAACATAGGAAAGGGTGGATATATGTCTTAGGAACGAGTATATTAACATAGGAAAGGGTGGATATATGTCTTAGGAACAATTATATTAACATAGGAAAGGGTGGATATATGTCTTAGGAACGATTATTTTAACATAGGAAAGGGTGGATATATGTCTTAGGAACGAGTATATTAACATAGGAAAGGGTGGATATATGTCTTAGGAACGATTATTTTAACATAGGAAAGGGTGGATATATGTCTTAGGAACGAGTATATTAACATAGGAAAGGGTGGATATATGTCTTAGGAACGATTATTTTAACATAGGAAAGGGTGGATATATGTCTTAGGAACGATTAAGGGTGGATATATGTCTTAGGAACAATTATATTAACATAGGAAAGGGTGGATATATGTCTTAGGAACGATTATTTTAACATAGGAAAAAGGTGGATATATGTCTTAGGAACAATTATATTAACATAGGAAAGGGTGGATGTATTCTGAATAAATTTGATACTGAATTATTAAAGAATACTCCAAACCTTTAATGCATGTGTTGATCAAAGGTAGCTTTGATACAAAGGTAATGATGTGATGCTTTAATTTTGCTTTATTTAATAAAATATTTTCCTCATTTTAAATAGGTATCGATTCCTGTTACAAGGACAAAAAATAAGCACCCATCTGTTACCAAATGATGTGTGTTCTACAATACTAAAAACACAAGGAACCCAGTTTATTGATCAGTATAGATTAGGAGCTACAAAGGTAAGCCAGTGTTGTCTCCCTTTTAATATATTTATGAAAATTTAGCACAGTATATGGGGCACTACACCAAATGAACACACCTTCATTTTATTGTTTAATTTGCAAATTTTGAAAATTATCAAAATTTAAAACAAATTTTTCAGCATGCCCATAATACTCTCCATATTTTACTTTTACTGCAAAACATAACCACATTACAACCCATGTAGCATCAAAATTTTCTGCATAATGATTTGCTTCATCCCTCATTGCTATACAAGATTTTACTGTATTTTTATTACTTTATATTTGAATTATTTCCTTTAAATACATTCTTGTGTTATTTAAAGTATTAATGGGTTCATGCTGTTTTGCCAACAAGTCTGAAAACAAAAATACCTAATACACTGTGTTTTGGGCAATACAGTATAAGGCATTTCCAGGATTTTGAAAAAAGGGGATAACATTTACAGTGGATTTGTATTGTTTTATTTTCACATTAGATTAGCCATACTTGCTTCTTCTTCATGGGGACAAAGCCCTTCTAAATCTGACATTGAGCCTTTGAAAAAAGTACAGTAGAAAGTAAGAAGACTATTTGATTTTTGTAGGTTTTCATGAAGGAGTCATTTGAACAGAGATTAGATGAAGTGTGTGGAAAGATCAAAATAGATTCAGTGTTAATACTACAGAAATCCATACGGGGTTATTTAGCCAGAAAATCATTCCTTAGAACTGTAGAATCTACCAGGAAAATTCAAGTGGCATTACAAGGATGGATAGCAAGGTGGGTAGTTAAAAATATACTTTTCTTATCAATGATTGGCTCTTATTCATATTTTTTATGCCCTGCCGCAAGGCGAAAGAGGCATTTAGTGTTACCCTTGATCGTCCATCCTTTCGTCCTTCTGTCTTTTCATCCTTCCGTCCTTCCATCTTTCCTTCCTTCATTCATTCAGTCCATCCTATAGCAAGCTTGAACAGGGCATTTGTGTCCTCAGACACATTATTATTTTATCCGCTCTGTCATGGTATTTGCCAAAGCGTTTATGCCTTTTTTTATCTTTCAACAACGATTCATCATTTGTGCTCTCAAACAACATTTGTTTAATAGTCTTGATTAAATCCATGAAATTTCTTGTCCAACAGAGCATATTTGTAGTGATAAAATTTCCAACCTTTTGGTGAACATGTCACTTCTAGACTTACATTCACTAAGAGGAATAACTTTTGGCCATTCTAATTTCATACTAATATCTTTAAAAATTATACTTGATCATTCAATATCAAATTTTGAAATCCAGATAAATATTTATTCAGTTTTTGATTTTTTATTATGATACTTTGAAATTACAAATTGTAAATATTTATTCCATAATTTAACATCTACTGTAAAGTAGCTTCATAACGAAGTACTGTCAAGGAAGTAGGTCACCATTACTAGAATAAATTCATTGTTGTATGGTTCTGGTGGAAAAACAAAATATTCTTATTTGATATGATAAAAAGAAGGGCACTCACTGTCTACCAGAAACAAAATACAAAAATAGTGAAACATTTACTTTATATCTATGGCAGATCTGTATTACTCATAGTTATTGTTTGCTATGTTATGATTGGAGGCTGTGTTTTTGAATTGTTACTTATTGATTTTTATATTTCCCCACAAGTTCATTCTGCAAGTAGGGTATTTGGTACAAAACAAAAGTTTGTCATGCAAAAATTAATTGACGTGTTGCATGTTAAAGTTATTAAACATAGCCTGAGGCCACACTATGTAATTGTGTGGTTTTTATTTTAGAGAAATTTAAAGACTTACAACTTTATTTAAGTAAAAAGTACATTGTTAGGTTGAGGCTTTTTTTGTCAACAGGATGAAGATATTTTATTGTTGTCTTTGACTCTTAATGGGGAGTCACCGTTTTTTTTTCCATTAGCAGTGACTTATTCAATTATAAAGTTAGATGAGCTAGACAATCCACGATTTGGCAGATAGATGTGTTATATTCTGAAGTGTTGTTTCCTTTGACCTAATTTTCAAGGTGCAGTGAGTTCGTAATATCTGAATTACAACATACTGATTAATTCCTTTTCTAGGAAAGAAGAATTACTATAAACACAATACTAAGTCACAGAAACTTCATTTGAGACCATTTTATGTTCCATGTTTCTATTTGTAAAATGCTTATGATTAAAATTGAAAATATTGTATATTGATAGTGACAGCCGGGCTTTAGGCTTCTTATAAAGTACAATATAACAATTATCCAATTATTGTTTTTGTGTAAATGTTAAGCCTGGTTGTCATTTTCAAAGTTAACTTGGTTTAAGTTTTCTTTGACCAGGTAAACTTGGTCCAAGTCATCATCTGTTGTCCCTATCAAAGTTTTTCATCAAAAACTTGGTCAAAGAAAACTTTGACCAGGTAAACTTAGTCAAAGTCATCGGTTGTCACTGTCAAAGTTAAAATCAATCTTGGTCATAGAAAAAACTGCATTGTGATTGGATAATTCCCGTCCAAGTCCATCCAAGTTTCAAGAAAAATAGGTTGAGATTCTATTCATCCAAGTCCTTCAAAGTTTTTGATCAAAGTTTTCTTTGACGGTTGTCACTATTAAAAAAATCCACCAAAAGCTACGAACAAGAAAACTTGTATTAGAAAACTTTAATAGTGAAAACAGGCCTTTAGATTTAAAAAAGGAGACAGTTCCTCGTAGGAGGAAGTACAATTTTTTTATTGACAGATATTTTTGTCTTTTTCCTGAAGTTACAAATAACACCTGTTGTACCATTCAAAAAAAGTTTGAAAAATTGATAATATACAAAACAATAGCTGTGAGGAGATGAGCTTGTCTGATCAATAGAGATATATTTTACTGGTACCCTCAGGATAGGTATACAGAATCAGATATAAAAATTCTATTTATGCAGACTATAAAAACATTTAGTTGCCAATATAAACTATATTTACACATTATAATTAAAGGTATACAGAATCAGATATAAACATTCTATTTATTCAGAATATTAAAACATTTTGTTACCACGATAAACTACACATAAACAAAATTTCGTTAAAATATGAAAGCAAATGTATCACTTTAAATGGCTAGAATAAAGGGACAAAAACAGTACTTGTTTGTTGGTTTCTTTGATAGGGGTTAATAACCACTTTTCATACATTTATACTTTTTCACTGTAAAAGTTGTATTAATAGAGGAAAACAAAGTACCCTGGGTAGATCACTTATCTTTGATGTGGAAATGATAAAAGTTTTATCTCATGTCAATAATTGTGTGCACCATGTCATTTTTTATTTGTCTGAAGTGATCTGTAAAGGTGGAACTATCTAGATCACTCAGATAGTAATCCTAGTAATCCTATGTGGATCCCATCTAAAGACAAGTTAGATACCTTTTTTCGGTTTAAGGCTTTGAATGGTGTTTTATAGTTTCCGAGATGTGTTTGTGCTTTATCATTTTACAATGTATATTCTGCAACAAGACTTAAGATGTTTTCTGCAGGATTTAGTTAATGAAAGAAATATAATTTGGACTTGGAAATATGGGACTGCAGAAAAAATAGCTTTTTCAGTGGTTTGGGTCGACCTTTTTCTGTGACACTCAAGTGAGAATTCAAGAAAATACAAAACATGAAAAGATACAGTAGTTTTTCCATGGAGCACCAACCTTATGGGAGATTGAATCAAATAAATTATGTTGAAATTACCTGTACTGTCCCTATTTGATCAAGAATGTGATTGAGTAAATTATTATTATTATGCCTGTAAAATGTTAGTAATTGTATTTACTTTACAACTTGATAATTACTTTTAGTATAGCTTTTATTACCTTATTGAACATTTAAAAGTCACTATTAATTTGTTAAAAGAGGAAATTTGAACATTGTTGTAAAGGTCTCTAAATTGGATGTTTAAGTTACTCAAATTATTTTTTTGAGGACCAAGAAAGGGTGAAATTTAGTAATAAACATTCAGGTCAAGATGACAGAAGTATATCATTAGCCATGCATTGTCTAAATCAATAGATAATATATTATATTGGGTGCTAATTTATGTCTTAAAAGAAATTTTAAGCATTAAGAATTTAGAATTTTGATAAACACAGATAACCAAATAGCCCTTGACAAATGGTTCATTGGTGTTGAATGGAAATGATTAGAATCTACAGTTTCTTATGATTTCATTGTTTATAGGAATTTGATTTTCTTTTTATAGAGAAAAGGATCTGATTTTCCCTCTTTTTTTAATAAATGAAAAGCATAACAATGTATGAACTAGCAGCTTATTTTGCTGTGAGAAAAATGAGATTATAATGTGATATTTCATTCACTGCTTGAAAAGAGATGATATAGTAAAAGTTGAGTGTGACATTTCTACTGGGACTTATAATAACAAGGTATTTAAATTGGACAACATTGAAAATGACAAGATGCTGTATATAGCAAGTAATAGAAGCAAATCATTATGTTTGATTTATTTTGACACAAAACTGAAACACAAAAAGGCTTACAAAGTTGAAAGGATCATAATAAAATGTGTATAAAAAAGACATCCATAATAGCATAAAACTCGGTCATATAACTAGAGGATAATATCAACTTGGCTTATAACAAAAGAACTGACCTCTATGACAAAGATATCAATAAATTATATACGTTTTTTTTGTTTGATGTTTACAGAAGGAGATTCCTTGCTGTAAAACATGGAATTGTCAGAATCCAGGCACAGTACCGTATGTACAGACAACGTAGGCGATACGGAAAGGTTAGTTAAGTTCTGTATTTATATATATCATTGAGCAACACTCATGTACATATATCTTAAATGCAAGCTAAGATACTGTGGTTTCATTATAATATTATGGGGTACCACTTTTTAAGGATTTCCATGTGGATTCTTTATTATAAATGGGGTACCACTTTTATTGAACTTTGTTGTGGATTCATTATATATGAGGTACCAATTTTCAGACTTCCTAATGGATTCATTATTATATATGGGGTACCACTTTTCAGAGACTCCATTGTGGATTCATTATTATATATGGGTACCACTTTACTTGGACTTTGTTGTGGATTCATTGTATATGAGGTAACACTTTCCATGGACTTCCTTGTGGGTTCATTTTTGTCTCGCCTTGATGGAGTCAAAAAGCAAGACATAGGTATGCTGTTTCGGGTGTTGGCGGCGGCGGCAACAATGTATTAGTTTGTGATTAGGTCTAGTTTATGGTGAACCACTAGTGGTAGGTCAATAATATTTGGTATGCGGTTGTATTAGCATTGGCACATCTCATTACCATGGAGATTATTTGGGCCTGCCCCCTCAGTCATGGTTTATTGACTTTAAAACTTTGCTTAGTTTACATGTATTAGTTTGTGATTAGGTCAGTTTATGGGGAATCACTAGTGGTAGGTCAATATGCAGTTGTATATGCATTGGCATATCTCATTTCCATGGAGATTATTTGGCCCCACCCCTTCAGTCATTGTCTATTGACTTTGAAACTTTTGCTTAGTTTTCATATATTAGTTTGTGATTATGTCAGTTTATGGGGAACCACTAGTGGTAGGTCAATGGTATTTGGTATACAGTTGTATAAACATTGGCATATCTCATTTCCATGGAGATTATTTGGCCCCACCCCTTCAGTCATTGTCTATTGACTTTGAAACTTTTGCTTAGTTTTCATATATTAGTTTGTGATTATGTCAGTTTATGGGGAACCACTAGTGGTAGGTCAATGGTATTTGGTATACAGTTGTATAAACATTGGCATATCTCATTTCCATGGAGATTATTTGGTTCCCCCCTTCAGTCATGGTCTATTGACTTTGAAACTTTTGCTTAGTTTACAAGTTAATGTTTGTGTTTAGGTTTATATAAAGGGAACGACTTATGAAAAGTTAATGGTATTTGGTATGCAGTTGTATTAGCATTGGCACATCTCATTTCCATGGAGATTGTTTAGCCCTGTACCTTTAGTCATGGTTCATTGACTTTGAATATTTGCATAACTTACATGTTAAAGTATTGTTATTTTAATTTCAACATTTGCATTATCAAAATAACAAATAGACGAGACATATTTCTATTTTCTTATTTATCCGTTAATATAATTGGTGTAAGGATTAGCTCCACTTTTCATGTGAATCTTCGTTTGTAAATAACACTGCACTGTATAGAGACAACTTACATGAAAATGTACATAAAAGCAAGCTTATATGAAATAGACAGATAATTTTGACAATTAGTCTTTGAATATACAGTCATAGATCATTAAGCTTGTTAAATACTATTATGCAATGTTATAAGAAATCACAGGTGTCAAAATTGTGTAAATCAATATATTTTTATAATTGAAATTAAATTGGTAATACTACATATCAATGTCTTGTTTGACATGGTTATGATTAAAATATATTTTAATTTAAAATGAACAAAAATATGGTTACATGAGGCAACAAAAAATGTAACACTATGAATAAACTCAGTATCAAAAGAAGTTCTACATCCTTAATATATCTAGAAAATTTGATGAGAAACCTATAATTTGTGGTTGTTTGCATACCTTTCCAAGGTAAAGAAGGTTGCATATTTTTAGGAAATTCTCATTTTTCAACAAAAAAACAACAGGGAAAAATTATATGACCCAGTTGCCCAGACTATTAAATTTTAGCTGAAAATGTCCATGAGATTATGTTGAACTTTCATATTGTAGCAGTTTGGACCCTAAGATGAAAACAATTTTTCCCTTTTACATAAAAAATAAGAAGATGTGGTATGATTGCCAATGAAACAACTCTCCGCAAGAGACCAAATGACATAGAAGTTAACAACTATAGGTACTATAGGTCACCATATGGCTTTAAACAACGAGCAAAACCCATACCACATAGAAAACTATAAAAGGCCCCGAAATGACAAATGTTGTCTATTGTAACTTCAAAATTTCTTTCATTTCAAAGCAAGAAGTCTCTCCCAATTGATATATTTACTCCTGATAGCTTAAAATTCTTGTTATCTCAACTATTTTTGTCAGTCTGGTCAACTTTGAGATGGAGAGATTCACCTTTATGTTGTATTAAACAGTAATAGTTTTCAATTTGTATAAGGCAAACATTATTTATGACATAACAGCATAGAAATTAGGCTTATTTACATTTTTAATGATTAATATTGCACAGATTACTCTGTGTTTTGCAATACGTAGAAAAGATTTGCTCATTGAGAGTCACACTCCTTATAGCAGGGTTAATGTCAGTGTTTTCATTAGTCTTTATAGTAAAAGTGAAAAATTACAACATTTAAAGTTATATTGTCTATCGAACAACGTAATAGAGCATCAAGTTGTTATGTAGGACATTAAACCCCTCCAACTAACTAATAATATAACCTAGTTTTAGTGAAAGCATGGGTATGAAAAATAAGCTGAATTAAACATGTAACAATTTATAATTCGAATAAAGCAATATTCTTTTGAAATAACATTTTTCAAACCAGGTATATTTTAATTTCTCTGAAATTTCACAATTATGTTCATCTTTTTGTGAAGAAGAAATAAATTAGCTAATCAACTTTATTGATATTTTTACAGCTATTTAATTGTGAAATCATGGGACCTTTGACAGAAGTGTTGTAAATCATACTCCACAATGTCTTGTTAAATTTGTCACTAAAAATGAAGATGTCTTTCCACCCATTGTTGACCAGAGGGTAAAGACTTGTTAATAGAATGATATGAAACAATTTATCATACCACTATATCTTCATACACCCTAGCCTAACCTATCAACATTGCTGCTATTGCCCACAAATTGTCAATATTTCTGTCTAAATAAACATTTCAACAAATTAAACATAAGAATGAAAATTATTGGTCTTTCATTGATAAAAATAATTAATCAATCATAATTAATAATATGTAAATAGTTATGATATAATTGGTTGTCAATCATTACATATGTACTCTTTGATAGATAAATTGTTCTGCTTCATTAATTTGATTTTGTTTTGTCTGGGATGCTTATGTGTTTTTCTCCAAGGTGTTATGATTGATGAAAATTCCAACATTTATGATGGATGACCCTTTAACATGGTCATTTTTACATAAGGAGTTTTGGACTTCTTTAGACAATTTTTAGTTGAAGATTTTTTAACTACAAAATCGAGAACCAGGAACGGATTATTTTACTCAATTTGTGGTTATATGGTAATAGATACGGATACTATAGATGACATTAAAATAAATTAGTATACAAAAGATGATTTTGTCAACGATTGATTCAGTTGAGATGGATCCAGATTACGCATCTAGTGAGGCCTCTTCATGTGCAGCAGAAATTAAATTTTACTTTTTACAGGACCTTAGAGAAAAATTAGAAAGAGAAAGGGAAGAAAAAGAAAGAAAAGAACAAGAGATCAGAAGAGAAAGAGAAGAAAAGGTATACAGTTCATTATCTTTTTAATACTGTTTAACTGGTGATTTATGACGATTTCACGTGTAAAGGGAGAAGTAGGTCCACATAACAAAATAATATCTTGAGGGCCTGCATGATCCTAAATGATGTCAGCATCTTCCTAGTACAAAATTAAGTGTGTTTAATTAGAATCTTTTTTTGCCTATCAGGGATATGTAGTGCACTAATGAATGTTCAAGAGGGTACTTCCAGATAAATATCAATTCAATAGTTGGTACTGAATACAATTGATTTTTTATATAAGATCTTCCGACTGATAACCAATAAGTTTGCCGATCTTTCCCTCAATTAAAGTATTCAGTCTTCAGAGTAAGTTATATATATTATGCTAATCTTTTTTATGTCAACTTGTTAAAATTAATATGATGCTGAATTCCATGGACTCATTTTTTATGTTTTTCTGGAAAAACCTGCATCAAATACACTGCAGTTTCAATAAGTTTGTACATCCAATAAATATAAAACTTATAGCATAAAAACCAAAATCATCCAAATTGTCAAAGGTCAACTTTACCTAATGGAGTAGCAGCCTTGGTTCAAGTACAAATTACATACAAGTATTCTGAGGTATTACAAAAGCCAAATCAAATCATGTTTGAAGTACATTGTATTTTCAGTTTCTGAAAGAAATCGTATATACAATGTAATTTATTATTGGTATTTAATAGCATTTCTTGCCATTTATTTTAGTAATCCCTTAAGGAGAAATTTTCTGTATTCCATCTTTTTTGTGAGTCATATATGATATACAACAATATACAAATATAATTAATATTAATTTTCTGTCAGCTATTATTTAAAGGTTTATGGTCAGCTAATGGATTGTTGTAAAACATATTCAGTAAATCAGTCCAATATTCAGACGATTATTTTTTCAGTTTAGTTTTCCTATTTGATGTGCATTCCCTCATCTGTCCCTTCATCTAAATGAAAAAATATGATTTATTAATTTATTTTTGGTGGATAAATGACAAATATTTCATGTATATAACAAGGATTGAAATTATTTTCTTATGAAAAGTCACCCATGGACCCTTCTAATTCTGTTGTTCAGGTTCTTATATGTGAAGAAGCAATGGCATCCTCCCAAAATGAATATTGGATTACCCATCCACTATTAGATTTGGTTGTATGTATTAATGCATTCAGCATGACCAATTTGATGCATCTACAGCAAGGGTCATATCAGCGGATAAGGGAAGTCCAGTTAGTCATATTATCATATCACAGCTTCCATGAAGGACTATCTTATCATATTCCAGCTACCCAGAAGGACTATTTTATCTTATCCCAGCTACCATGAAAGACTATGTTAACTGGAATTGAAACCCCCTTGTCATCAAAGCCCTTACTAGAATTGAAACCCCCTTGTCACCAAAGCCCTCAATAGAATTGAAACCCCCTTGCCACCAAAGCCCTCACTAGAGTTGAAACCCCCTTGTCACCAAAGCCCTTACTAGAATTGAAACCCATTGTCATCAAAGCCCTTACTAGATATAAAACCCCCTTGTCACTAAAGTCCTCACTAGAGTTGAAACCCCCTTGTCACCAAAGCCCTCACTAGAATTGAAACCCCTTTGTTACCAAAGCCCTCACTAGAATTGAAACCCCCTTGTCACCAAAGCCCTATTGCCTTCATTTTATACACAAGTTATGTGAAAAGACTTTTACTGAAATTGTAAAACTTCTCATTTTTATAGAATACTGTGAAAATCAATTGACCCTGTGGTTTATTCTTTGCTTAGTTATTTGTTTTTCTTGATTTAGAGATGTCAGAATATAATATTGATGTATTAAAGCACTTATATTTTGTGAAGAAAAATAATAGTAATTGTATGTATTGTATTTAGTTCTTGTTTTACATTATTATCTATTGATTCAACTACTACCAGAATTGTAGAAGGTCCAGTAACAACAACACTTTAAGGAATGCTCCAGTATTTTATTGAGATCTACCAGAATTGTTTATATTATTTGAGCTACAATAATTGTGTTTACTGTGTAATGAAAAAAAAGAAAAGAATCATGTTGAAATTTTTTGCATTTAGAATTTTAAAGGTTCCCTTAAAATATCGCACAACAAATGTCCCCAAATATTGAGTCATCTCTCTTTTCTTTAACTTCTTAAAATGTCTGTACCAAGTCAGGAATATGACAGTTGTTTTCCATTTATTTTGTTGGTTGATAGAGTCTGTTATTTGATTGTGTCAGTTTTTATGGACTTTTCCTTTTTGAATATGCCTTGGAGTTTAGTACTTTAATACTTTTTCACACCTACCCATCCCTGACTCAACTGAATGAAGTATACTGATCCAGAATAATATTCTTAGAAAAACAAGCATAACAAAAAAGTGATATTGTGATACATGGAGGTAGCTTTATATAACTACAATAGATATATTGAAATAAGTCTGTCAGTCGGACATATATAAAGACATTAATTACAACAAGTAATGACCAATCTGTCAATCATTTTAACAGATATACTTGTTTAATATACATTTATCTGTCATGTGTGGCCAACCAAAATATCATTCATGGATTTTCTATTTTTTAATGATTTGATATTTTAGGATACAGTAACATAAATTTATTCTGCTAGATAAGGTCAAAAGTTCTAATTAAGGTCAATATTTGTTTTTTTCAAGCTTTCATTATGCCATCTTTTTAATCTCGGAATTGACATTTTTTTCTTCTTCCTGGATAGTTAAGTATAAGTTTCAATTTGGGATTATGTTACTTTTTTGAAGCCATAAAATATTTTGTATACAGTTACCAACATTATTATACCAGGAAGTAACATATTTGGTCCCTTGTTTATGTATGTATACTTGTTTAGTAATTAATCTATTTAAGAGAACAACATTGATTTATTTTTATCCAAAAATTATTCTTTCATGTATTATTGTATCAGGTTTTGAAATCTCACCATTTTAACCATTAAATTTTTACGAAAAAAAATCCAATTTAAATTTGGAATTTACAATCATGATTTGTAGCTTCCAATCTGGTACTATTCTGATATTTAGCTTTCCATATGGAGCATTTCTGAAAAAAATCTCCCCATTTGGAACAAAAATCAATAACCTACTGTTGAAATACAGTTCCCCATTTGAATCAATTCTGTACAAAAGTTTCCTATTAGGACCTTTCACAAGACTTAAGCATATACTTCTGAACATTTGTTTAACCATCAATATCACTTAATTAACTAAACCTGTAAGGTAGGAAAGAAAATGATTTAATATTTAATTTTACTTTTGTTTGTTTTTTTAAGAATATGTGTATGTCAATATAATTTCCCAGGACAACAATGGTAATAAATGGCTGTTATAATACTAAGTAACTTGCTCATAACTCCTAGATTTATTAAAAATGGAAACATTCAAAACTGGTTAAATACTATATGTAGAAGGAAAAGAGAAAGAATTAATATATATCATATTTCTATCTGAATACCTTAATATTACCACTGAAAACTATTTTGAAAGTGAAATGACTATATCAATATGAGTATTTTTTACCATATCTTATGCCTGCCCCTGAAACTGACTATTTTCCCATTAATAACAAGAAATTTAGAAAATAATATTGAGGATTCTGATTAGTATCTTAATTTATATGAATTTTTGACCCACACAGTAAATAAAATACAAGATCATTAGATCTTAAATACCTGAAATGGGCAGGGCATGAAAGGTTAAATATGTTTGTAGTTACCTGTCATTAACCTTCCCATGGGGGACGTGATCTGCATCAACACCTTGGATTTGATATGAAGATCACAGGATCAAAGGATAAACATTTTTTTATACATTGTGACATTCATCAGAACTAAGATAATGTCATAAAATTTAATACTAGTACACATAATGGAAAATCAGTTTTAGGTTTTCGTTCTTCACACTAAAATCTATGCAAAAAATAACAGTTTTCACAACTATATTCATTGTAATACATTTATACAGTACATAGTGTATCCAATCTTGTCATGAAATTATAAATTTATTTTAAAAGAGCTGTCATGAAATTTATGATAATTGTTCAATAAGTATGCAATTTGTGTCCGACATGTTATTCTTATTGATAATTGTGATTTCAGTTTATTTTTACTCTTTATCTAATCATCTCAGCAGCTTTAAAATGAAAAATATTTTTCAAGCTGTGATCCTTTAAGAAATCAAAACTAAAATTTTAAAAGTAGGAAGTAAACAATATTATTACCTATTTATGCTCTGAAATGTACAATTTTGACCTTTGAATTTAAATTTACATAACAAAGATTTCTAATTCATCTGCAACAAGAAGAATACTGTAATATAGTTCAGGAAAGGTATTAAATTCTATATAAGTTAAAACTGATTAGATAACCTTGAAATAAGTATTAATGCATAAGATATCAGTTAATTCTATGTATGATGTTGATTGAAAACTTCAGTATTGATGCAGAAGGATGGTTTGAGGAAAATTTGTTGGACTACATTCAAATGAAAATGAAAAAAAACTGATGGGTTCATAATATATATTGTTTATAAGGGAAAACATTGATGAAATAGTGTATTTTTGTTATGTTTTTAGGAAAGGAAAGCTAGAGCTATGGCTCTGATAGCAAACCTGGATATTCCTGGTCAGCTGGCCTTTGTCTACAACAAGCTAGATGGTAAGTCTTCAACATAATATGACTTCAAGTTAAGTAACCATGTTTCTTCATTTCCACCAAAGAGTTGAAGTATAATCTCAGTTATCTTGACAAATGAACTTTTTTTGAAGTATTTTACAAAATTTTTAAAGGAGGGGGAGTGTTCATGAATTCCCAAGAAAAATGGGCTTTGATCATCTATGAAATACCATGGAAGATTTTTTTACTACCAAAAAACTTTGGCCAACTTTGTATAAAAACAATTGTGCAATGAAATATAAAAAGTTATATATACACCTTTTCTTTTTTCTCCAACCTTTAGAATGGCAGTGTATCCATAGTGACAGACAGATTGTTGTTATGGATGGTCATGTGGCACCATTAGACATGAAGTATAACCTTCCAGAGGACATCAATGCTCATCCATTCAGCAAATTTACAAATGTCTACTTTAAGGTAAACTTTAACTTGTAATGTTTATATGCATAGTCATTAAAATAAGCTTTTTGAAGTGAACTACAATAGATATAAGAAGATGTGGTATGAGTGCCAATGAGACAACCCTCCATCCAAGTCAAAATTTATAAACCATTATAGGTCAAAGTACGGTCTTCGACACGGAGCCTTGGCTAACACCGAACAGCAAGCTATAAAGGGCCCCAAAAATTACTAGTGTAAAACCATTCAAACGGGAAAACCAACGGTCTAATCTATATAAAAAACGAGAAACACTTATGAACCTTATCAACAAACGACAACTACTGAACATCAGATTCCTGACTTAGGACAGGTGCAAACGATTGCAGCGGGTTTAAACGTTTTAATGGTACCAAACCTTCACCCTTATCTGAAACAATAGTGTAACATCACAACATAGAAAAACACACTATAAAATATCAATTGAAATGGCTTAACTCAATCAAAAGACATATTCACACCAGTGAACATACACTGAACAAATAAATTTGATCTATGATACAATGCAAATACAAAATAAATAAACTAAGGGGAGAATAATTAAAGTAACATGTTATACCGCTGTGAAATGTTCAACAATTTAAGAAAAACAATATACCATTTGTAATGGTCAGCAAAGTATCTTAATAGTTCCTCTAGCTAGTAAAATGATGTACTAAAATTTTGCTATTTTCAATTTGTTTTTCTAACTTTTAAAAACATCACACCTGATTAGATTAACATGATTAAGTAAATTAGAAACGTACTATTAGAAATTGGTGGACATTCCCTTTTCCTGTTAAGACTCCAGTTTGACTATTAACAGTTAAGATAATGATCAGATACTTTATTTTAGTCAAAATCATCTTTCTGATCCATAAAACATCATATTTATCTTCTCACATGTCTCCATCATATAAACTTCTGATAATTTGTATTGACAGATTCATAGATAATGTTCTTAGATGTCTATATTTAGAACCTAAGGAATTTTTATATTCAACTTCTATTTATGGTCAACAACAACAACAACAAAAACAAAAGGGAAGTATACTTTAATGCTAATGTTTTTTTGCAGGATCCAAACTGGGGTGTGACTTTTGAACCCATAAAATCTTCATTGACAACCTATGTAACAGGAGAAGATAACTCTAGACAAGCTGTCTCCACTTTCAAACTGGTATGATACTTCTTTCCTTTGATTTACTGCAATATTTAGCAGCTGTAGCATTATATCATTGTTTAATATTTTTATGTATATGAAGGTGAGGATTTCAAAAAGATTTGTGTGGATTCAAAAGAATTGTTGATGTCCTGCCATGAATACAGATGGGGCATGTAAATTAACCCTTGTACATCCATCCATCCATTCTGATAAGATTAAACTTGGTATAAAAATTTCACAAAAACCTTTGGTAATATATTGATGGATTTTTTTCTATTCAACATGGGTCACTGTGACCTACATTTCATTCCTGATTTACATTTGTTAAGTTTTGCCTTTAGAATCATTTCAGAAACCCATAGTAATGATAAGGTCACTGTGATCTCAATTTCAATGAAACAGTTTTTCAGAAACCCGAATTGTTGAGGCAAGGCATTTTTGTCATATTAATGCATTCTTTAGTTTGGAAGTTGGTACAATATATTTATTCATTTAATTATAGTCATCAATTGTAGATTAGGAGGATATTCTGACTTGACAATAGTGTTCTTACCTCCTTAACAAATTGACTATAACTTTAATAAGATAAAAAAAGTAATGGATTGGGGAGTGACTTGTTACATCCTGCACAGAAGAGACAAATTATAAAAAATATGAAGATAAGAATAGTCCGTTGATTATTTTGTAGATCCTGAGATTGATGAATGACCAGACATTGAGTGCCAAAAAAGAAAAAGCAATGGCTGATTATATTGTACAAATGGTACGTATTTTGACCTCAAGTTTATCACTGAAAAAACCATAAGCAGATTATAGATTTTTAGATAGGATTTTGAGGGATTCTTATTCCTAAAATATTAAAAGAATTTGAAACTGAAGAGTAGAAATTGTTTTCAGTATTCCAAAAAAAAAATTCTGTTCAAAATTTTTGTTGAATTCATACTTTCATATTAAACATGTTCAGTATCTTCCATACTTTATATTTCAGGGTCTACAAAATGAAGCAATAAGAGACGAGATCTACAGCCAGATAGCTAACCAGATATGGAATAATCAGAAAGTGACAGCATTAGAGAGAGGATGGACTTTAATGGCTGCATGTCTTAGTGCCTTCCCAGCGAGTGATAAAATATTCAAATATCTACTGAAGTAAGTTTAGTTGATGTGGTTAATGAACATATAGATAAGAAAACAGATTTAGAGCTTGACATCTTGACATACTGTACAGTCACCTGTCTATTGAAGAAGACTGTCTTTTTTGTTTCCCTGGGTTACTGTCTCATTGAAGTTTACCCCCTCATCCTTTTTTATTCTTTACCGTAATATGAATGAAATTTTTTTACATGTAAAAACATATCTACAGCAAAATGGCTTTTTATTAGTTTAACTGATTAGTACTAGAGTAAACACTGTTTTATCTTATACATATTTTACAACTTACTTGATAACTGTTGAAATCAAAATTGCTAGGGTAGAATTTTGGTATAACATCTTGCAGATAAACTGAAGTCTGGCTGTTTTGCCTGAGTAATTTTGATGTCGCAACATTTGAAAGAAGAGAATTTTGAAAAAAAGAGTTAAATGTAGAGTGATCTAAACAATAAACCATTTAACTGCTATATACTCTCTGGTGGCCAGGTCTTTTCAAAACTGTCCCAGAAAACTTCACACAGTACTGAAGACTTGTGTGTAAATTTGTGATATTTTTCAATTCTTCAGATTTGTATCAGATATTGGTTATAACGGGTACAAGGTTCTTTGTCAACACAAAGCCTTACAGTGTGCCATGATTGAAGCTCAGTTGTGTAGAGTTTATCCTCCATGTTTGTTAGAATGGCGAGCTATTCAACAACATAGTAACATGGCTTTACCTGTCCAGTTTGCTGATGGTAAGTGTAAAACTATTGTAAGTCCATACCACTGGTCATCATAAGAACTGACATTAGGTTGGGCTGAAGGGTCAGTTAAAATGAATATCTTCCGGTTCTCCTAAAATTTACCTGCTCCTCTAAATGCCATACAACCAAATTTGATCCTAAATTTACTGGTCCCTTGGGTGAGTCTAAAATACCTAACTGGCTGGGAGCTTGAGTACTAAAGTCAACCCCTGCTATATAAAATCAAACACAAACAAACATGTATTCCTTAATATTTACTAATGCATATTATATTCTTATATAAGTCTTTGTCTAGAATAGAATATTAGAAAACAGGATTTTTAAAGTTTACAGTCATTACCATAGGTCATATATAGATGCTCTTATTGGTTTAATGTCTCATATGCATAAATTGCATTCAAATTTTGGTAATGTTTACCATCAACTCACCTTTAAATCAAGAGAAGTTTGAAGAAAATGTGAAGGAATTTAACGTGAGAAAGTAGTCTTGTTAACTTCTGTTTGGTTGAATGAGAAATTCCCATTATGTTCCCTTTATTTTTGTCTTCCAGAAAGTTAAAAGTTAGGAAGTTATATTAGATACCTATGATCTTTGTTAATTTTCTATGACTATTCATATCCTGTATGAGTCATTATTTTGGAATGAACAAAATTGAATGCATTTTAAAGTGTTTGTAGAACTTTAGTTTCTAGAACATCATTATCTTGAGATGAATGAATTATTCAAACGAATCTTTAGTTCCAGTTGTTTTAAATCTAAACTTTAGAACATGGACCTGTAACAAGAACATATTTTAAGGTCCCATAGGTGTTCAAGAAATTAGAAGTTTAGCTGCATACTTGATCTTTTATATTCCTCATTTCCTTACTTAAATATCAGAAATGTTTCAGAAATATCTAGTTCATAAATGTTACTAGTAACATTTACTGATTAATGAGCAAAAACTACATAGGGGAAATGATTTTTAGTGTTCTGTACTTCCGAACTTTAAAACCCTTAATGTTTCAGAAATCTCTTATTTATTGCTGTTACAAACACATTTTACATCTTACAGAGCAATAACTTCATTAAGTTACATGCATTTTAAGTTTTTTATATATTCATGTTGAAATATTTTAAATGTTTCAATATCTATAGTTCATTACTATTACATGTTGTTTTTCACTGATTAACCAGCATAAATTACATGACGTTAATTTCAGTGGGATAGTTTTGTCTGGTAAAGTTGTTGGGGCATATGTAAAATCATGCCTCTAATTAATTATTTTATGATGATTCAATATGCCACTTAGATAACTTTACAAAGTTTATAGCCATTTATGTCATTAATTTTGACAAATCCTGCATGTCGTTTTTGTTACCGAAAACAAGAAATGCTGTTAAGGTATGTCCCTATGACGAGTGCTTATTCATGAATAGTCTCAAATTCCAGAATGTCCTGAACAAATGGGATTCTATGATATTGCCGTCTTAGAAAATTGATAAAAAGACCAGTGTTATTTTTCTATAAAAAAGAACCCATAGAGTGTATCTATTTAAAACCCAGATTAATCAGTTGTTCTGGTTTGGGCAATACTGTGGATTGCATATCAAGTATCCATGTTAATAAAAATGTTCCTGAATCCATTTAAATTGGTACCCACAAAAATAAAATAATCCATAAATTTTAGTTCAAATCAGAGCAAAAGTTGTAAAAAGTACCAGAAACAGTCAAATTGTGCAAAAGTTGTCAAAAGAAATGGAAGCAGTCTTGTCAATTATGAAAATAGTTAAAAGTCAGAGCGATTGTGGTAGAAAGGAATGGGCACAGTCAAATAGATTGTTAGTTTCAATCAGAACTACTCGGCCATTCTTGCTACGCCTAATATTGTAGTATTGCGGCTAGTTTAAGTTTGAACAACTTAAGTTGTCAAAAGAAATCGAACAGTCAAATTTATTATAATTGTATTTCAAACTAGAGCAATAGTTGTCAATGAAAAAGAAACCGTCAAATTTAATATAATTTTAGTTCTAATTAGAGCAATAATAGATCATCCATATTAATTATAATTTTAGTTCTTATCAGCAATAATTTTAAATAGGAAATGGATCAGTCATATTGAATATAATTTTAGTTTTGATTAGAGGAGTAGGAAAAAAGGAACTCTGATTTTTAATTTAAGTTTGAGGAAAAGTTGTACAAAGGAATGGAACAGTCAAATTGAGTAAATGAATTTAAAATTCAGTCAGACATTGCCCCCTCCCCCCCCCCCCCCCAAAAAAAAAAAAAATCAAACAAACAAAAACAACCCCCTTGTAAAAATTCTTCCAAAATTACATCATGTTTGATATATATAAATGCTGTACAGTTATTGATAATTGAAACTTAAACAAAGTGAAAGGATATGTAAACTAGAGAACACAAATGCTGGATGGAGATGAAAAAATATTCAGGTAACATTCTTTTTATTTCAGGAAGGAAAATGATGGGTCCGGTAGAGTCGTGGACAACTGCTGAATTGTTTACAAGCCATTTACTTAATACAAGGTATTTAACAATTACCTGGAAGGTATCGTATAATTTTGTCTGTGATATATCACTTATCAGAGTAAGTCCAGCCCTTAAAAATAATCACATCAGAAGATAAATTTAATAAAATAGCAATTACTTCTTGATATAACCGGTGAACAGGAATATTTATTGATTTGTTTACTTTATGCAAGGATTTACATGTCTTACTATATAAAGCCTTGCTTTATGTAAATAACAACATACAGTGTTTTAGTAAATTTGTACTTTATTGGATTATTTGACAACTATTTTAAAAGGTAAATGCACAAAAATGCCTAAAGTCTATTATTACGAATAATTATATATACAAGTACTTTAATTGATTCATTTTTGAATGAAGTTGAAGATGAATTGATGATACAAATCTTAATTGTTTAAAAAGGTTACAAAAATGAAGATTTTTCATAATATTTTCTGTAATTTCATTTCCTGAGAAAATAAAAAGTGTAATAAATTATATTGTGGTAATTGAAAATAAATATTTAGATAAAATAATTGCAATAGGTATTGTTGATGAATCCATTTGTTTTATATCCTAGAGGTGATAAATATCCACCTGTTAACATAGTCTTTACATATTTGTTTTTTTCTGAGAACAACAGAGATATCAAACCAGTCTGTCCTAAGGAAATATACAACCAAATTTGTAATCTGTTTGAAATTTAATAGAATTTTTATCTTTTGTTTTTGTCTATATTGAGTGTCAACAAGCCTTGAGATTTATCTAATTTACATTTGAAATAAAAGAAGGAGGGATGATAGCTCCTGTTAGTAGTTTGATGTTTTAAGTTGGACTTCAATATATTTTTTTCAGAGATCACTGAAATCGAGCTTCTTTACATCCACACTATGGTATTCAGTTTTATACTATAAACAAACTGATTTTCAGGAAGGAATCCATAATCTGACTTTCACAAGTAAAAAAATCATGTGAATATAAACCATCTCAAATATACTTATTACTTGTACTAGAATATGTTGATATAAAGTTATAAATTCAATATAGGCTTGATTTATTACTTTTGAAAATTTGATAAATACTTTCAATTTCAGAGGATTAAAAGAGAATAGCTTTGGATGGACTTTACAGCTTCAAGAGGATGTGGATTATTATGAGTTGATGGGATATGAGTATGTCCTTGACCTTTTAAGTGAAATGGAGATTCCCCCAGGATTCCCTGTCTGCAAGTCTTATAATCTGGTTTCCTCAGATAGAACCAAGGAACCATCACAAGCCACAAGGAGAGCTTACAGAGATACGTAAGTAAAGCAACTGAAGTTAGATAAGGGATTATAAAACTAGACCTACAGGGTGATATGTATTACTGAGTTTAATTTCTCAGCAGATATCCAAATTGTATTCAGTTTGGAGAATTCACAAAATAATCAGATAGACAAGTTAAAAAGCTAAATGAGAGTGTATATAGGCGAGTTAAAATTCAGTGAAAATTGCATGTTTTGCAAGCAGTAATTATGATTGAAATATAGTGATATTAGCATTTCTCCTTTCTTTTATTGAATTGCAATGTAACTGTATCTTCACTTATGTGTTATTTAGGAATACTTATTTGTAAGTGTTGCACACACTTAAATCAGTATCATACATTTACATTACATACACAAGTCATTTCTGTCCATGAAACAATCATGTTAAATATGGTACTTCTTGGTGATATATGCCTCATTGATTGTAAACTGGCAAATTTTTACAGGAATGTATACAAGTTTATACAGTATGATTATAATGTTCTTTTTTTTTGCAGACCACACAATACAGATGCCACAAGATACATGATTTTGCCTGGTCGTTTGCCAGAACCTTTCAAAGTTGTGTCAAAAAGACTTGAAGAGAGAACTTTCTCTCCAAGAAGTAAAGAAACAAGAGACACGGATGAAATAGAGTTCTCAATGACAAGTGTTTTAAACCAGAGGCCTACAGATATTGCTCTTGATGGTCTATCAGAAAGTAAATTAAACCTGCGATACATAAAACGAAAGGCTCCAAATCCTCCATCCCCGAATGGAGTAACAAATGGATTTACAAATGGTGATATTTCACCAATTATTGAAGGGAAGGAACTCGATCTATCTCATACTAAACTAAACAATAGATACACTAATGGTGTGACTCCCAATGGTGGGACCAAACAAATGGAAGATGCTCTCAGTCCAAGCTCAAAACTAAATGCTCGTTACATGAAGTCTGGAGTAATTAAAGGTGCAAGAAAACCTGGAGTGCAAGACAAAATTTCAAAGAAACAGCAATTAGATCGTACATTAGAGCTACAGACTGCTTCATCTGACATTTCTCATGCTACAGGACAATCAGACTGGTCACATTGGGTTGAAGATGTGTTCAATAGTGCATTGGATGAACATGTAGATTCATTGAGTGATGCTAGGTCTGTAGAAAACAGACTGAAGGGAGGTGGTAAAGGAATCCCTGGACCTGGAATGCAACAGGTTGGTACATTTTGTATTTTGTTGATGGTTCATAATTTGATGCTTTATTACTATGTGATTCATAAGGTGTTGTAAATAAAGGGATTTAAAATAAGATGTGGTATGATTACCAATGAGACAACTATTCACCAGAGACCATAGGATGGGGATGGAACTACAGGGTACGGCCTTCAACAATGAGCAAAATCTATTCAATAAAACTATAAAAGGCCTTGGCATGACTTAAAATGTGAAACCATTTATAAGAGAAAACCAATGGCTAGATTTATATTAATACAAATATATCGAAAACAATTATGGCAGACAGCAACCAACAACAACCACTGGATTATAGGCTCCTGACATGGGACAGACAGCAACCAACAACAACCACTGGATTATAGACTCCTGACATGGGACAGACAGCAACCAACAACAACCACTGGATTATAGGCTCCTGACATGGGACAGACAGCAACCAACAACAACCACTGGATTATAGGCTCCTGACATGGGACAGACAGCAACCAACAACAACCACTGGATTATAGACTCCTGACATGGGACAGACACATACAGACAGCAACCAACAACAACCACTGGATTATAGGCTCCTGACATGGGACAGACAGCAACCAACAACAACCACTGGATTATAGGCTCCTGACTTGGGACAGACAGCAACCAACAACAACCACTGGATTATAGGCTCCTGACATGGGACAGACAGCAACCAACAAAAACCACTGGATTATAGGCTCCTGACATGGGACAGACAGCAACCAACAACAACCACTGGATTATAGGCTCCTGACATGGGACAGACAGCAACCAACAACAACCACTGGATTATAGACTTCTGACATGGGACAGACACATACAGACAGCAACCAACAACAACCACTGGATTATAGGCTCCTGACATGGGACAGACACATACAGACAGCAACCAACAACAACCACTGGATTATAGACTCCTGACATGGGACAGACAGCAACCAACAACAACCACTGGATTATAGACTCCTGACATGGGACAGACACATACAGACAGCAACCAACAACAACCACTGGATTATAGGCTCCTGACATGGGACAGACACATACAGACAGCAACCAACAACAACCACTGGATTATAGGCTCCTGACTTGGGACAGACCGCAACCAACAACAACCACTGGATTATAGGCTCCTGACATGGGACAGACAGCAACCAACAACAACCACTAGATTATAGGCTCCTGACATGGGACAGACAGCAACCAACAAAAACCACTGGATTATAGGCTCCTGACATGGGACAGACAGCAACCAACAACAACCACTGGATTATAGACTCCTGACATGGGACAGACAGCAACCAACAACAACCACTGGATTATAGACTCCTGCCATGGGACAGACACATACAGACAGCAACCAACAACAACCACTGGATTATAGACTCCTGACATGGGACAGACAGCAACCAACAACAACCACTGGATTATAGGCTCCTGACATGGGACAGACAGCAACCAACAACAACCACTGGATTATAGACTCCTGACATGGGACAGACACATACAGACAGCAACCAACAACAACCACTGGATTATAGGCTCCTGACATGGGACAGACACATACAGACAGCAACCAACAACAACCACTGGATTATAGACTCCTGACATGGGACAGACAGCAACCAACAACAACCACTGGATTATAGGCTCATGACTTCGGACAGACACATTAAGAATGCTCAACCCTCCCTTAACCTGGGACAGTAGTGTTAAAACACAACATAAGAACAAACTGTAAAAATCAGTTGGAAAGGGTTAACCTCATCAGATTAATACTAAGCAAACAAAATTTTAGTAGTGATAAAAACAATATTTAATGTCTTTTTATGCCCCCGCCGAAGCGGGGCATTAAGTTTTACCCTTGTCCGTCTGTCCCTACATCCCAAAATTGGTTTCCGTTCTCTTACTTAAGTTTGCCTCAACCAAATGTTATCAAACTTATACACAATGCTTATTACCACAAAACACAGATCAAGTTTGAATTTTGGTGGCGTCACTTTAACCATTCTAGAGTTATGCCCCTTTATAAATGGAAAAATTGCAAAAGTTTTCATTTTTTTTCTAAAAATATCAATGATGTCATTGTTCTAGTAATTTTTAAAATTGGAGTGTTCTTCCTTTGTCCATGATTATAGTTGAATCAACTACAATCAGTGCTTTATACAATGCAATGTTTAATTTTGCCTTCCACTGATAAAACACAGATCAAGTTGAATTTGGGTAGTGTCACTTTAACCATTATTGAATTATGCCCCGTTATAAATTGAAAAATTGCAAAATTTTTAGTTTCCGTTCTGTAACTTAAGTTTGCCCCAACCAAACATGAAACCTATACACAATACTTATTACCACAAAACTAAGATCAAGTACAAATTTGGGTAGCGTCACTTTTATTGTTCTTGAGTTATGTCCCTTTATAATGTTGTATGCAAGCGGGGGCATCATCAGTGTCCATGGGGACACATTCTCCATTTATTTTGACTGAAGTTGGTTCATTCAGGAGGATAGCATTCCATAAAGATGACAGCTTTAACATATGAATTGACATTCAGGAGAGTGTGAAATGCAATATTTGCATCTCAGGGGTTTATAAATGATTTTTGTCGAGCCTGCGACATTTATGTTGTAAAAGCGAGACATAGCTATCCTGGATTCCGTCGGTGCCGTCAATGTTTAGGTTCAGTCTGTGGTTAAACTTTTTTAAACAACAATAATTTTGTAAAACCTTCATGGGATTTTAAGAAATTTGGACAGAAGTTTGTTTATGACCAAAATACAGTATCCAGGGCAAAATTTAGAAAATATCTATTTTCATTTATTTCCGTATTTTACTGATAAATGGACTTAAGTATTTTACCGTTAAAAAGTAGATACAGTCTAAGGTAGTTTTTTCAGTCATTAAATATCTTTGTCAAACCTTCTTGGAATTTTCGGAAATTTGAACAGAAGCTTAGTTATAACCAAAATACAGTATTCAGAGCAAAATTTTGAAAGTTTTTATTTTCATTATTCTGTATTTAACTGATGAATGGACTTAGTTTTTTTCACATTTAACTAATAGAGTCTGGGGTTCTAAGTTTGTTACTCGTCAATTACTTTATCAAACATTCATAGAATTTTATGAAACTTTGGCAGAAACTTTTGTATGTTTAAGAGATAATGTCTGAAGCAATCTTTTGAAATATATTTTTTTCATTTTCAGTGTTTATCTGATAGATGGACTTAGTTTTTTACAGTTAACATTTACAGTCTGGGATTAAACTTTTTTGACATGATAAATTTGTAAACCTTCTTGGATTGCTATGAAACTTGGACAGAAACTAATCTTCATGACAATGAAATAGCAAAAAGGTCGATTTCTTTTTTCAAATTCTTTATACTGATAAATAGACTCACTTTTAAGTAAACATTACACTTTTACACTAACAGCAGCAATCAAAGGTGAGACACAGGGTTCCATGGAACCCCTTACAAATTTATAAAGTAATCATACCCCAACTCTATGATATTGCATACCCCTTGTCTGTCAGTTCATTCAAGAAATATTTCTGTGACCTTTTTCTCAGATACCAATGAACAGGATGACTTCATATTTGGTAAGCAGTTTAAAAGTGATGAGTTGTAACATGTGAGCACTTTTCAGATTTGTCAGACACCTAATTCCATGTTTGCAAATACTTTGAATTTCTCAATATGTTAAATGAACTTTCAATTTTTCATCACACTTTTCTGAAGTACTTTTGAAGAGAGTTACTTCATATTTAATCAGCAGCTTATCAGTGATGAGTTGTTAAGGATGATCTGTCAGACATCTTCTTACTCCTTTCTGATACTTTGAGTAAAATGGGCGGAAGCTTAGCATGACAAAGCGTGCATTCTTGTGTTACCAAGTTGCCTCTAAAAGAATTCAAAACAGAGTCACTTGTTTGAATAATTTAAATTTACCACTTTACTGTTGAATCAAAGACATGGCAATATAACCATCTGTTTTGTTTTCTTCTTATAGAATCATTATAGGTCAGATTTGTATAAAAAAGAATGTAAAAACTTAAGTACATTTATGTGAGTCATGTTAAATACTTGTAACTGTCTCTGCTTTCACTTTAGATGACTGCTAGGTGATTATGATTAGCAAACAACTTGTGAACATTGATAATTTTTGTGTAACTGTCACAGTAAGACATAATGGCTTTTGATTAAGACATACTCTTTGACGTAAAACTATGTAATTTTATAAGTTTGTCAACATGTTGATTTCATTATTCTAAATGTAAATAAATATGGATCACCCTTAAGACAATTATCAATGGGACATCAAAATTTTCACTATATCAGAATTTTATATTTGCCAAGAGCAACATTGTACAAAGAGTAAATGTGGTATGAAATGTTTCTACGAATAAATTAAGATCACTGTTTTCTGATAAGTGAGCATGAAAAATTACAACATGTATAAATTTCATAAAATTTTCATTAAAAAACAAATGATGAGCAGTGACGAAAGAATTTAAGTAACGTGCAGTCATGATCCGTCTGCTTATCACAATCCAAGTCACTGATGCGTTTTGTGATCTTTTGACCACCAAAAGTACCGCTGGTATTATCCATGTATGACAAATCAGCTGCCATCACACAGATGAGAATAAAGCAGTGGCTTCAGGCTCTTCTTATTGGGTGTAACAAAACTATCTTGTGTTGTCATTTACAATTTTTATCATTCACATCCACAGTGTGCAGTGTTGTCTTTTCATATTATGAAGGGATGTTAATTTTTTAATCACCTGTTCTATGAAAATAATTTTTTACAAATGAATGTTTCGACTTTTATTGGAAGTAAAAATTAATTGCTGGTAGTGACATTAAACTTGTTTCAATGGATTAATAATATCTTTCTATGAAAGATTTCAAGCTTTAGTATTGGGAGTTACAAATATGAAGGACACGGTAAGAAATTTAAGAAAAGTATATTTTGTATATAACTTTTGCATATTCCCTGATTGAAACATAATTTTTTTAAAGGCAAATGTATAAAGAATGACAGGTTTGATTTTAGTCCTTCAGTTTAAGGCCGCTAAGATAAGATAAAAACATATGATATCTGAAGGACTACCATTGTCATTGAAGGAACTCTGAAAGTAGGAGCCATTCATAGAAATATTTTTGGCACTTAACTAATATTTCATTCATTTTTTTTAGGGCAATTTTAAAACTGTCATATATGTTTTAATCAAACATCCTTTAGTCATCAAGTCATAAAGTAAAATGAATTCATTGATATTAATGTAATTATGACAAGAAACTAATGTTTTTATGTTGTAGAGCTAGTCAAGCTGAAAATTGTTGTTTTATTTGTAAATCGTGTTTTAACCACAAGAACTTTTTTTTTTAAACACATGTCACAAAGGCATATATAAAAACATTATCCTATATATATATATATATATATATATGAGAATTAACAAAAAGTGCGGAACTTTAATGCAATGAATGCACTCTTGGACTATTCGATTGCGCTTATCTGAAAGATTGCTTACTGGTGTGGTAAATCAGGTAAATAACGAATTCTTGTAAATGTAACCAAACATGTGCATAACATAGTTTGAGTATTGAAATGTCTTGTTTGTCTAAATATTGTAAATCTGAAGCCTTCAAAATCCATGCTTTACATTGTGTGTCAATGTAAGACACAGATCTGGAATACTTATAATTCATGGCTTAACTTATAATAAAACAATCAAACTGAAAGATGTCTACATTTTGCCCCACAGAAAAAATGTGGTATTTCATGTAAAAAACAAAAATAAAGATATTTGGAGGGATAACATTACCCAAAGATTTATATTAGATGGATTAAAGATCTGACATTTGACATAACTATATTTCTATGTTCATTCATCTTTCAATACACATCAAAGTGATGTATTCTTTTGAACACTCCCAGACCCTTAGGCTTCTGTGGTAATCCATCCTAATATTTGTTGATATCCCAGAGCTTCAGTCTATGACAGTTTTGACATGAAGGTAGTGTAATGGAAATTGGGTTAGATAGGTTTATGTCAAGGTCATTGAGGTCATCTGTCAGATTGACTTCTAATAACCTTTGACCTGTATTACAAGTTTCAATGATGATCATTTAAAAATAGTGGAAATTATAGGCAAAGTAAAGCAAAATGTTATGCTGAAAAATATTCAGGTATATATTATAATTTCCTGATTTCATGGCAGAAACAAGTTTGAAAACAGATACCATTGAAAATTGTGTTCTTCACAGAATACAAAGAAGAATATCACAAAACTGATTGAAAAAAGACGACTTCCTTATGAACCAAACCCCCATCATGTATGTCCATGCTTATTCTGTCAACAGAGGGCTTCTAAAGGAAGTCTTTCTCAGGTAGTTATGGAATGTTGTTGAATTACAGCATTATTGTTTGTTTATTATAATTTTACCATTTTACAGTAGATTGCTGATTTTAAACATTATCTTAAAGACTATTTATTGTAAAATATTTTGTAGACCCAAGCTCAGCCTCCTTCCTCTCTACCATTGTTTGTGAATGGCAATGTTGGTGTTGCAGGAATACCTATTCAAAGTAGTCCAGGTGGTCATACACCACAGCTTCCTCAAGGTTTGTTACACATTGTTTGTAGTAGATATAGGAAAAGAAAGGTCAAGGATGGATGTCCATGAGACAACAATCCCATGAAATACTAGTATATAACCAGTCTATCAAGAGAACAATGTTCTTATTGCTGTTCTTCATCATGGAAGTTGATAAAAGGTTAAATTTGAATAAAAACAGCTCTACTTTAACTTCCAAATAGCTATTTAAAAATCACAAAAAATACCAGACCATTGTATCTTTAAGGTGAGCTGTCATACAGCTAGTTCAAAAGGCTTCAATATTAATTTTAATCATTATTTGTACAAGTAGTTGATATATTGTTTTCTCCAGGTACTCTAGTTTCCTTCAGTAATTTCAAATCTAGCTAAATTGAGACATTTGATTAAAAAAAAAAACATAGCCCCTACTCCTAGAGTGGTGTGAGATATACATATTACATTTCCTGTGTCAGTTTGTTCTTCCAACAAATATTTCCATCACCTTTTTACAGGTGCTTCTGAATAGACTTCATGTTTGGTCTGCAGCTAGACAATGATGATTGTATAGTGTGAACACTTTTTGTATCTGTCAGACACCTACTTCCTGTTTGCTAATACTTTGAATTTTTCAATATGTTGAATGAGCGTAATATTTTCGCCACACTTTTATAGAGGACATTGTGTAACTGAACAGAATGATTTCATATATGATCAGCAGCTTGATGGTGATAAGTTGTAAAGTATGAGCACTTTTTCTGATCTCTCAGACACCTACTTTCTTTTTTGTGTATACTTTGGGGGTATGCTTAGCACAACAACACATGCAATCTACCAGTGGTGTTCTTGTATTTTGCAGTTATATGTTCTAAAAAAGTTGTTCTTTTTACAGATATGTCGGGCATGTTACAAATGCAACAGCAGTTAGCAGCTCAGCAGCTGGCACAACAACAAGCACAGCAACAAGCTTTACTACAGGCTTACATCAGTCAAATGGTAGGTTCATTGTTAACACTTCTTATGGCTAAGATCTGTTTTTCCCTTTAATATTGTTGTTGTCATTATTCTCTTGCAATGGGTATTAATGTAACACAGACTCATCCAATTACATGTGGGACCCATTATAAATAATCTGATTAAAATAGAGATCCTGTGTCTAAGCTTTGCTTATAAGCATCTGACAAAACTCCATTTTACTTTCTGTTGTGGTAATTATTATATCAGCCAATGAAATTTCAGACTTCAAATTTTTGAAAGTGTGTATTAATCTGACAATACCAGAGGATCCTGAAAGGTCTTTAAACTAGAAAGTAGTATGGAGTTTTCTGATCCTTGTAAGCAAACCTTGAGACACAGGATCTGTATTTTAAACAGATTTTTAAAACATATTATTAACAGTTAGTCAGTATCGTATGGAAATGTGATAAAAAAGTAAAGTTACAGAGTTTCTTCGGTAAAAATCTTCAGACTCTATAAGAGGTACTATGAATTGAAAGCAAATGTATTGGCTGAGTGAATTTGCTAGACATGAATAAATTCTTGTATTATGATGTAAAAGTTTTTGTAAAAGCATCATCTTTTAAAATGATTGCAGTGGAATTTGTATATTTGCTTTTAAAAATGAACTGTGTATAATTGTGTATGTGTACACTAGTATTGAGCTGTGTCCAGTGGTTTTGAGCCAAACTCAAATAAGTCCAAGCAAAATAAATCAATTTAAGATTGTTTAACAATTCATCACAAAAAAGTAGAAATATTTCTATTTTGATTAAGAATATTTTGTAATGCACATCCATGTTTGTTCTTCCAAAATCTTTTAATGACTATATTACCAGAACAGTAGATTTTCAGTTTCCAATTAAAAATTTAAAAATTTCGAACTTAATCAGTTACTGATAAATGTTACTTCTACATGTTTATTGTGATTTAATATTATCAATTTTACCCTAATTTAAGAATAGAAATAAACTTTGTTTATAACATGTATGATAAACTGAAGTTGAACAGAACATTATATAGATATAAGAAGATGTGGTGTGAGTGCCATTGAGACAACTCTCAATCCAAGTCACAATTTGTAAAAGTATCTCCAAAGTTTTAATATTTCTATCTACAATAGATTCATTATTATTCATGGGTAGAAATTTTTCATAGATTTTGTGGGTATACATGAACCAGAAATTTAAAGTTGAACAAAGTACAAATTTCCTTATGCAGACTTTGGCAAAACCACGAAATCAAATATATTAAAAAAATATAAATAATTTTCCCTACATACATGAAATAAATACCTGCGAAAATGAATAAATCCACAGTATCTCTTGTAAAAAATTTTTGTGTGGATGTTTTAAATGTCATCAGCAGTAGAATAATTATTACTGGACGTTTGATGTTTTATTTTGTTTAACAGAATGCTAGTAATCAGGTAGACCTTTTATTATTATCATCCCTTAGATCTGTTCTTTATACTTTTAGAGTTGAAACTCTCCAATCCTATATATGTTTTCTTGCAACTGGTCATTGTTTTTTAATTTCAATTAAAGCCTTTCAGTAATGATAGCTTTTGAAATCATTGATTATACAAGAATATGAAACTTTCACAGAATTTTACTCAAATGAAGTACTTTTGCACCTATTTCTTTTCATCTTCTGAATAATTTTGGGGGTCTACTTTTCCCTGAACTGTACTTTGTCATATCTCCACTCAATTGTATTGGTTTTTTCTCTTAAAACCCTTATCAGAATTTAATTTTACTTTCTCATACTCGTAATCATACAATGCCATTGCGCACCTATTTTGCTTTTTGATCTAAATTTTATTTTACCAAATCAGATTTTGTCATTGTTTAATGTGTTAGGGGAGGGGAATGGGGGGTCACTTTGTGAGCTTTGCTTGCAGTACCTCTAGTATTAAATGGCTATGATTGAAATCAAATACATGTGACTGGTTTCAAGAAAATATTACTACTCTAGGAGAGTTTCTGGTGTAATACTACTACTAGGGTGGTTGTTAATGACCTTGACTGGCTGTTAAGCCCTCGCATGGTCGGTAAATGGTGTAATAGATTTACAGATATAGATAATCAAATTTGAAATGAAGTAGCATGAGCCACACATATTTGCTATGAAAATAAAACTTAACAGTGATTACAAAATAATGTATAAGGCTGCATAACCTTAGCTATATTAATTAAAACTATTTGTCTCAAAAATCCATTTACAACAAAATAATGTCCTATTCAAAAGATAAATACTAAACAGATTTTAGATTCATCATATTTCACCTTAGTTTTAACAAGCACATCCAATTAGTAAAATCTTGAAAGCACTTACAACTAACAGTAAAATATTCTCATTTGCTTGACTTATAAACTGCTTATTTAAGAGACCACTGACATAAATATAAAATAGTTTTCTCTAAGAAATTTGTGACAACTCATTGTTCAGGAATGCTGACAATCAAATCAACTGGCTCTTTGCTTTCATTTTATCATTGAACCTGTAGCATAATGCATGTTCTTCTATAGAATATACCTTTGTATGGTTCTAGGATATATAAATTGTTATTTACAAAAGAATACAGTCCAACTTGTTTAAATTTTCACACATGCATGTCTACTTTGAAATGGTTACTGTAAAACCTTAGAATATGTAGGTGTGTTTTTAAATGGTTTCTGTAAAACCTTAGAATATCATATTGATCATGTGAACTTCACTCTATACAGTATAAACTTTTGACTTAGCAGGTAATTCTGTTGTGCAGTTTTTTTGTAAGATAAATATTTTTGAAAATGCTACCCTTCTGAAAAAAAATAACTTAGATTTTTTTATAGACCAATGTTTATTGAATGCATATCTGACCAATTTTTTCAGGCACAAGCTCAAGCCCAAGCACAAGCACAGGCCCAGGCACAGGCTCAAGCACAAATGCAGGCTCGTTATCAACAACAACAACAGCAACAACTTCTACAATCAGCACAACAACAACTTTTACAACAGCAGATGATGGGACCACAGAATCTTGTCAGTCCAGGCTCTAGTATGAGCTCTGTCGGGGTATCACCATTCACACGTCCTCAGATGAATGGAGGCCCACCAGTTTCAGTTAGTGGTATGACAGTATCACATGTGGAAAATGGGTCTGGACAACCAAAAAAAGTATACAAAATAAAATCTCAGTTCGAAGGCAGAACTGAGCACAAAAGTTTCGGACAGCAAAATCATGTGCCAGAGGAACAAAAAGTTCATATTGATACCCAGTTAAATGAAAGTCATTCAAGAATGCCAATATCCCATGCTCCACCACCGCCAATGCAGTTCCAGGATCAGGACTTAATCAGTCCAAGGATGCAGGTCAAAGCCCCACCCCCTCCCCCTCCTCCACCACCCCCACCAGCAAATGTTTACACAGAAGATACTTTTGATAGAGTGAAAGGTACATTTTCATTCACAGACAAAACAGGTCGTGCTAGAACTGTAAGAATTGGTCGTGTAGTATGGCCACCACCACCTGATAGGGAAGAAAAACAGAAACGTGAAGTAGGTCGTCTGGAGATTGATGAGAAGGTGGAGAGAAGTTTAAATGACAGGATGGGAGGGAAAAAGCAATGGAAGAAACCTGAGCAAGAACTTCCGGAACCAAAGAAGGTTTGTTAACAGCAGTTTATTTATCAGTTGTCTATTCATTTTTAAGTTTTATATATTTATAGAAGTACAGCATCATTATTTATTATTAATATAAGTACTATTTTAAAACTCTTGAGTAAAGTTGTGGCCATTTTTGACATAGGATATAGATCGAGCTGAGCAATTCAGAATCTTAAGAGATCCCTTGTTGGTATGTAATTATGTTAGAAGTAGCAGATAAAGTTCAATTTAATAGAATGTTTTTATATGGAATTACAATTAAAAATTTGATTTAATATTAATTTGAGTGATGTATCTAACAAAAATTACATGGTTTCACTTGTACAATGTAATTAGATTAGACATTTACAATATAATCTTGTTTGCAGTTTCATTTGGACATCATCTTCTTCCAATTTACCCGACCCTCATCAGTAGGAGAGTTTACAGGGAATTTCTTTAACTGATTTCTTGAAGATTTTTCTGAAATCTTCCTGAAAGAAAATTAATATGAGGTTAAAACTTGACAATTTATATAGATTATATAAGGGAAAATCATCCTTTGTAGAATAAAACAGTAACTTTTGTGTTGAAATTGTGCTTTTTGAAAGTATACTGTTGAGATTCTTCACGTTCATGAAATAAAGTAAAAAGGTAGCAGTACCCACTTGTTTTCTTGCCATCTAACATTTTACAGTAATATCCAGTGAAGAAACCTCCCCTTGAATTGAACATTTTTGTTCAAAAGTGTTTCCTAAATTGAGGTCAGAGTTTGACTTTGATAACTTTCATTTTTGCTGTTCAGGAGTTACTGTCATAAATTGATTGAAAAATATCACATCATCTTTAACAATAACACTTAAATTTATCAATGTAGTAAAAACCTGGCTTGATGCTTTTTTAACATCTCCTTTTTGTCTCATTTTTTGTAATTTCAATTTTCATGTTTTGTTACAGGAACCAGCTAAAAGAACCAAATCACTTGCTGAATCTGTTCACTTGGCAACACTGCAACTTCTAGAGAATAAGTTAGGTGGAAATAAAGTGGAGGTACACTCAGACCAGGTCCAAACAGATGATTTACCACCAACTCCCCCTCCACCCAGACAAGAAATTGTACATTATTCCACTAAAATTATAGGTATATTTGATTTAAGTCAAATAATGTTATTTTGGGACTTTGAACTATACATTTAGTTGATACAAAGATACATATGATAATTTCATCATTAAGTGATAGAAACAATATTAGTTTTAATAATGGAAAAGATAAGCCTATTATATATGCAAAGCTGGTCAATTACTATTTTCCTTTAAATGCACAAATTCCGTAATTGAACAAAAATTCTGAATTTTTAAAAAATAAATTTTTTAATGACTTTTGGTATATCTGTAGAACGTGAACCTTCTCCACCTCCATTACCAAAGAGTCCTCCACCAAGATTTTCACATTCTACGCAACAAGAGTTAGAAAGAGTGGAACATGTTGTAGAGCCAGTCCAAGAAAGAACCATCATTGACTACCATACTGTAGAGAAAATCAGAACACCGCTGTATCCTCAAAGTAAAGAAAGATTTCTCTCTTATCAAAACACTCCATGGATGTTGAATGCAAGAAAGGAGGTAATAAAATAAAATACATTGTAGAGATTTTAATGTTGATAGTATGAAAAAGATTATCGCTATTTTACGAAATTTTCCTTTGATCTTGCTGACTGATAATTTCCTTTCTCAGCGGAGTCGAGTGATATGAAAAATTATCGCTAGAAACTAATGGTGCTCATGCTGGTTGTCAATGAAATTAACAACGTCGTCATAGGTAAAATAGCAATAAACAGATTATCATTGGTCATCTCAACTCGATTGCTTTTCTCACTTTCGCCGTTCCAGCTCAAGCGAGAAAATCAATCTTGTTGAGATAAGCAACGATAATCTATAAATACGGTATTGACTATTCTGAAACAAGTAATTGTTTTAGATATTCTACTCAGTTATGATAAATAAGGAAATTATGATTTAGTTAAAAATCTTTAGACCCATACATATGAACTATTAGGCACATGGAAGACCCAAACAGATATATAAAAGAGAGACGTTACTTATATTGACAAATTGTTTAGTCAATTCTTGCATGATTTCTATATTTATGGGTTCAAAAACCATTTGAAAATGTTTTTTCTTGAAAATAAGTTGAAGTGGGTTTTTCTCTGACTTCTTTTCTAAATTAATTGTGCCATCATGGATATAAAACTATAATCTCCCATTAGTTTTGTATTATCTCAAATTGGAAACAGCCAAAATGGAATACTTAAATTAAAACTTTAGTATCAGAGAAAAATTAGGCCAAACAAGACCCGTATTGCAGCTGCCTTTCGAACCATTCTGATAACTGAACAGAATTTTGTTTCTTTCACATTGACATATACCCACAATATTTATTTTCGTTGTTCAGTTTCCAAGTTGTGTGGATCGTATTTTGATTTCTGAAGTTATAAATTGTTTTTATGCCCCATTTATGGGCATTATGTTTTTCGGTCTGTGCATCTGTTCGTCCATTCGTTCGTCCGTCTGTACCGCTTCAGGTTAAAGTTTTTGGTCAAGGTAGTTTTTGATGAAGTTGAAGTCCAATCAACTTGAAACTTAGTACACATGTTCCCTATGATATGATCTTTCTAATTTAATGCCAAATTAGAGTTTTGACCCCAATTTCACGGTTCACTGAACATAGAAAATGATAGTGCGAGTGGGGCATCCGTGTACTATGGACACATTCTTGTTATGTTGTGTTTTTCTTTTTTAGATATTTCATCCTAGAGAGAGATTAGAGAATCCTACAGCCCAAAGTTTAATCTTTGATCAGATTGTACAAGATGTGTATAATCCAGGGTGTATGAGAGTTAATAAAGATGACAGAATCAAAATGAGAGGAATGTTGGGTATGATCATTATATATCACATGACTCTTAATGCTTTATACTCAGTTATAAGTGTCAGAAATTTCAAAGGAAATCCATCAAATTTTTAACACTTCAAATTCTTAATTCTGAGATACACAAGTTCATAATTGGATAAATAGAGCACACTGCATTTCCAATTTTTTGTATTAAAGATCTTTGGACGGAAAAAAAAAACAATGAAAGGAAATTACTGCTGTCACTTTCTGTAAATTACAACAATCTGAATGGTATGAAAGAATACCTCAAGCCAGTAATCATGTAAAAGTATCAGTTCAGAAAATTGTAACTCCTGTTTACGAGGTATCTTGATTTAGCTATAAAGAATTGATGTGTAAAAATGACATCATTTTATCTTTTCTAATTTTGTCTCGTTACAGAAAACTATGGAATTAATGAGAGAAACTACCTCACAGGTCCTCATACAAACCAAGTGAAGAAAATCATCATAGATACAGCTAAAGATTGGTCGTCATACTTTTGTAGAATGTTCCCAGTAGCTGTAAGTTTACCTCCACTGTAATTGTAAAATTTCCAAAAGTGATAAGACACAAGTTAAGCAAACCTATCAAGTCTTTGTTACATACGGAAACTGTTACTATTTCAAAACATAATCAGTTCTGTTTACTGATAATTTACTGTGAATTCACTATTATTTGTTTGGGTACTCATTTTCATGGATTTGATAAGTAAAGGTGAAATATGAATTTAAGTATTCTATAAAATACAAATATCATATATTTGTTTAATAGTTGGGTTACTGAAAGCCAAAAAATCATTTGTCCATGGAAATACAATATCTCAATCCCTGTATTTTGATCACAAATTTTATATGTTGTATCTTCTATGTTTTGCTCAGGGTGAAGGTGAATATTCAGAAGTGAAGTATGTTGGTGTTAGTCACTCGGGTATAAGATTCCTCAGACGTGAAAGGTCACTGGTTGATGATAATTTCGATGTGTTAGATTTCTTCAAGTAAGTGTAATTGAGGAATTGTTAAGAGTAAATTCAGAATGGAATTTGTGCATTTATCATTATGAATCTTTGGCCACCTTCAATAGTACTTGTCAAATATAATTTCTTTGGATGTTCAAGAGATGTACCACTAGAAAATGTAAGTCTCAATTATTGTAATGTTTTTTCAGTATTTTTCTATTAACTAAAAATTGCATTCATCTCTAATTTTCCAGTAAATCAACCAAATATGGCACCATATATACTTCTGCAGACACTTGCTTTGTCATGGTAAATGTTTTATAAAACCATTCTGGTTATCATGAATAATTTGTTTGAAACATTTGAGTTTAAGGGTTAATAATAAAAACGATAATGACTTTGTTTATAGAGGATTAATAAATTACCATCCACTAATCTACTTGAGGCACTCACAAAAAAAAACATTAAAAATGTATTGCTATCTTCAACAATGGCATTGGCTTTTGCATGTTTTGTATATTTTGTAGATTTGAAGATGTGATAGATGTACAGATCCACAACAGAAACGTGGCACAGATTAACTTCAAAGATAGATCTGTAGTATTCTATACCAACAGGGTAATTATTAAATATTCATTTGTTAATGTATCTAAAAAGTTACAAACAAAATAACACTGAACTTGCTGGGGTGCTTGCATGTAAATGAACTAAATATGAATTTTGTCTCACCTGCCAATTAAGGAAAAATAGAAAAGTAAAATTTGGTATACAATTTTTAAGACACAATACATTTTTTTTTTAAAAGCTGAATGGAAGAAAATATTTCTCATGCAAATGGAAAGAAAGAACTAATACACACATATTTGTCACAAATGATATTTGCATTTCATGATTTTTTTCCAGGCTAAACAAATGAAAGAACTGATAGACATGTATTTGTCAGAAACAGACAGGGTAGGTATTATTTTATACAAATTCTGATTTTGACATATCATTGAATTTAAACCTGAAATACAAAAGTAAATTGATTCAATTGTCCTGTGTAGTGATTCAAGTAGACTCTCTCTTTTTATAAGCATGTCCCTGTGTAGTGATTCACGATTCTCCCTTTTTATAAGCTTGTCAAATACAAGTGACATTACAACTTGTTTTATATGGTTACAAATTACAAACCTTAAGTATTGCAACCTGTCCATTTGAGTCTTTGACCAATTTTTCATAATAAAGACTAAAGAAATATTTCAATCAAATTTGGAAATGATGATATTGTATTGTTCTATTATTTGTTGATAGAACTGAATGTATAATTTATAAAATTTGGATTTATATTTAGTATTTTGTTATTGGGATAATTTATTTTGTCTAAATATCTAAAAATTTGGCTTATCATTATAAATATTTATTAATAATCTAATATTCAAAAATCTTTATTTTTTCTGTTTCCAGGTTCACAAATATGTTGTAGCATCTAAAGACTATATCACAAGGGAGTCAACTCTTCTCAGTTTCAGGAAGGGAGATGTTGTTAAGTTATTAGATGCTGAATTTCCACTAGAAAGAGGTATGTAAATATAAAAAAAAAATTCAAACTAAGATCATATGGCCTTGACTTCATTTTACACTTCATTTTGTCAGTGTAAGTTTTCAGATTCTTGATTATTTATGGTACAAATTCCTTCAAATGGTAAGACTTTTAGAGTGGGATTTGTTTCAAGATAAAGAAGAGAAAAAATATTGTATAGCACAGTCTCCCAGCTGATATCTCTCAAAACTACATGTCATGATTTTTACAGAATTTCTTCTTTAAAATTCAGGTTGGCTGTATGGATCTTTAAATGGGGTGTTAGGTTATTTCCCAGAGGAATATTGTAAACCTTTAGCCAGACATGAAGTTGAAAGGTCACCTAGCAATACCAAGGTAAGCTACAATGACAGACTAATTTGAAAATAGCTTGATCAGAGAATTTTTTAAATGACATATTAAGAGAGGTAAATGTAAAAATCTTATTTGATTGTTGTTATTGCACAACAAATGATGTTTTCAATATTTTGGAGTTTCCAACATCATTATTGGACAGATTTGATTTTTATTGAAAAATTTGATTTTTTTCCCATTTCCAATCCCATATTCTCTACTTGAAAATTATTTGTTTGATGTGTCACATTCTCTATTATAATTTAGTGATAACTTAGAAATTTTTATGAAAATGTACAAATATTTATCTGTTAAAAGAAAAATCTCGCATTCTGTTTCTATTTTCCTTATTTTTTATTTCAAATTTTACAGACCCATGTTTATGTTGTTTTAAAAATGAAAGTACTGAAAACCAAATTTGTTTGATCTCATTTTAAAGTTAATAACAACAAATAAAAATAGATTGTCCGTTTAAAATGAATTTAATTTAGATAAAACTTTGCAAATGTTGATAGTTACAAGAAGTATCGTAATTGTTGATTTCTAAATAAACAGGATATTGAGAACGGGACAGTTGATGAGGTACAAAAGGTGTTTTACTATCCTTATCCGGTAAATGTTTTAACCAATTTTAGTTTTAACGCTTGTCATTGAGTGATTGCAATCATCACCATTAGCAATTTGGTTTCTTGTGACATTTTGCACACAATCAAAAATTTCATCAGCTTTGAACTTTGATTTTAGATCTAAGTAAAAGGATTTAAAAAAAAACCTGAGCAATGACTGAATGATTTTGGCTATACAATATTAGAATGTCATATGCTGTAAATAGAGTGTTTTCTATCTTGCAAAGTTAACAATTGCTATCAGCTTCTTTTTTTTTAGAAAATGTATTCAGATGTAGATTTTTACATAAATGAATTTTAGCTATTAGATCTACTACTTTGTAAGAACCCTTCATCAATTTGAGTCATTGAGAAAGCTCTTCCTTTTAGTAGAAAGATTTTAGAAATGCTGTTAGCAGACTTAGATGTGACTTATTGTAGTATATACATTTTGTTGTTCTGGATTTGTGTGCTTGAATGGAGGATGTTGGAAAATAAGATTTTTCTATTTCATTTGTAAACTTTACTTAATAATTTCCAACTTCAGTAAAAAATCAAAGTTTTCTATCATATTGTTATCACAGAGTTTCTTTGAATGTTGGTTTCACATCACAGACTCCGACTTAGAATCCACCTTTTTGTTGTGAAATAACCTCTGTTTATTTTCTGCAAATTTACTGCTTTAATTTAAAAATGTTGAATTATTCGAAATTCTAAAGGTTTTTTCTATTCCGGATTTGCTGTAGCTGTAAGCCTCAGCTGTATTTGGCACAACTTTTTTGAGATTTTCTGTTTTAAATGCTTTTCAACTTCATATTTAACTGTTTGAACTTCCCCTGTTTTGATCCAGTGTTACTGATGAACCTTATTTAGACGAAAACAAGTCTGGCATACCAAATTGTTAAGCCTGGTTCTTTGATGGGTTTCAACAACCAACAAGTTGTTCACTGATTTAATGATAAGCAGTTTGACATTAAATGACAGACAGCATTATTTGATTGAGGTTTAAAAGTGCATGAGACAGCTAGGAGATCAAAATATAAGAAGTATCAGACACATTATTATTCTGTATGTAATTTGGACAATATTAAGTTTCTCTTGAATTGAATTTAAACAGTCAATTGAAAACATAACATGCACTGTTCTACACAGGATTATAAAGTTTTTTTGATAGAAGATATATTCTTAAGCAGGTTTGGATATTGTTTATTGTGAAAATGTTTATATCAAGTATGTCATAAAGTGATGATTTCATGTTTCTGCATATGTATTACACCATGATGACATAACTATTTACTATACTATACATGTATATAAAAATATTGTTTGTGGTGAACCATTTGGTTCGGAAAATACCTCCACATTTTTTAAGAGTAAAGAGGGATATATAAATAATGTGAATACACAGAACCCCAACCCAATCCACCTTTTTGCTAAAATGTTATTTCCATTTAAGAGAGGGGCCTCGGTGGCCGAGTGGTTTAAGTAGTTACTTCTGTAATCACTAGCCAGTCAACACTGAGGTTGTGAGTTCGAACCCTGCTCATGCGGGTGCACTCGACTCCAATCTTAATTGACTAGGATTGTCAGTTTTCCTGGCACTCCAGCTTCCTCCACCAATAAAAACTGGCTGCCACGAAATAGCCCAAAAGTGGCGTTAAAACACAGAAAATCAAAATCAAATCAAATCCATTTAAGAGCTTGAAATCCTCATCTTTTTTTTTTTTTAAAAAGGAAATTGTAATAAACATATCTTAATCAAATCTGTTTTTTTACAAACAAGATAAGTATGCTTGCACCTCCCAGTTAAGGAATTCTCTCTGTGTTGAAGACCCATTGGTGGCCTTGGGCTGTTTTCTGCTCTTTGGTCGGGTTGTTGTCTCGTTGAAGCATTCCCCGTTTCCATTCTCAATTTTATTGTCAGTAGTTTGTATTTATGCGCCACATAAATAATTGCATAAAATAGCAGATAACTGTTAGTAGTCCTTGACCAGTAAGCATATTTTATCAACAACATTTATCCAGCTATAGTAGTGGAAGTACAGTTGAGGATATATAGAAATTTCATGTTTTGAATGAATAGCAAGTGTAAAAACAGGACTTCCTGTAGATGTGCATATAATGTTAAATTAAACTTTATAGAATCACTGGTTCATTACATCTATTTATTAACACATTTGAAATCAGCACTTTTGTTTAAACGGTTATCTCACTAACTTTGCTTAAGATGCTTATGAAATAACAAAAGCTGTTGATTGATTAGCAATCATATTTTTCCGAAAAAATAGCAACCATTTATAAATGTAATATGGATTTTTATGGATTCTAGAAGCTATGTATAATTATACTGAAATGCAGATTTAGATAAAGATAAATAGGATTCTAAAATGAACTAAACACCATGGTACTAGTAGTACATAAACATTAAACACCATGGTACTAGTACTACATAAACATTAAACACCATGGTACTAGTAGTACATAAACATTAAACACCATGGCACTAGTAGTACATAAACATGTATCAAAAATCAAAACATCACAATCATTGATAAATCGAACAAATAAAAATGTTATATTCCTGAATTCATACAGGTACTATACACTGTAAAGTAGTGAATTTATTCAACATTTTGTCTATCTTTTGCAAATGCACAAAGGTTAAACTAGTGGTTAAGTACTTGTACTATTCTACTTCTCACAGGCTCGGTTAAACTATTGGTTAAGTACTTATTTTCTACTTCTCACAGGCTCATATGACAGAACATGTAGTACAAAGAATAATCAGACCTCCAAGCAGGGTAAGAAAAAATTATAAATACATAGGTATGTTTTACAAGTAAAGAGCCTTGCTGTCTATCCACTGTAGTAAAACATGGTCTTTCACCTTTGAACTGCTTGCTGTATAGTCACCTCTGTGGTTTACATAGTAGAATGCTTGCCTCAATTCGGGGAGTTCATAGGATTCAATCCCTGGCAAAGTTAAACCAGACTGGTTAGGGCAATTGTAAATATGGCTTATTTCATATTCATTAAAAGAATACCTACACTAGATTAATTCTGATAAATTTAAAGGGAAATATGTTGTTTGTAGAAATAATATATATTTCATTAGAGAGCATCAACTAAAATAATAGAATTTGATTGAATAGCGAAAATGCATTACATAGTGTGTCCATATTTCAACATTGCTGCATATTTCTTTTAGTTCAGTCAGATGTAGGAAATTAAATTAATTTTATAGTCTAACAAATGTCATTTACCAATTTGAATGCATCACTTGAATAATTGAAACGTTTTTTTAAATATTAAATAGAGGAGGAATTTTTAGATCTTTTATATTGATGCTCAACAGCGCATGCAAATTTGATGCAATGGGTAGCTACCATGCATATCATTTATATTTAAATAGAACACAAAGTTAATCACAGAAATGAAATGTCATACTTGTGTAATTAAATTGTTAAATCATCTGGAACAAGTACAAAATGGGTGGGTTTTAAAAAATTTAGATGAAAGAAATTCACATTTAAATTTAAAGCTATAAAATACGGAAGTATTGATTAAATAATGAGAAAAGTATCTAAGTAGATTTGTTTATTTACAGGATGGTCGTGATAATATCAGTGAAACTAGTCAAGGAACAGCGGTACAAGATGGAAAGTTTTCCATGATGGAATATTCCTTACTCAACTTTAAGGAATCTCAAGAGAAGTAAGAGTTATAGTTTTGTAAAGCATCACAGGATTTTTTTAATTATTTGATTTTTTTTTTCTTGAGAATGTAATATCTTAACTTAAAAAAATACAATTCTGATATGTTGAGTCATTGGACATAATTCTTTTGTGTTCATGTTTTTTTTTTTCAACCTTTATTAAAAGAGATTGATGCAGCAACAGCAGCAGTATTAAGGTTAGTTTATAGTACTTTTATTGCTGTTCTTCATGTACATGTGCAAATAAGATGCAAAGTTTTAGAGTTCGAGTTAACAGATTGAAAATATCTAGATACAACAACGAATAAAATATATTTGGATGCAAGAAAGAAAATAAAACTTATTAATTATTTATGAACGAATAAGATAACTTTTGATGGTACTTTTACAGAAAGAGAAGGCAAAATCACCGTCACGGTGGTAATGTTCACGGTGGTAACGTTCACAGTGGTAACGTTCACGGTGGTAACTTTTTCAATATGTACAAGCAAGGTAAACAACACAGACATGTTCGTTATTGCATGAAATGTTGTACTCCAAATGTTGCAAAAAAATATTTGTTGACACTGCTCTTTGTTTTTTTTTGCAACAAAATTTTACTACATATTTTATGCATTTCAAGGTATGCTTCATCTATAAAAGGAGGAGAAAACTATTTTCCAATTATGTGCCTTTTCTGTCGTTGTTTAAATAATTTAGATGAAGCATACTTTTCATCAATAAATGTATATAAAAGTCAGTGTAATTCTGTTTCTTCATGTTGGAATTGGAGGTTGGGTTAAGATTTATAATTACAATTGTTACTGTGATATTGAATTACACTGACTTTATGTTATATGCTTCATGTGTTCTATATGAACAATTTCTTGAATTTATTCCACACAATAATTTCAAGAAGTTGTTTTTTTTTGTTGTTATTCTGCATGTATGTTATGCATCTTTACATGTTAATATTAACAATTTTATTTACATATTTTGTATACAAGTTTATATGGATAGCTCAAATAATTTTTATTCGGTCTATAGTTCAAATAATCTCTCTTGATTCTGTAACCTAAAGACAACTCTACTTATTTATAAATCTTCTTCCCAGGTGTCACTTATATGCTGTTAACATACATACAATTATTTGAGCTTTCCAATATGCATGATATTATTGTATCTTATTATTATTATGGCATTATAACAAACAAATTTCCAGATATGAAGTAAGAAAAGGAACTGATGGTTCATTGTACGGATCTGTTAAAAAGATAGAAAGTATTAAACTTCAAAACATGGAACGAGATCAAAGAAAACGAAGAGGTGATGGCTGTTTACTAAATTCCTTCAATAAACTAACGAAAATGTCAACAATATTTTCCATCCATCTTAGATATTAATTAGCATTTCATTGAGTAAGGGGAAAAAATAGATGCATATTATATTTCCTTTTCTAATACTATATTTTTTTAGCATTCACATATTTTCTCATTATTTTCTGATGTGTCTGTATATTAATGATAAGGACTAACATTCCATTGAATTAAAAATAGGAAGAACCCATAAGAATTTATATTGCTGCTTTAAGCAATATAAAAAGGCTTTGTATAGAATATTTTTGTCTTGCTTGTTATATTATGATATTGTAAAGTATATATATATAAAATTATATCTTTCATTTGTCAATAGTTGTATCATTATTCAAAACTTTGCTTGAAAGAAGTATTTAATATTGGTCAGGTATCGGTTACAATCAGAAAAACTGAAAGTGTTTTTGGAATAACTGTTCCAAACAGAAAGGGTAACCCTCAAATCCACTTAGACTTAGATCTTCAATTCTCCCATATTTTTATCGTTGTGAGGACAAATAATTCAAGTTAGCAATTAAAAATTTACATTTTGCTATAACAAGAAACCTTTTCTTAGAAATATGTAAATGAGGCATCCACATTATCTGAATTCATCAAGAGTTATTGCACTTGAAATAAACAAGCTAAAAACAATGATGACATGTCCTTTAGCTGTGGACTCACAAATAAATCAGATGTTAATTTTATTTTATTTAGAGTAATTTTACCATTTATTCATTTTATTGTCTTAAGTCCCTGTTTTTCAAAATGATGAATTCTGTACTTCAGTTCAAGTTAAAAAAAAATGAGAAATAATCAATTTTATTTTACAAATATACATGTATAATTTATTGTTATATAGGATCTGGAGACTGGTCATGGAAGGAACAAGCAGAAATGGTCAAGTGGACCAGGGTAGGTTTGATTAATATCAAGGTCAAATTTCACCAAGAGTTTGGCCATGTATGATAGAGTCGTTGTTAGACTGGAGCTTTATGTTGCTTACAACCTCTAAATTAACTCATTAGTCATGATGTGACTTTGATGTTTGACTTTGAAATGAAGTAGGGTTCACTCTATCTATGTAGACAAGCATTGGACGTTTTTTTTGATTTAAATTAGATACTGGTATCAGGGAACTGTAGAGGTAAACGATGCTTATAAGGTTTAATTTTCTTTGGCATGTAACCTTCATATTAAAATATCTTAACTTAAAATTCAATTAAGATTTAAAGTACTCCCCCATGCACAAGCAGTGGTCAAATAATAAGTAAGTCTTCAGCTTTATGAGTCTTATAAGTATTTGGTAAGTCTTGCTGTTACTAAAAGACTGTGACCTTGCAATTGTAATGGATTAGAGCACTCTCTATGATTTAGCAGTAAACAAAGATGACTTAGTTGCATTGCTTGACCTCTTCTTGCATATTATTACAATAGTATTGCAGAAGAGCACAAAGATAGGCCAACAAGGGCATTACTATATATCAACTGTTTTGCAAAGGAGATAATTATTAGTTTTACCAAATCACTTATTTCTTGCAAATAGTCAATTCTGTTCAGATACAGTAAGTATTTCAAAAATTGTAACTTGTAAAATCACTTGCTTTGGTAGAACATCTCAAATTTAGCAATTTTACTTTTACTCCTATGGTATTTTCCACAAAGTTAATGGTTATTTAAGAGATGTGTACAAGTTCCGTTATCATTGTTATGACAAGAACATGCCTTAAATTTTCAATAAGCATGTTTTCCATTCTTTAAAATGCTACATTGTCCTTAAAACATAAAATCAAATAAAATGATTGGTCAGAAATAAGTTTAAGATGTAGCTTATAAAGTAGACATAATGATTCACTACTATAGATTTTTTTTTATAGAAACGTGATATTGACATGTTTTCAGGGAAATATTCCCAATGGTGTAGTATCAAAAGAAAGAGACAAGCGTATTACCATGAACCACCAAACGGTACATCTGCAATGCTTGCACTCCTGCCACTAAAATACTCATATCAGTTGCTATGTTGTACCATTGTCTAGCAAAATCAGGGAATGCATAGTGTTTAAAATACACCTTATCGCTATTTGTCTGCCGTTACTGCACATCACAGATGATAATGTCAATTTCTAACATCAGAGAGAAAATGTTGACACCACAAAAGTAAAGTGATTGTTGCATGACGTCATTTGTTCAAGTGTTGAATATTTTCAGGTCAAGTGTCACAGATTCTCAAACAGCGATAAGGTCTATGTCTGCATAATCAGTCACCCATCTTGTTTTTTTCTGCAGTGGTGATCTGTGGGAGTGGGTTTTTAATGTGCTGTAACTCATAACTTGATCTGGGGTATATAAAAAGAGCTCATATGAGTGAAATGATCATCTGTATTGATAATGAAGATGATGATATGGTTATTTCAAAGATTAAGGATCTGCTGGGAATAGTGTACCCAGGAATAACTGATGGAAAATGAAACTAGATGTTCTTTATTGTAATGCTATTATTTATAGACATTATATAGTGCTGAATCATTATGTCTGCTTGTTTTAGGTTTCAATTTTTTTTTTTTTTTTATTTATAGAAAATAATATTTGATTATTAACTTTGTTTTCCTTATAAGTTTAGAGCCTTGAGACAAATGTAATTATTTGATGTCAGAATCCAAGTTATGTTGCATTCTTCTTAACCATGACATTTGATATATTTTTTGTAGGAAACTCAAAAATTTTCAAAAAAATGAGATGATTAGTATCCTTAACAGTGTTTAGTTTTAGTTTTGTCGTAATACCTAGAACTAATTCAAATATATTTATATATTTTCAGAAAGCATTTTGTCAGTAATTAAAATTAAAACCGATTTATGAGTTGGTAATGGTTGAATGTGAACTCTTTTAAATTGTTTAAAAAGATCAGCTTTATAGCAGTGTTATCTTTAAATTTTTATATCTTTTCAGTCACCGATCCAGACCTCTTTGTTAAAACTGAATTCAAATGAACTTAACAGACTTGCATTGGAATGTTTTCTATGTAAGTATTGTAACACAGCAACTATATAAAGTTTGGGTCTAAGATACTGCTACATATGTTAAAAAGCTCTTACCTTTTTTATATCCAACATTAGGCTGCTCACCCCCATGATTTCCCATCAAAACTGGGGATAGCCTGTAAAGTCAGTATATAATAATTTGATTGGCTATTGAGATAGGGCAGCCATATTTATTCCTGCAGCTGGCAATCAGCTGTCTGATCTTAAAAACTACCAAAACACTGCTGGGAAGAATTCATCATCTTTAAAATACGGTATCATATATGTTCTATTGAAAATATTTAATAATTATAAGTAAAAGATACTTTGAGCATTACATCATTGATTGATTTGGTTTGAGAAAAAAAACTGTTAGAATATAAACATAAATGTACCAGCCCTTACTTATGTTAAATTAAATATATATATGTACCAGCCCTTTTTTTAGTTGAAATACATAAATATACCAGCCCTTTCTTATGTTAGTTAAAATACATAAAAATACCAGTCTTTGTCGTTTGGATATGTCCTTGACAGTGTTTTCATTCTTTTTTTCCTCTGCTTGGAAAATTATTGAAAATGAGGCTTACATGTGTTATCACCAAGGAGGTTGGATGAAACCAAATTGTTTCTGTCCATAGCAACTATGTGAAAGTTAAGTAACAAAATGATGAGAGATAGGTATCTTTACAATACCTTCCATTGTATGATTTATAGTCCTTATTATGCATTTGAAAGAAATTGAATATATTGGAATATTTTGATTATTTTCAGGTGTAATGATGTTTATGGATGATTATCCAATGAAGTCTGGTATGGATGAAACAGATTGTGCACTCAAAATACTTAAGGTAGACATCTTATCAAACTTCAGACATAAACTTTATTCTGCAATGAAATATTTTTATACTTAATGAATAGAGAGGTATTAACATATTACTTTGCAAACAATGTCCAATTACTGTGCATTTCTCTTTTTTTAAAGTATAGAAGTTGCGAGTAGAATGGTGTAAGTTAACTTGCATAATAAAACTAATGCATCTTTATTTCTGCAATGATTTCAATGTTTTGGACAAGGAAAAAATAGTCATATAATAAAATATTACTCAAGGGAAGTAAACAACATCAAAAGACCAGATAATAAAGGCAACAGTAGTATACCGCTATTCCAAATTCATAAATCGATTGAGAAAAAACCAAATCCGGGTTACAAACTAAAACTGAGGGAAACACATCAAATATAAGAGGAGAACAACGACACAACAGAAACACAACACTTAAATGCAACACACACAGAAACGAACTATAATATAACAATGGCCATTTTCCTGACTTGGTACAGGACATTTTAAGAAAAAATGGTGGGTTGAACCTGGTTTTGTGGCTAGCCAAACCTCCCGCTGTTTTGGCAATGTTAAATATAACATTAAAATGACAAGATTACATGACAGGACTACAATACAAATAAATGGGAGAACATACAGGACAGATAAAACTGGAATAAAAAACCCAAAGGAACAGCAAATAGAGACAGAAAAGTTAACTTTATCATCTGTTTGTCAGATAGTACTTATATTGTCAGCAAGTTGATACACAAGTAAAATTGATTTTGTTTCAGAATTGCCATAAGTATCCAGAATTAAGAGATGAAGTGTATTGTCAGTTATGCAAACAAACAACCAGTAACAGGAGTATGAAACCGTGAGTTTTACTATCAGTTAAAACAAGTTGTTCCAGTTTGAATGGGTCTCAACAAGCCTCATCTAATAAAATTAATCTTAAAAACATTTTAGTTGTTAGATGAGTTAACCTTTCAACAAAAAAAGTTATGAGATAGCAAATTGACTCCATACAACATTAAGACTGAAAACAATTTGGTCTTTAATGGATATTACAGCAATGTCTAAATGTCTTGAGAAATGTCAAGCTTTAAAACAATTTGAATAGACAACTTAAGCTAAGAATATATTTATGGTAATGGCAACCTTTAAACTAAGAACAACCAACCAGAAACATTGATAACACTGAGAAGTCCTTGACATAACCATAGACAACTAAATCTTTGAATATATTTAAAGTAATCTTTAACCTTATTCATCTAAGAACAATATACTGTAAACTTGCTAACACTGACTTGAGTACACTCATAACCATTTGGCAGGATTAATTTAGTTTTAAGAGTTGCACAAACTTTTATCATATTTATGCTTAAATTGAATAGAATTGGGAACAAATTAGGGCTCAATTGTAGTATACTGTAGAATTAGTTCCTTACCCAATTACATATTCATACAGCAGCAAGGATATGTATGAGACCTGTACCAAATATTTTGTATGCCTGTTAATGTAGTCTCCAATGACAGACACATAACTCGAATTTAATTAATCTTTACCCTGACCCTAACCCTACGGAATAAGTTTGCCGTTTGAAACAGCCTACTGTGCTATATTGCCATTTGACACAACCTATGGCGCTATATTTCTCTTTGACACAGCCTACGGTGCTAGATTGCTCTTTGACACAGCTCTAATCCTAAACCTACCCTAACCCTAACCCTAACCCTAAACCTAAACCTAAACCCTAAAATTAACCCTAAATGTAGCCCTAAACCTAGCCTAGGACGCTAGATTTCCATCGGACACAGGGTACGACATTAGATTTCTATTTGACGCAGCCTACTCCAGTAGATTCCTATTTTACACAGCCTTACGGCGGTAAATTTCCGTATTACACCTACCATGGTGTCAAAAGACCCTAGATGCCAAAGCACAGTTGTATTGTTCTATGTCAAAGCCTAACTATGGCGACAGATTGATCATAAACCAGTGTTAGTGTGTAGATGTGTCGATGTGTCCAGATTAGCCATCAAATGTAATGCCGATTCACTCATTAATAATCTGCTGATGAGAACTATTTCTTCTGTACTCTCCAGTTGATCCCAAATTAGAAGGCCATTATTGATCAGTTCAGAATTTTTTATCCAGACTTTTATAATTACAATAATATATTTATTTAAGCTATGTATTGTGTCTTATAATAAATAATTTTATATTTACTGTTACAGTCATTTTAAATTGTACATAAAAATATTTTAAATTAAAACTTTTTTTTTTATTTACAGAAAGAGTTGTGTAATGGGATGGAGGTTATTTTCGATTGTTGCTTGTTATTGTGATTGTACGGAAATGTTACGGCCATTTTTATTCAAATATTTAGAAACAACAGCTTCTGATACTTCACGAACATTTAGTGGTGCTGCATCAATTTGTTTACAAAACTTACGAAAAACATTCAAATATGGTGGACGTAAAAATGTTCCTCTGAAAGAAGAAATTAGTGCTTTAGCAGTAAGTGCAATGACTGAAGAAAACAAAAAACATCATTACTTTATACTCTTGTATCAGCTGTTATGTTTGAGTAGGGATGTACACTATTCATTGACATCAACACACTTTTCTATTGCTTTTAAACAGGTATTACTGTTCTAACATTCAAAACTTCTAATGTTACAAGAATCTACTTTTTCCTATGAAATTTTTTGTGAAACCCTGAATACTTTTTGTATTGAACTGAATATTGATAACGCTATTGTTACAACATGTAAAATTCTTGTATCCTGGATGAATGACTTCACATTTACTAAGTATATTACTTCCAGATAATGTTATAAGTGAATGTCAATGTTTGGCTCAATCTGACCATTTGAGTTGAAGCCATCTCTTGGTGTCTAGTCATCATTCTGTAAAATTTTGAACACCTTATGAAACCATACTAAATTTATCTTAATCTTAAACACCCATTGATGTTCTTGTTTATGACCATGCAGTGGAACCAGCTTGCCAGTTATTTAATAGAGCACAAGAGTAAAACAACATATTTATAATTAATTTCTCTGCAATGATACTCCTTATTGTGACCAATAATGGTAAATTATATTTGTGATCCATTTATATATTGAGTCAGAGGACTCCTTCCAATGAACCCTGTTTAGTCATTCATTATAATTATATTTGAGGCCATTCCATACCTGCCAACTTTTCAAAACCTTCATTGGAATTTTAAGCATAAGGAACTAGTGCATGTTTTATACATGTTTAAAGTATATTTAATAAGATATACTATGATTTTTAAGGAGTACATATGTACTTAAACATGTTAAATGCCATTAAACTCATTTGAATAACTATTTTGAGGTATTAAGTTCATATAATAGAGGATTTGAATAGTCAGGCCATGAATTGGGATAATTCAGGACTGCCATTCTTACAATCCAGTCCATCAATTGTATGTTACCTCTCACTATATGCCATTCTTATCATGAGGGGATATTTCTTTTGGTTAAAGGGATGACCACTGAAACTTAATTGCCATTTTAATGCTTGTTAATCTGCATCTTTTCCTGCTAAGAATTGAAATTTCACTATGTGTTTGTAGGAGAGATTAGTATGTGCAGTTATGTCCAAGTATGCTAAAAATGTAATAATTTATTTTTCAGAATGGTAGAATTTCTAAGAGATTTTCATTTATATATAGTGGATCAGAGAAAGAAGGCATGGTGCATATAAAACCTTGTTCTGTAAGTGTTATCTACATGATGTGGGAGGGGGGTAGAGAGGGAGAAGGCATGGTACATATAAAACCTTGTTCTGTAAGTGTTATCTACATGATGTAGGAGGGGGGAAAAGAGGTGGAAGACACCATGAATCTAAACTCATAAGTCTATTAGAGACTGAAAAAAAAACATGGCAAAAAGTGTAAACGATGAAATGACAAACTACAATCCACAAAACACTTCATAAAACTAAAGACTTATAAACACTAACCCCACTAAAAACTGGGATTGATTTCAGGTGCTCCAGAAGAGTTAGCAGATCCTGCTCCACATCTGACTCCCATTGTGTTACTCCTCTAAAATTCAAAACGCATACACTTGCCTATGCTCAATTTGCAATTTAGCAGCAGATTCTCCAGATCAATTAGTGATACTGACTATGGATCTGTATATGAACTTTAATAGTTTAACTACAGGGAACTAGCAACAATGAAATATTGAATCAGACAAGGAATCATGTTATGTATTCACTTATATATTTTTGTTGGTTTCATGGAATTAAGAAACTAAGAGAAATCCATCACTCATTGATTAATTTACCGGAACAAAAAAATTATCTTCTTAGTAGATGAAAATACATGTTTCAACTCACAAAACTGCATGTGATGTTGTATTTATTCCTGCTTCCAGGTGTGGGATTTTCTTGTTGGATTGAAGACCCATTGGTGGCCTTGGGCTGTTTTCTGGTCTTTGGTTGTGTTGTTGTCTCTTTAACACATTCCCTGTTTCCATTCTCAATTTTATTTGGTTTATTTTCAGGTTGTTAAGGATATAATTGAAGACATCTGTAATAGATTAGATATATTTGATCCAGTAGAGATGGAAGAATACACTCTGTTTATAAGAACAAGTAAGTTTCATCCATAAAATTTGTAGCAGAAAAGTTCATATTTTTTTGTCTTAAAAATTGATCAATTTCTTTTTTAAACATTTAAGGCATTGATTGAATAAAAAAAAAGTCAAATGGGATAGGATACAAATTTACTAGTTTGTCGGAATTTTTTTTCTTTCTAGTTCATATTTTGCAATGATTGCAATTTTACACAGATTTTCAGATGGTAATTTTGTAGATACTTTGTAATAATGAATAAAAAAGAATACCCAAATGATTCTACCATAGAAATTTTAACTGTTATATGAGTTAAGTGAAAATTAACCTCTGACCTTTTGTCTATTTTATTGTAGAAGATGAAGCCAATCAAATACACTTCAGCAGATTACGGCCAACAGAATATATCCTTGATGTCACATCAGAATTTGTCCGCAATAAGAGAGATTTCTCACTAGTCTTCCAAAGAACTGTATGGTTCTTCCCCTTCAGACAAACAGACAACAATCTATATAATGACCTCATGTTCTTCCAGGTAAGATGATTTTCTCTAAACCTTCTAATCAAGGAACTTACATAATCATGAATAGCTTTTTAACATTTTTCAAAAGATCCATTTTTATAAAATGAAATTGATGGTGTAAATGTTATAGAGGAAAACTTTTATTAAAGATGTATTTGAATGATACCGTTATCAATTGCCATTAAATATTTTTTTAAATATGAATTTGTATGTTTTACAGTGTCTGCCAGACTACATGGATGATTTGTTGCTGGTAATGAAGGATGGACGATTATCACATCAAGATGAGGTATTATTTTGTTTTTCGGTGTAATGATTATCACATCAAGATGAGGTATTATTTTGTTTTTCCGTGTAATGATTATCACATCAAGATGAGGTATTATTTTGTTTTTCCGTGTAATGATTATCACATCAAGATGAGTTATTTTTGTTGTTTTTCCGTGTAATGATTATCACATCAAGATGAGTTATTTTTGTTGTTTTTCCGTGTAATGATTATCACATCAAGATGAGGTATTATTTTGTTTTTCCGTGTAATGATTATCACATCAAGATGAGTTATTTTTGTTGTTTTTCCGTGTAATGATTATCACATCAAGATGAGTTATTTTTGTTGTTTTTCCGTGTAATGATTATCACATCAAGATGAGGTATTATTTTGTTTTTCGGTGTAACGATTATCACATGCTTAGTTTACATGTATTAGTTTGTGATTAGGTCAGTTTATGGGGAACCACTAGTGGTTGGTTAATGATATTTGGTATGCAGTTATATAAGCATTGGCAAATCTCATTTCCATGGAGATTATTTGGCCCCGCCCCCTCATTCATGGTCTATTGACTTTGAAACTTTTGCTTAGTTTTCATGTGTGATTAGGTCAGTTTAAGGGGAACCGTTAGTGGTAGGTCAATGATAATTGGTATGCAGTTGTATAAGCATTAGCACATCTCATTTCCATGGAGAATATTTGGCCCCTACCCCTCAGTCATGGTATATTGACTTTGAAACTTTTGCTTAGTTTACATGTATTAGTTTGTGATTAGGTCAGTTTAAGATGAACCAATAATGTTAAGTCAATGATATTTGGTTTGCAGTTGTATTAGCACTGTCACATCTCATTTCCATGGAGATTGTTTAGCCCTGTACCTTCAGTCATGGTTCATTGACCTTGAATATTTGCATAACTTACATGTTAAAGTATTGCTATTTTAATTTCAACATTTGCATTATCAAAATAACAAATAGGCAAGACATATCTCTGTGATAACAGTTTATACTAGTATTTAGAGAAAACCAAGATAATTTAGTGGACTTTAATGCAAAATATATTCTACTACTGTGGGTTCATTTATTTTCATGGATACCAATTTTCATGGATTGTGGAAAACTTTGTTTGATTTCTTGCTGTTGCCGAAGTCTTCATATAAGCCTATACAAAATTTGTACTTTGTTGTACATGTAAATTGGTGGTTTACCTATACTCATCATATCCTTGAAAATTGGTATCCAATGAATACTAATGAATCCACAGTAAGACTTATCCTAAACTTTAAAGAAGTCTTGGGATTCATTCCTAACAAATTGATTTTATGGTTGACAAAGATCTTTTAGAATGACATATGTTCACTTATAATTTGTTTTGTTTTGCAGGATGATGTAGCATTCTTGGGATCATTACTATACAGGGCTTTTGATAGAGTTGGCATGCCTCAAACGTAAGTAAGAATTATATGTTGTTTGCTCATAGTTCATTTTGAAAAGGGGTACCAGTGATAAAATCTTTCTAGACTAATTTCAGAGACAGTACCTTGTACGTCAAGGCTGAAAATGTTTTTACCTGTGTCACCAAAGGCAATAGCAGGTCTAGTAACTGCTGGACTTTGTCAATCGGTCTGTCTGTCCATGAGTTATAGTTACTTGCATTGCCAAAGGCGAGAGCAGATCTAGTAACCTCTAGACTTTCTGTCTGTCTGTCCATTCAAAAGACCTAGGTTAGAAAAGTTTTGTCATAGTTTTCTTGGTTTCTTTAGAAGGATTTGATATTTGGTCTGCAGCTTGATAATGATGAGTTGTGGTGGTAAGCAACTTTTACATCTGCTGTTCATCCACTTCCTGTTTGCTGATAGCTTGAAATTTTACAACACTCATTGTACATGAAAATTTTTGTCAAAGTTGTTTTTCTTCAATGAAAGGGTATGATCAGTTATTCTTCAGTATACCTGCAAGTTCAATCAATTACATGCAGCGATGCAGGTCCTGACCCGGATTTGGTCTTGCTTGCACTTAAAACTGTTGACTTTGAAATAATACAAAAATGTAGTATATTGAAGTATAAAAATAAAAAACTGCTTTATTTCTGGAAGTTAAAAAAAAAAACTTGAAGAATATGATTGAAATGTTGAATTGAATTGTTACTTATATTAAGTGAAATACACACAAATATTGTCACCAGTTTGATTTCTTTGTTATTCTTTAAAAAGGAAAATTTATATACATTTCTGTATGAAGCCTTCAATAGAATTGAGTAAATAGTAAGTTAATAATGTTACTGCATTTTAATGTTAACAATTTTGTAGTATTTAAAAATACTAAACTTATTGAGGGGAAACACCAAAAAACTTAAAAAAGAAAAGAAACAAAAACAGATAAATCAGACCTCAACCCTACCTATAAAAGGAAGATGATGCTATATTTAGACAACAAAATGTGAAATAAAAGTGTAAATGGTCATCATTGGTTACTGTTTAATGAACTTTGAACTATAATTATAGAAAAGACCTGACCTATTTATTACCTGGTGCTGTACGTAAATTATCCGACTACAATCCACAGAAATGGATGAATAGAATACATCAGCACTCAACAGAGGTGATGAGAAGAAATCCTTATGATTGCAAGGCTAAGTTTGTTGGTAAGTTGCTGTCAAATGTTTAGATGCCATGGTGAATAGTGATCCTGTATTTTTCAGTTAAGCTACTCAGTTTTATTTTTAAATGTTTTGGAAAAGTTGTTACCTGAAAAACTTTTATTACACAAGAGTAATGGTGGATTTAATTACTGCATTTTATGAATTGAATTGGGTTTCATGAATACATAATTTTTGTGTATAACTTATTTTATTTTACTTCATTTTAGATATACTAGCAAGATGGCCATTGTTTGGTTCAACATTCTTTGTCATTAAGGTATGATTTTGAAATATTGCAGGTTTATCTTAAAGTTAAGGCATTGATAATTAATGGAATTAATGTAGATTCTATTGCTTTAAAGCTATGAAAATTCATTGAAAATAAAGTAAATGAGACTTGTCAGATTTTAAGACTACATTGCAAATATCAGGAACATTCTGGCTATTAATATAGAACGAACAAAAATGTTCTTTGGTGCAAGTGAATAGAAGAAATTTAAATACATTTCCAATATGATTATCACTTTGGCCAAGATTTTTGCACTATAATCTGTAAATTCAGTAATTATTGCAACATTTTGATTCAGGTTTTGCGACTTGGTGAGTATCGCAATAATAAGAACTATCATTCTGATATCTGATACATATATCTGTAAGAAGCTTTTCCTGAAATCACAATAAATAATCTCACATTTTAGTTCATGAATTGCAATAAATATGCATGCAATAATTTCTGAATTTACAGTATTCAAGACGTTGTGTAATTTTGCTATTTTACCTAATTAACTATGATATAATTAAATGAAAGGAAATGATTTTAAAACATCAATGCACAGTTTTATCTAATGTTCAACATTCAGTAAAGTTTACGGGAGATGTCTGGATTGATTTTAGAAAGTATCCACTGTAGTTTTCCTGTATTGTGTGAGTAATAATACTTTTATTTTTTTTAGAATCCACCAACTACTCCAGCCATCAAGGGAGAATGTCTGTTAGCTGTCAATAAAAATGGAATCCAATTCCTCAAGCTACAGACACATGTAAGCAACTGTATCTTACACTGTTTGTCACATATAATGAGAAGAGTATGTAGTCTTATATACATTATAATGTTGGCATGATGTTGGATCTTGCATGCCACATTTTCTGTTGTGACTGGAATTACAGTGAAATCAGTTATTAGGACTTCAGGGGTCTAACGACTTTCCTGAATATGCATGAAATATTTGCCACTAGGTGTTATGGTAAACAGTAAAACTCTCTCAATCAATCTTGTCCAGAGATAGAAAATTATATGATAGATATTTATATTCTTGACAGCCTAGATTTGCATGTTATAAATATAAACTGGTAACATTGGAATGGAGAAAACTGTACAAATTATTAGCAAGAAGAAATATTTTTCATCAGATATTCACAAAAGTATATAAATTTTCTATGAATCAGGCTAATTTGCCCTGCATGTTTCTCTCATAAATACATACATTATAAAATGAAAGTGCTGTTTATATTTGCTCTGTATTTTATGTGCATGTAGGGATTTTGTGTCATAGATTATACATCATTATCTCTTCTTTTCCTTTATTTAGCATACTGTAAACCAACTAATTTTCTCTGATACTTTATTTTGCGTTTAGGCTTTTCTAGCCTACTTCATGGCCATTTATATAAGTGATTTTGTATTTTTTAATGATGTATTAATATGAAGGAAGATCAAAGTTTAATGTATTTTCGCATTAATTTTCTATTCCCGCGAATAAATCACTTGCGAAAACAAGTTGGTTTAGAGTTTAACTACTTGTATTCATTTTTTTCTGTTATTGAATGAATGAATGAATGAATGAATGAATACTTTATTTGCAAGAAGCATAAACATGCTATGGCAAACGAACATAGTTAAAAACTTGTTTAAAACTAACAATAAATTAACTGTTTTTATGTTCTGTTTACAGGAAACTATTTTACAGTATTCATTCAGTGAAGTTTTGTCAACAAGACAATATAGAAGTGAAAGTAACCAACATTATCTGGACATGAAACTTGGTAATCTCATGGTACAGAAAATCGTCAGAATTGAAACTGAACAGGTAAAGATATATATTGAAAGCAAACTTTTGCGTGTTTCATAGGTATTATCTTGAATGGAAATTAAATCAGGAAAAATGATGACGTGGTAATTTAGGACTGTAGAAAGTTATGTTTATGCTACTTTTTCTAGTTTTGAGTTTTTCTAAGTAATTTTTTATTTATGTTGTCTTTGAAAAATTAAACCATTAACCAATCTTTATTTTAGTTTACTTATAAATTTGTGCAATTTAAGGAGGATGAATAATACGAGCCATTAATTATATCCCCTGAAATAACCCCAAAAAATAGAAAAATATTGCAAAGCTTCATTTAGTTATACTGTACCGTGTGACATGTTTTCAGTGTCTTTGATGTTGGACTTCTGTTTGTTGAAACATGAGTGGGTGTATAATTAGTGAGAAATAGCTTACAATACTTTTTTCATTACTATTCATATAACTGGTATTTCCAGAACAAATACTCTTAATTCACATTGCATATTTTTGTTTCTTTTTCAGGGATCTGATATTTCCAACTTAATAGGACAATACATGACAGTCATTGCAAAAAACAGAAAACGACCACTAACAGACAGAAGTACTCTTGACAGGACAAGCCTACAAAGATACCATTGAGGACTGTTATATATTTTTCCAGTGTCCAAAATTCTACAAAAAATAACTTATACCAAAGTGTAGAATTAAAAACTAAAGCATGCATTCCCAAGATACAGTGATAATGATGGTTGTGATGTTAAAGATGTATAGTGCTACAATTTTTTGTTGTTGAAAATATGATGTTGATCAAATACTTGTTTAAATAATGAGATGCAAAAATATTGTTTGTACAGGGTTCTATGCATTTCAAAGTATATAAATATATATTTATTGTAACCAATATATTGAAATGTTATAATGTATGTAGATACAGACTGTGATAACAAAATTGTTCCAGGAAAAATATATTTACTTCTATATTTGTGATATTTCAATATGCCTCATGCATTGTTTGTGTATCTCTTCAGAAATGATTGCTAGCAGAATCCATTGTATTTAGACCAAGATGTAGCTACAGAAGAGTAGAAAGAAAACCCATCAATTTGTTAAACATTCTTTACTATCTATAGCGCATTAAGGATATTGCTAGATATTACAGATAATGCTGAACAAAAATCAAAATATATCCTTTTTGATAGTTAATCATTTTTAGGATGTGAATTAGTAGGTCTAAATCTCCTGCTTTGAGCTTTATATTATCTTTGGAAGTAACTAAATAGGCTATTGTAAATTTATAGTACTCATGGTCTTTCATCTATTATTATTTTGTTTAATTTTGATTGGTCTTTTGCCATTTATATTTACATATCAACATCTATTGAAATTACCTGTGTTACTTTACTCTTAGTATATCTTATTATTGTAAAAAAAAAATGTATAAGCTAAGTTTGAAGAAGATTTGTACTTTATGTATGTTTTGCAAAGATTACATTCCTCCTTAAGGGAGCCTCTTGTATTCTTTCTTCAGGGCTGGTTCATTTTAACATAGTGAACCCAAGGTAGGCATAATAAGGCAGCCTTAAATAGGATCAATAATGTTATGTTCCTTGTAATTTCCTGTTAAAAAAGATGACAAAGTGCCTTTCGTGGGTGCTTCATATATTTAAATTGAGTATACCTCAATGGATGCCAATTTTGTGTAATATTTTACATTTGAACATTTTATTTAATTAAAGGGATGTTTCTTCAGCTGTCTACATTCCAAGCAAAAGATCTGTGTTTCTTTACTCTTGCAAAGTAAAGCAAAAAATCTGTAATTTTTTAATGGTCTACATTCCAAGTACAAAGTTTTGCAGATTTTGTAGCTATCTGAAATATTATTATTTTTATAATATTCACAGTGAAAATGATTTAGAATAAAACCTTAAAGTTTAATATTTTGATCTAGATTTATACAATAAACTAGTAGTGTTAGATATAATGTATGTTCGTAGTAATATTCATATGGCTCATTAAATGTTACATGTAATTACATAAATAATGTTGTTAATACTAAGTCTTTAAATATTATGTTATATAATAACACTATCAATTATTTTTTTCCCTCGTTTGGTTAAATTTTGAATTCTCATCTTAGATTCTCGGTCATCTGTCCATTACTAGAAAAAATTGGAAGGATTGAAGAAAATGGAAGTAGTTTTGTAGAAAGCATTTACTAAAATTAAATTGTAAATCTTTTGTCTTGAATATACTTATTACAATAATCGGATGAAAATTATATGAAGTTTTATTATTTATTTTGAAGTTATTTGTTTATTTGTTAATCAGTAGGATACAGAATGACGATTATGGAAGAAAGTTTTAATTTTTTTATTTATTTTTTATTTTGAAGTGTTCAGTTAAAGAATTTTTTGGAGCAAGTCAGAACAAGAGGTTATCATTTTGATTTAGATAAATATTTTATAGTAACATGAATTTGTAAAAAGTGTATAAAGTGTATATCAATTAATCCTTAAACTGCTGAATATTTAAAATATACAGTAAAATGAATTTATATTTTTGTAATATGTTTAAAATGAAAAATATATAAATACTTACTTTATTGTTTTGTTAAATTAATTAAGTTACTTACATTTTTTAAGTTTCTATAGATTATACACAGGGTTTTTGTTAACCAGTATACTTAACCTATTGACCCCTTTGCACAAAGATGCAGTCATGCTCAGAAACATTGCATTGTTGGTATATGATGAAGCTCTCCTGGATTTATAGGTTTTACATAAATATTTTCTGGGAGACATTGTTATTCCCACCTTCAACAGAGTTTCTAAGGATGTTTGTAATGTGAAAGGGTCTACCATGGTATTTGATTACCTTTTAACTATTTACATGTAAACAAAATAATTGTAATTTAAATATGAATGAACTTTTTCATGTTCTTAATTTTGTTATGATTAATTGAATGTTAGGATCATTTTTGCTTTGTTGAGGTTGTGTTTACATTTGGATTTTTCATGCATGTTATGGCATTTTCTGTATTCACCAACAAAATAGCAATTCCTAGATTGTAGATCTGACTGTATAATGTTTTTGTACGAACCCTTAAAAGTTCCTGTAACAGAAGGATAAATGCTGTTCCTTCTATCACATTCCTGGCTGATCGATGGTTGAAATGTGTGGTAAAAAATTAGTGCCACTGGGGTGGATACATAGTGCCACAACACGTCCAGAATCATACTAACTTCTTCACTAGAGGAAGTTGAACATTGATATGTGCAATTGTTACATAGTATATCATTCATATATTATACAATATATACATAATACTTGAAACCATTATATTTTTTATATTTCATAAAATTAATAAATAATACATGTTAACTGCTTGCTTTTTATTATCTTTGAGTCTGACAAATTGTTGTTTAAGGAATAACAGTACTGCACTTGAGGAATTGTGAGAGTCAATTGAGGATGCAAATGCAGTTTTACTTACAGGTTTTTCCTCACTCAACTCTTCATGTAAGTGCTGTAAGTTGGGATAACCTCCATTAGGTACGCTTGAGACAAAAAATCTTGCTAAACCATCTATATCGTTATGTCAGTTCCAACACATGTGATAATATGAAAATTGGTTATATAATTGGAAGGTGTGGTGCCATAAAACCTAGTCCAATCTATCACTTTCCTTAGAAAAGCTTTAACCGATGTTGGTTATAATATTTTTTCGGTAGTCTTGTGTGTTAATTTGTTGGTGTTGTTTTCTGTATACAAAAATTTGACTATACAGGATCTTCCAATTGGTACTTTTTCCCGGAAAAATTTGACATCACAAAGCAAATATATTTACGTCACGTCCTATGACACGTTTTACTCCAAATGACCCCAGGTCAACCGGGGTAGTTCATTCATAAAATTGAATTTGTAATTTTATTGAATCTATCCTTAAATTAAGTATATATTTTTTATTTCCTTTTATATGAGTCAGAAGAAACCATTGTAGTTTATTTTACATAAACTTCTTTATCCAACATATAGAAATTGCATTTTAATAACAGAAAATGAATATCTTTAAAAATTTGTCCTCATTACCACAACAAGGTGTTCTGTGAGATTGGCAGCTAATGATACCCTTCGTAATAAGTATTCGATAAATATGAAGTTGATGAGCCATTGATGTAAAAACAAACAGTATAGCATGCTTACATGAAACTACATATGAAATTTCAGGAAGGTCTAGTTCCAGAGAAAAATTTGACAAAAATTTCATACATGGCCATTGTGTGCAAGAATATATAAGAATTCAGTAACGAAGAGGTTGATGGATGTAAAACAGTTTGGCATACTCACATGAAGCTTGAAACCAAATTTAAGGAAGCTCTGATTTGTTGTTCCTGAGAAAAAAAAATGATGGGACAGACAGAATAACTTCCTCCTTCAGAGCGGTGGTATAGATAATCTTATTGAGTTATGCTATGTTAGTACAGGCACAATCAGAAACCTCCATCAAAGTATTTCCTACTGTGGGACTGTTCAATGCTTTTGAAAATAAATACATCAACATGACATTTATATAAAACATTTATTCAGTTCCACTGCATTACACAAAAAAACATCATCACATAAATAAATAACACAGTATAATCACTCTCATTTGTCTACATTTTTTCAATGCTAAATGAAAATATGCACCAAAGCTTTTTGTTTATTATTGCAAATATAAAGTTAAGTTTTGATTATGATATAAACAATTTAAAGAATTTGTATGTTGTTTTTTTTAAAGTTTTTACATTTAAAAAAAACATACAATGTATAAAAGGATTAACAAAAAATCTGTCAATCATTTAAGTTAAAAATTAAAAGAAATTCCTAAATCACTTTTTAAGATGATACTAATTTACAAAACAAGAGTGCACACGCTTAAATGTCTCGCCTGCTTTACTGACCATTGATTTTATGTTGAAAGTCTTAAAGATAAAGGTTTTACTAAAAGCATTACAGAAACTTAAACATTTTTAAAGATCTATGACAATGAGGTTAAGGTCAGATAAATCGTGTCCGACAGACATATACATCTTACAATTTTTTTATACACCAAATATAGTTGACCTATTGCGTATGCTAATTGAAAACCAGACCAAAACACAAAAACTTAACATTGACCAATGAACCATGAAAATGAGGTCAAGGAGAATTGATATATGGTTGACGGAAACATCGTAATATAAGGTATCTGCATAACAGATTGAAGCATCCAGGTCTTCTACATTCTGAAATATAAAGCTTTACACAAATAGTTTATGCTGCTGCATCCGCCTCCAGATAGTAATACCTATGTCTTGCATACTGCGACTTTCGTCGCAGGCGAGACAAGAATCATATAAAGCATTACATTTGTACTAGATCATTAAAAGCCACATAGAATAAATTGTAGTAAAATACTGTAGTGTAATGTTTGCTTTTTTAGTCGTGGTGGAAGGAAGCATAGTTTTATTTCACATTATTTCAAGTTTCTTATTTACTTGTTTATTATACCTTAAGGATACAATACACTGCTGCACTTTCTTCCCTAAACATGAATTGCATAGGTATATCAATACTGGCAAATGTCTTATAAAATCACAACAGATAAAAGTACAAGTGAACTGCTCCAATGAAATAAATATATGTTTCACAATACGAACTAGAAAACTGACATGACTGGTAAGGCCCCATGTGCAAAATGTTTTGAGACACAGATACAAATAATAAATTAATTTGCAAACAATGAAATACATGTTTCTGGAGTATCAATTATCATGGATTACATGTTTAACACAAACAAACTTGAAATTTACTCTAAGAAATACATAATCATCAAGTTCAAATCGAGGGGTAAAAAATTACAAATTTACAGAGCTTAATAGGCACAAAAGGTACGCTAAATTCATTGAAATAATAAGCTCTTAGTTAGTATCAAATATAAAGCAGTGTAAAGTCTGCCATTAGATTAGTTATATTAGATCAATATGAAACACTAAGAGAGCAATAGAATCTACAAGTTTAATTTTAATTAAATCTCATTTTCTCAAAATTTAAGAAAAAAAGTACAGTTTTTTGTTTTAATGTTAGACTGCTGTATTAAAACCAGATAACAATAAGACCACAATATGTGAAATGGTTTTACACCAGATTTCAGTGCACTTTCAGTTTTTCACTAGTGAATAAAGGTAAAACAGTCTTTTTCCATGATTCATGCCATCTGATAGCTTGGAATATTTCCAGCTTTTCTCTCATTTCTGTCAACCTTTTCTGGCCTGTATAAAAGTCATCTAATAGAATCTGGAAAAAATATATCATAAATTATTCACTAGGTTATTTATACTATTTTCACAAAAAAAAACCATTGAACAAGAGCTTATACAATGTATACTAAAATGTCTCATCTGATGCAATTTTTGAACAAACAGGTTTAACCTCCAATGAAATAAATATATGTATAGGAGCCTTGTATTTCAGTGGTTGTCATTGGTTGCTGTCTGCCATAATGTTTTTTGTTTCTTGTTGAATTATAAAAGAGAGGCGAAAGATACCAGAGGGATATTAAAACTCATAAGTCGAAAATAAACTGACAATGCCATGGCTAAAAAAAGAAAAAGACAAACAGACAAACAATAGTACGCAAAACACAACATAGAAAACTAAAGACTAAGTTAAAGACTAAATCAGGTTGTTGGTTTCCTCTTTTGAACTGTTTGTTATCCTCCGGTCTTTTATAGCTTACTAAATGGTTTAGTTTTTTGCTCACTGCTGAAGACCATAAGGTGGCCAATATTTGTCATTGGTGAAGACCATAAGGTGGCTAATCATTGTCACTGCGGAAGACCATAAGTTGGCCAATCATTGTCACTGCTGAAGACCATAAGGTGGCCAATCATTGTCATAGCTGAAGACAATAAGATGGCCAATCATTGTCACTGCTGAAGACCATAAGGTGGCCAATTATTGTCACTGCTGAAGACCATAAGATGGCCAATCATTGTCACTGCTGAAGAACATTAGGTGGCCAATCATTGTCACTGCTGAAGACCATAAGGTGGCCAATCATTGTCACTGCTGAAGACCATAAGGTGGCCAATCATTGTTACTGCTGAAGACCATAAGGTGGTCAATCATTGTCACTGCTGAAGACCATAAGGTGGCCAATCATTGTCACTGCTGAATACCATAATGTGGCCAATCATTGTCACTGCTGAAGACCATAAGGTGGCCAATCATTGTTACTGCTGAAGACCATAAGGTGGTCAATCATTGTTACTGCTGAAGACCATAAGGTGGCCAATCATTGTTACTGCTGAAGACCATAAGGTGGCCAATCATTGTTATCGCTGAAGACCATAAGGTGGCCAATCATTGTTACTGCTGAAGACCATAAGGTGGCCAATCATTGTTACTGCTGAAGACCATAAGGTGGCCAATCATTGTCACTGCTGAAGACCATAAGGAGGCCAATCATTGTCACTGATGAAGACCATAAGGTGGCCAATCATTGTTACTGCTGAAGACCATAAGGAGGCCAATCATTGTTACTGCTGAAGACCATAAGATGGCCAATCATTGTCACTGCTGAAGACCATAAGGTGGCCAATCATTGTTACTGCTGAAGACCATAAGGTGGCCAATCATTGTTACTGCTGAAGACCAGAAGGTGGCCAATCATTGTTACTGCTGAAGACCATAAGGTGGCCAATCATTGTTATAGCTTACTAAATGGTAAAGTTTTTGCTCAGTGCTGAAGACCACATGGTGGCCAATCATTCTTCACCTCTTTGTCCTTTTTATTGGATAGTTGTCTTAGTGACAATAACACAAAATCTTTTTATTTTTACATTTCCTGTACATGAACTGATTTACTCTAACTTAAAACTAACCACTGGAGCATGAAAATGTGTCAAGACTAAATGTCATATATAGACTGATATACATTCAAAATATTGTAAAGACTAGACACAACAAACCTAAATATTGTTTTAAGATATAACTCATGGCAGCTTTTTTTTATTGGAGATTTTAATGCAGGTTAAATTGTTTGCATTAAATTGTTACCCCAAGCATTAGAATTGAAACTACAATAGCTAGAAACAATACAAAACTGGAGATTAAATTCCACAAATACCCGAGTAGATAAAAGTTTTGATTTTCAGTGAGTGTTGCCTCTTTTGAAATTTTGGTGTTTATGCACTAATAAATTAGAATGAAAACAGAAAGAGCTTTCCCAGACTTAAATATATTGGGGAGACACTTTTTATTTCACTCAGCTATGCATAAATTATGTCCATTATTTTAAAGTAGCATCCTCAAAAACAATCACCATCCATCAAATTTTAAATTACAACACTCCTGCCCCTTCACATTTTTTAATTCAAACATTTTTGGAAAATCCTGCAAATGATATAGAAATAAATAATTACCTTTATCTGCTGAAGCAAGTGTTTACTATTACTAAATACTAAGCCATTATGATTATGTTGAACCAGTTCTGATATACTGTAAAACAAAAAAATAGTCTAACATAAATCTTTATTTTTCAAAAGATAATGAAATTCCAACATCATTATCATTTTTGTCGCTTTTTTTTGGGAGGGGGGTGGCTTATTTTTTCTATCTATTTTTTTTTGTTCTGCTATACAAGTACTAATCCTTCAATAAAACAAAAATATAATTATCAATGTTGTATCTCTTAACAACTAACTAATGACATTCAAAGTTTCTTCCTTAAATCCCTAACATGATTAGAATTAAGAGATAACTGTATTGTATTTGAAGCTTTGCGGACGTCCATCGGTAGTTTTACTATCGCAAATTTAGTTTACCTGGCGACGCTTAGCGGAGACAGGTAAACGGGTATTTGTGACATAAAACTACCGATGGACGTCCATAAAGCTTCAAATACAATACAGTTATCTCTATTCTAATGCAAAACAAGTACATAATTCAATTTCAATCATTATTTCAGTGTAAAATTCTCATTAAAGAAAATTCCGCGAAAAGATGTTATCTTCTTTGGCCCCTAAAAAAGGTGACGTCATAGGTATGCTTCCGGCATCAAACGTAAACACCGGGCGTTTTCTGGCTTCTTGGCCGCTTCAGAATGTAATAAAATTTGATAAAAAGAAGATTTCTAGGTGCAACATGTGAGTTTTTTTGCTTATTATTGTAAAAATTACATGTCAATACATTCCGCAATTCAAAATGTCAGCTTTCTTAATTACAGACAAGGAGATAGAGAATTTTACGCTTACAGTCATCCAATCAGAACCATTGATACAACATAATTGCATTAGAATTACATGCATTTGTTCCATACAAGCTTTGTCCTTATGGACTGAATTGACTAGTGAACAAGATAGGGTTAATGATAACCTGATTAAACATTAAGCATATTTTTTAAGTTATATTTTATCTTCTGAATTTGCTAAAATAAATAAATAATACATTCATGAAATAGGAACATTTATTTATCAGATCTCTGATTTAATTTCCAAACTAAAAGATGAATTAAAATAACTTTTTATTTGTCATATTTTATAACATATATATGATAAATATAAAAAATGATTTTTAACTGGATGTCATAACCGACTGATTCTTAACAACAAACTTTTACATATGTTTGATTGTTTACCGATTATGATATTTGTTTTGATATTATATTTTCATAAAATATACGTTTATTGATATCATCAATGTCAAACTAGGTCAGATCCTTTAATCCATATGAAAATATGAAAAAAAAAACATATCTACTAATAGCAAGTCTCATTTACATATACCTTAAATTTGCTTTCATTCATACCTTAAGTAATGCTGTTTTTTTTCATTCTATAACTAACATTTTCAAGTCTACTCTTCATAAAATTAAAGTAGAACTGTCTAGTACAAGACAATTTGTCAACATTTGTACCTGTTGGAGTGCAATATTTATTTCCTAAAATATCAAGACTTTTGTTTAACAAAGCCTCAACAGTATCTAAAATGGAACGGAAATTTATCATCAATGCATATGTAGTACATATACAAGAAAAGAAGATATCTGATAAAGTAAATATGATGGATCATCGAGAAGAAAACTTGTTTGTGATGAAAGGACAAACTTAAACTAAAATGCAACAATCAGTTCCAAAACTTTTTTTGGAGTGCATACAAATACAAACTCACCATTTATAATCAATAGCACAAACAGGTACACCACAACCAAACATATCAACAACTTTCATAGGTAGATCTAACCCACTGGATGATGTGTGTAAACAAATACCTAAATCAGCTGATCCTATAAGTACATCAATACAAGAAACATTAATCTAAATGTAAAAATACAATGTTCCACAAATTTTGATGTATTGAACAAAAAACTATATTTTCTAAATATATCATATATCTTTTCTGTACCTATATAATCGTTTGGAAATTCTCACATATAACATTTGCAAATAAATTCTTTTTAAATTCGTTTTAAAACTCACACTGATGTTATAAACAAATAGCAATGATGACAATGTTATAAAAAGTCATACAATTTTCCCTTAGTAGTTAAAAGTAATAGAAGAGGATAGTTTGTTAATATTAGATTATCATAGTTATATGTAAATGTAACACAGATGAAGAATAGCTTAAATACTATATCAAACATTAATTCTCGATAAGCACTAGTTATGCAACAGATATTGAATCTGTTGTCTTCATTAAATTTCTGTAGATAACAAAAATCAAAAATTGACAGTTAAAATTATTTGCTTACTAGCATCTGTCGATCTTATTACCAATAATAAAAATGTCCAACACATGGAGACAAACTCACATCATTATTTTTTTCCGAGTTCGGACAAAATGGTATTTTTATAAGAAACAAAATACATATGTATAATACTTATTTCATTCATTTTATTATCAACAAAAAGGTCAGCTTAAGAAATTATTTCCATATATGTAATAACATCTACCTAGAAGTATAGGATAATCTTCAGATTCCAACCAGGGGAGACAAATCTTTACATGTTTCCACTCAGCTTTTTCTATCTTTTCTTTGTAATATTCTTTCTGTGGACCTTTTCCTATTTAATCCATGTATGAAAAGAAGAAACATGAACTTGAAAAAGAAAATTATAAAATACAAATTATCTTTTGTATAGATTATCTACTTAAAAGTCTGAAATATAATCTATTTATTCTTTGGAATAATTCATTACTAGGAATAACAGGAATTGCCAAAATTCAGCATAGTACAACAGACAACTTCAACCACCAAAACCTGATTCCTCCTAAAAATAGACAGATTAACAAAGACAAACAACAACTAACAACACAAGGGTGAGATAGGTGTTTTATTATTCTTTTAGGAAGTCACTATCAGTATTTTCAGTTTTGTAACTTAGATACCTTAAAGAGAAAGAAAAAAATAATGGACTGATAAAATTTCAAACTTGATCTCAATTTTGTTATCACCAACAACATATTTAAATTTGAAAATTATTGGTTGAACTTTGCTCAGGTTATTGCACGATAATGATTGAAAATGCCATTTTCCAACCAATCAAGGACCATAACCCTGAAGAGCAAACATGAAAATTGTCAATATTGAACTTCACCTCAATTTTGTCATCAGTAAAACATATCTAAATTCTAAATCATTGGTTGAACAGTTCTCAAGTTTTTTGCTCGGTAAAACAAGAAGTGCCATTTTCGATCAATAAACACCATAACTCCAGAACAGCAAAAGTCAAAATTGTCCATATGAAACTAGAGCTCCATTTGTCAATCACTAACAAAATGTTCAAATTTGAAAAGCATTCATTTGGTTATAAATTAGCAAGTTGGAAAACCAGGAAACATATTGTTACAATTAGAATAAAGGAGACAAAATATAAAATTCTAAAAGACTTCAACAAATTGAATGGAGTGTATTAATTAGTGTGTAAACAAACTCAAATTCTGTTCCATGGCGATTCTATTTCAAATTTTCATAGCATTTACTTGAAGCCAATTGTTATTGAAAATAAACTGTTAACACAGAGATATGTTTCACCTTTTTATTATTTTGATAGTAAAATGCAAATGTTGAAATTAAAAAAGCAATACTTTAACATGTTATAGAAAAACAAAGGATATTTGGTATCCATCCATTACACAAATGCACCGCAAAAAAAACACAAAAAAAAACAAAAAGTTATGTAAAATATTCCAAGTCAATGAAGTCATGACTGAAGGTATATGGCCAAACAATATCTATGGAAATGAGATGTGCAAATGCTAATACACATGCATACCATGCAACAAAATGACACAGTAGTTGACTCCCCTGATTGAATACCAAATCCTACCGTGTCAATACGGTAGCCTCCTATAGTCATATTGCCTTCCTTAAACTAAGCAAAAGTTTCAAAGTCAATAAACCATGACTGAGGAGGCAGGCCAAACAATCTCCATGGAAATGAGATGTGCCAATGCTAATACAACTGCATACCAAATATAATTGACCTACCACTAGTGGTTCCCCATTAACTGACCTATTCACAAACTTATACATGTAATGTGATGTGAAAATGCTAATACCAAATATCATTGACCTACCACAAGTGGTTATTCATAAACTGACCCAATCACAAACTTATACCTTGTTGACGCCCCCGCCTGAAACAGCCTACCTATGTCTCGCTTTTTGACTTTGTCAAGGCGAGACAAAAACCATTACATTTTCCTATTTTCCTGCTTATTTGCGAAAGACATATATGAAAATGGAACTGAAATTGTTTTTAATTTCGAACAGCATTATTTTATTTCCAAAAGATCTTAATATACACATTCTTGTGAGGCAAACTTTCTGATGGTGAAAAAAGGCTACTCAAATAACAATGCCAAATGTGGTAAAGAATAAATATTTGCATATTTTTCATTAAAAGCAAAAAAACACCATTGCAGCAATTTTGTATGAGGTTGAAATTTTTTTTCAGTAAACTGTTGTGTAGATCATATACTAGCTAATCAATAAATATAGATTGCTAATGTGACCAGTCATCTATATAGTTGATCAATGCTTAAGGTATTTTTCATAAAATCTGCAGCAAGAAAAAGGACATGTATACAACATACCTGTAATGACACACACAACATCTGGCAGTTTGTTTTCCTTTGTATTTGCTGCTATCTCATACTCTGTAAGAAAGAAAAATACAATAAATGAATGAATTATCTCTATTTTGGCTAAAATTTAAATTTTAAATCTTGAAAAAATGAGGAAGGGCAGTGGCTGAAAACCATTTCAAAAATGGTTTAATTATTACAATAAAATAAAAATTAAAGGAAAGCAACAACAACTAGAGGCTCTCAAGAGCCTGTGTCGCTCACCTGTATTTACTGATGCTTTGGAAACCATGTAAAATAAGGTTAAAATCATAATTAATAGTATTAGATATTAGATATTATAATGATATCTAAGATAATAACAAAAAACTGCAAAATTTTTGTAAAATTACTAACTCAGGGGCAGCAACCCAACAACGGGTTGTTGGATTCGTCTGAAAATTTCAGGGCAGATAAATCTAAATCTGATGAACATTTTTGCCGCCTGTCAGATTTGCTCTAAATGCTTTAGTTTCAGAGATATAAACCAAAAACTGCATTTTACCCCTATGTTCTATTTTTAACCAAGTTGGCCATGATGGTTGGAAGGCGGGGTCATCGGACAAATTTTTTAAACTAGATACCCAAAAAATAATTATGGCCAAGTATGGTTAAATTTGTCTCAGTAGTTTCAGAGAAGAAGATTTTTGTAAAAGATTACAAAAATTTACAAAAAATTGTTAAAAATTGACTATTAAGGGCAATAACTCCTAAAGGTGTCAACTGATAATTTTGATCATGACAACTTATTTGTAGATCTTACTTTGCTGAACATTATTGCTGTTTACAGTTTATCCCTATCTATAATAAAATTCAAGATAATAACCAAAAACTGCAAAATTTCCTTAAAATTACCAATTCAGGGGCAGCAACCCAACAACAGGTTGTCAGATTTGTCTGAAAATTTCAGGGCAGATAGATCTTGATCTGATATTCAGTTTCACCCTTATCAGATTTACTCTAAATGCTTTGGTTTCAGAGATATAAGCCAAAATCTACATTTTACCCCATTGTTCTATTTTTAGCCATGGCGGCCATCTTGGTTGGTTGGCGGGGTCATCTTACACATTTTTTAAACTAGATACCCTAATGATGATTGTGGCCAAGTTTGGTTAAATTTGGCCCAGTGGTTTCAGAGGAGAAGATTTTTGTAAAAAGCTAACGACGACGGACGACGGACCCCAAGTGATGAGAAAAACTCACTTGGCCCTTCAGGCCAGGTGAGCTAAAAATTAACTTCATTTTCAATTGAAAGATTCTATTAACTAAAATTTATATAATATTATCTAGTTTCAGATTTAAATGTACTGACCATGCAAAGTTTGTAGTAAAACTCCAAAATCCTCATCTTCTAAAAATATATAAATATCCATTTGAAGATAATTATAAATAAAGTAAAGATGTATAAAGTCCATTTCAATTCAAATTTTGTAAATAAATTTTACTTAGCTACAATTCAAGTATCCATAACCTGTCATGTTTTTCTAATCTGTTAGTAAAAGAAGTTGAAGGTACAATTTGAGGCTTGTTTCATCTTATAAATTCATTTAAAAAATACATATACATGTATATTACCAATAATCATCACATATTGTAATCTTCTGGAATAAGGATTTTTAAGAAATTGTAAAATTTTAGCAATGGCTTGAGACACAATTTCATTGTAACAGAAAAAAAAAAAACAATGACTCAATGTTCATCAGAATAATGATAGATTTTAGCAAAAAATCAGTGTATATACAAGCATCCAATATAACCAAAAAAATGGTGTTGCCAGGAAAACAAAATAAGCTTATAATACTCTGAATATCCAACTGCCTGATGGTCAAGTTATTTTTTAGGAATATAAGTCAAACATTCAATATGTAATTGCCTTATTACCTTTGTTTACTTTTATTTCAGGTATGTTTAACCTGCAATCAGAAATATACTTCTTTTGAACTCGACTATTCATTTTTCTTTTCAAAAGCTGATGATACTGTTGACAGATGAATTACTTCAAAATTGAACTTTATCCTGACGTTAACAAATAAAATAAGGTTTTTGATGAAGCTTGATATGAATACATTTTATATTACCTGTCCAGCTGGTACTACTTATTAAGAATGCAGGTCTGTCTTGTCTGTTAACAATTTTCCCATCAGACTGTTTTACTGTCAATACCGTTTCTTCTGTGTCTTTTTCAGATCTGAAAGGGCAAGTATCAACAAAACAATATAACAGCAAGTCATTATCATAAATTCATGGCATTTTGTTTGCACAATGTCTACAAAAAATGCACATCATGTCCTATATAGTATTGTTCCATCGATAATAAATTGCAACAAACATATGTGTCATCACTTTTAATATCAGCATTGCTCATAACTAAGATTTTAAATGATAAATGAATAAGAAATTGACATAAACTATAGCTAATCCCCACGCCTGTCATAACAATATACCAGATCTGGTTGCATCTGGGCCACAACTACATACTAACTAGAGTTAATCTTACATAAACTGTAAACTATAGCTTATCCCAATGCCTGTCATAACAATATACCAGATCTGGTTGCATCTGGGCCACAACTACATACTTACTAGAGTAAATCTTCCATAAACTGTAAGTTTATCTATTTTTTGTATGAACTGTTACAAATATCATAGTTGTGTCCACTGATTAAATATCAATCCTCTATTACTTCTTTGTTCAATTTGTACATTAACACAAAATATATGTTTGGCAGGGAAATGAAAAGATCATTATTGAAAGACCCATTAACCATGAAAACTGGGACCAACAAATACCAAATATTTTTATTTTTTCTTACTTTTTATCTGGCACAAAGAGATCATATTTCTCTGATAGTTTAAGAAGCAGCTCATGTTTATCTTCAACTTGTGTTTTCTTAAATTCTTCTGGTGCTTTATCATACAGAGTATTGGCACTGAAATATAAAATTAACAGATTCTAACGACATTGTATATTATAGCACACTCTCACAAACACATATGTACAGTACACATTCTTCATTAATCATTGTATATTATAGCACACTCTCACAAACACATATGTACAGTACACATTCTTCATTAATCATTGTATATTATAGCAAACTCTCACAAACACATATGTACAGTACACATTCTTCATCAATGTTGATTATGATTTTAGAATTTTCTTGGTAAACAAAATTTATCAAATCTTTCCTCAGTCAAAATAAAAACTAAGTTAAACTTTTCTTTAGAATTCTTTTGAAAGAAAAAAATTCCTTATATGAACCTCTTCCTTTTTCTAAATTAATTTGAAGGGCAATATTTTGTTTTCTTACTAAAAGTATATACGTATTATTGACTGATATCAGTTTTGCCCAATCATAAATAATAGATATCAATTTTGTGTCAAATTTATTCTTTTTATTTCTGTAAAATGAAATGAAGATAGAAAATAATCAGATGCGATACTGAGGGGCAGAAGGAGGGGGTGTCATCCCGCATTCCAGAAAAAACATAGCATTCTTTCCCAGATCTAGAAAAATTAATCACTATTTCCTGAGTTCCCATAAGGGTCAATCCTGAATTCCTGTGAAAATAAAGGCCCAATCCCGAATTCCCATAGAAAATAAAGGCCTGATCATGATGTCCTGAAAAAGGTCCTTCCGCCCCTCAATACTCAAGACTCTGCTGGATAGTTGTATCATTGGCAATCATACCAAATTTACTTATTCATACAGTCTAAAGCCAATCTTCCCTTTCCCTGACAGTTTAATTGCCAAGTAAGGAACAATGTCAGGGATTGCTGATGTCTCTTCACGTTATTTTTCTACTAATGTAGCGTTGACGTAAGATATTTGATTGTCCCTGCTGAATTCATTCATAACTTGTATACACTCATTATCTTTGTATTAGAGTAGCATGAGGTCTTATATATATAATTATACATTATCGATGGTTTTTCTATGATCTCATCGAAGGGTGACAAGCCTGAGATGAAAGTAGCCAAGAAACATCCTCGAGTTTGAAAGACCAGTGATGATCTGTTTATTGCTATTTTCCTAGGCAGCGTCGACGATGTAGGATCATGACGTCATACATTCTCTTTCTACTCAACTGAGAAAATCCAATATTACTTAAGTGGCGTGATATGGAAAATTATCACAAAAAAATTTCAAAGAAAAATTTGCAATAATAGGTTTTAACAAAACAACTTGGAAGAGTTCTGTAGTCTCAAACATTCTTGTCTACATTTCGTGAAACATAATTTTATACAAGGGTTTTTTTTTCATTTGCGTTTTATAACACTAGAAATCTCTCCTGTTATTTCTGAAAAAATCTACAATGGAGAGTGAATGCATTAACTTTTATGACATTATTTACAAGTTAGTCTTGCTATTGTACCCCTGCAACAATTGGGTTGACCATTCATAAATTTGGACAACAAAATCTTCAATGATAAATATTTGACCATAAGAGTTTAATACAGACTGGATGTTTTTTTAATCATCCCCAGAAATCTAAAAGTTAACATGAATCAACCCTATTTCCAACCTAAATCAAAAATGACTAAGTCAGCTATGTATTTATGAATTAAAATTCACTGTGATCCTTACTATTTGAGGAGGACAGACACATGGCAGTGGGTCGACTTGATACTTGTATTTTTTTCATATAACTAGAAGGTGACTAAGTCCTTACATAAATAGTGATATACAGAATATATACAGGCAAAATGACTAAGATTACCCAACCACTGAGCTCACTCCTTCTAATTATGAATGAGTAACTTAAAGATGATCTTCTTTTATCATTATTCCTAATTCATAAATTTATAAACTCACCTTATTCCTAATGAACTCAAATCTGCTCTCATTGCATTGGTCACACAAAAATTAATTGCAGAAAATTTCCCAAAATAGAATTCATACCTAAAATATATATAAAAATAATTTCAAATGAAAAATATATAATAAATTATTAACACAGAGATTTGTGGTCCCTGTGTAAAGTAATCACAATTTTTAACAATTTGTTTACACTGCAGACAGATTATAGCTGTTTGTTTAGTTTCCAAAATAATTGTTGCAGTTGAGATAGTCCTTCTGACTCTGGTAACAACCTTAAATATTTTTTACAAAGCTTGGTTTGAAGTGTAAAAGGTTTAAAAATACATACTTCGTTTTTAAAGTAATTTTCAATGTTCTTTATATTATTCACAATATAATACTGTTACATCAAAATTAAACAAAATAAATAAATCATTTAAACCAATTGATGAGGCAAAATACATCAAAGCTTCTTTTGGAATAACACTTAGAAAAATATTTGAACAGGAGTGGTGGGTCAAACCGGGTATCCCGATTTGAAATCCGTGGAGGGATCTGAATCCAGAGGAGCAATTAATGAAAAGTTTTTAATAGTAGGTAGGTAAAATCTGAATCTGATTCCCACGGAGCATAATTCCTCTGTGGGAATCAGATCCAGATTTTACTTATCCATTGTTACAAACTTTTTATTAATTGCACCTCTGGATTCTAATCCCTCAACAGTTTCTGATTTGTATACATGGTGTTTGGTGGGTAGCATTTATTCAGTAAAGCTACTTAACAGTGATCATTAAAACGTGAAATCCATGTGTCATTTACAACTGTTAGAATTTAAAAATAAATTTAAACCCTTTTTAGAACTACACTTGATAAAAGTGACACAAGGTGTCCTTGCATTTCAAAACAATCAAGTATCACTTAATATTGAGTAATATATTTATTAATTATCTATTTTTGCCAACAAGGCAGATTAAATACCTTTTGTACCACCTAACCTCTGGGTCAAATATAGGTAAATCATATTGAAACTAATACAGGGTCTGTAACTGACTGAAAACAACACTACAAAAATTCCATTCAAATGTGCTAAACAGTAGAAAGCATACAAGAAAATCATCTTTAAATGTCTGAAATCATATGTCAAAAAATATATACTGTAAATTCAGAAATTATTGCGATGTTTTTATTATTGCGAAAAATGCGACAGGGTTATAATCACAATAATTTAAACTCGCGTTTTGAAATTTTTTATATGAATTAAACATGATTTTTCTCAACATCGCAAAAATTAAAATCGCATTTTAGTCTAAAATGACAAAATCGCAATAATAAATGCACGCAATAATTTCGGAATTTACAGTAGTATATTAGTGAAATGATCGAAATATATTTACCAATTTGCAATTTTGACCAGTGTATGCTGTTTACCCACCCCTAAGCTAAGGATTGTGTATCCATAGTTATGCCAATCTATCACTAATTTACTTCCTCTTAGCCAACAAACAAGCCAGCAAACTGCCAATGTAGGAATACATGGTGGATTCTGTAAGTTGAATATTTCACATGCTTTCAGTTCAAATCATTAAAAAATTGGCATTAACCTAATATATATTAACTACTGTATCTTTTAGATAAAAAAAAATCCAGTGATAGTGTAGTTCTAGTTTTCAGTTCATTAAAAGCATGATTACATAGATACAGACACCGAGATATGCCTCTCCTGTATGTTACTTTGATGGTAAATTGCAAATGTTGAATTAAAATGGCAATACTTTACCATGTAAACTATCAATAAACCATGACTGAAGGTCCAGGGAAAAACAATCTCGTGGAAATGAGAAATGTCAATGCTAATACAACTGCTTACCTTATATCATTGTCTTATCTTTAGTGGTTCCCCCTTAAACTATCCTAATCACAACCTTTAACATGTAAACTAAGCAAAAGTCTGAGGGGACGAGGACAAATAATGCTTCTATAACCTCATACCAAAATCATTGACTTACCATTAGTGGTTCATCTTAAACAGACCTAATCACAAACTATAAAACAATCGTTGACAATGCCTCTGCTAATGATGAAAACAGTACTCCTTAGTCTCACCATCAATGACCAATGAACACATACAAACATGTTTTAACTCTGCCACATTCTTTATGTGTTTGTCCCAACTCAGGAGCATGTAATTCAGTGGTTGTCATTGTTTTTTTGGTTTATTGTTTCGTACATAAATCAGGCCGTTAATTTTTTCGCATTTGAATTGTTTTATATTTGTCCTTTCGGAGCCTTTTTTGGCTTACTATGCAGTACGGGTTTTGAAATTTGCTCACTGTGTGCCATACGGTGACCTATAGTTGCTAACTTCTATGTCATTTGGTCTCTGGTGGAAAGTTGGTCTCATTGGCAATCATACTACATCTTCTTATTTTTATTTAGCAATTATGACTACATGTACCAACAGTAGATTAACCATTTCAAATGAATTATGATTCAAAAATATTCAACTCCTGTTGAACAATTGACAAAGCTTAAATTTGTTGAGATGCACAACTGTATACATAATGCATGAACATTTGATGACCTGCAAAATAGTAAAATTATTTGTCTCTCCTTTATCCATCTTGTCATTAAAATTGTCCAACCAAACAAATTCATTTCATCTGTCCAAAAAATAAATTGGGTTCATATTTAACCTCGGGAACATATAAATTTTAAAAACAAAATCACCTAGATACCTTCCAAAAGTCTTACAGGTAGTTAGTAAAGAAGAAGCAAACTTAAGATACCTTCCTAAAGTCTTACACGAAGTGTCGCAAAGATGAAACAATCTTAGATACCTTCCAAAAGTCTAAAGTTTAGCTACGGTTGCAATTTTTTTGTGGTTTGCCTAGGATTTCCATGTATTAATTCTTTAATTGTTGAGGCGACTGTAGCTGACAATTATTCTATGTTTTTTTTTAATTACACAAATAAAATAAAATAACACAGACTGAACTGTAAGCTACTGGTAACAAATAATACCCTGTATTGACTAAAAGCTGGGAATAGTATACTAACAATATATTATGGTCCAGTTTAAAGTATAATTTGAACACTAGCAATAAATCTAACAATTCATCAAATAATGTAGAAAGTCTTATAACAACAACACTGGAGGGACTGCTGCAGAAAATTTATTGATCGACATGTTTCGGTGCCTAGGGCACCGTCATCAGGTGCCTACCCTGCATACCCGAGGTATCCACTTCAGGGACTCTAACTCACTACAGACTCACCAGGCGTTGGTTCACTTTCGTTTGTAATTCATCAAATAGTATAGCTTGTTCTAATGAACATTTGTTTAAAATATCAAGAAACTTTGATTTCCAGTTGCTGAGGAAAATGTGACAAAATTTTACATATCTACATATAGAAGACAAACATCAATTTGACACAGCTTGATCTCCTGGAAGCATTATCCCTTTCAGCACAGGAAGATTTGGAAAGTTAAGCTTAAAACTTAAAAATCAATTCTTCTGCTTTCCACTGAAGCATGTTGCATATAGGAGAAAGAGCAAAGAATAGTCAGCTCAGAGAATACTGTGACCAAGTGAAGTTACGTACATGTCTTCTGACAGATGTTAATTTTTTAAACTTTGTACCCGTATTTTATGTTGTACCCACCTGTATCATTATGAAGCCTGCTTTTGGTGAAAATAACATTGTTACACCAAGTGTTACGCTTTGAAATATTACTTTCAATATGAATACCAGAAGTTGAGGACAATCTGAAATTGAGAGGCAACATTGATTAAGCATATATAGCTAGCTCTTATGATTAAGAAGATCCCATTGTTTTATAAGTTTATAAATTCTAAAGTATATTTTGTTTCTAAATATAAGATTGCATTGTTTTATTTGTTAAGACAGGTAGTCATTTTTATATTAAAATATAGTACTCCATTTTACTTGAAACTTTTTCACAGCTGTTCACATTTAATACAATCAATGAAAAAAGCAAGGAAAGCAATCAACATAACTTGAATTTTCAACTTTAAGACTGAAATTTATAGTTTACTCCATGTTCTAATGTCAAAATAAAAATAAAAATGATTTGTCATTTCTACTTATCACAATTCAATATGCACTTTCCCTGTCTGCCTGTGTATCAAAATATGGTCCTAAAGCACTTACTCTGTAAATGATGACACACATTCAACAAAAGTTGATGCAATCAAGGAAAATGGAAGGTCCTCAAAAGTAATTTCAATATACACTATTAAAGATCTGCCAACAACACCAATAAATGTAAAAAAAAAAGGAGCAAGAAATGTATGCCAGCTGAAGCCCGCCTCCGAGTGCGGGATTTTCTCGCTGTGTTGAAGACCCTTTGGTGGCCTTGAGCTGCTCTTTGGTAGGGTTGTTGTCTCTTTGACACATTCCCCATTTCCATTCTCAATTTTATTATCAGTGCTTACAAGTCCAGATCGACTAATGCCTGATATTTCTATGTCACCTTCTCTGCATTGCAGTAGGGGCAATAAAAAAAATATATTTACATTTTACACAAGCAGGGACATCTGGCAATAAATACTTTCTAATGTCGTTGTTTCTTCTAATAGAATCAGGCAGTTTAGATCCTGAAATAAAGCATCATTTATTTATATAGTATGTTTGTAATTGTCATGTGATAACAGAAATAACTTGCAGAGTTTCTGTGAATGTTTCCCCCTTAGATATGATCTTGTGTAAAAAAAAACTTTCTTACAGATTTAATTTACATCTGGGAATCTTTTGAAATTTAATTTTGATTGAGAAAATTTACTCTACAGTAGTTTTAAAATGTATAATATAAGTAGATTTAAATTTTGTGTTCCACTAAGTAGTGCTTATTCAAAGCACATGTAAAGATTTCTTTTATCAAAAAACAGTAATTTACTGATTTAAAAGTTTATACGCTTTCTGGGACAGTAGCTAAGTACAAAAGACCACTTTCGAGGTATGTCCTTCACCGGAAAAGTTCGTCAATTATGCTCGCCTTTATGACGTCATTTACCAGATAGAGGGTATTGCCTGTATCCCTGCTCTATTAAAGTTCACCAAGCGTCTTTGTGATCATCATTATGCAAGATAAACTAGAAATAATATTTGTTCCTTAGGTACTTAATCACAATTCCCTAATGATAGCAGTGCTGAATAACAATTATAAGAATTTAATTTGCAATTCGTGCAATATAGCATTATCATTTTTTCAATCAATCGCTCAACATAGGAACAGAAGTGACGACGCCCCTAAACGCACAAATGATGTCCACTAAAACCAAAGTATTTGACGGAAATGCAACGAACTCGAAAGTTGTCTATTGGAAATTTCTAATTTAAAAATAACTAGATTTTTTTTTTGGAAGAATTATTTTCTGATTGCTAAAATAATTTATCTTAATACATGTAGTTTGTTTGATGAAAGTGTGTGGAGAGTAATTTATGCAGTGTAAGATAGTTAGAAAGAATGGTGAATTCATACAGGTTTCAAAGTACATGTAACACCATAAAGTTGAATAGTTGTCCAAATCCTTGGTAAGCAATACACAGCTAGGCTTATGACTTCACATTTTAACCCAAATCTATTTTTAAAATATACAATCATGACAATTGAACCCCCATAATCTTAAATCCCTATCCATACCCGCCATAGCATTTAATAGGTTTGGAAATTTCTATAATATAAAAATAAGGAGATCTAAGCCACTAAGCCACGAACACATATTCAATTCGGAGATTATCAAACCAAAATGAACATGTAATCTTGCAAACTCACCGCCGTAACCAACCAAATCAACGTGGAAGCCTTCTTTAGCAAAGGATGAGGAGTGGTACAACATTCTTGGGCTCCTTCCCAAATCACCAAGTACAACGATACAAACTGACTTTTTTCCCTTCACAAAATAGTTCAGTGAAATATAAAGGAACATAAAAACGAATGGCAAATACAGTAAAACAGGCCCAACCACAAAATACATTATTATTTCAAAATTCGTGGCATGCAGACGAAAACTTCCGGTGCCACATAAGACTGTAACAATTAAAAACACATTTTTTTTTGTGTAGCAGCCGAATTCAAGTCAAGATTCAACTATTTATGTATTTATCTTAATAATGAGATTTAATAGAATTTAACAATTTTTAACACTTGTAAGATATACAAAACATTTTCCTTTAACACTTGTTTTCAGAGTTGTAAGCGGTGTAAACAAAGAACAAAATGCAAGATGATGAAGCCGAAGGGTCTGACAGTGACTGTTTGAAGGAAGACACTTCAAGTTCCGAAGGAGAATATCCAGTTTATGACAAAGTATTATAAAAACTAGCTGAATATAACAATCCCATAAATCTGAAGAAAAACACGTGTATATGACCGCTTTTTGGGGAGAATAAATAGTAGGAGCTTCGATTGATTGATAGTTGGTTGTTCAATGTCCAGTGGCAATTAATTCATGCATGTTTAGGACAGGAGAAGTTTCGAGGGTTGATTTGGATCACAATGGTACTGAAAGACATGGGGGACAACAAAACTCTGTTTTTTTTTGGGGGGGGGGGGGGTTTCCTTGTTAAACATGAAACATCATACAGCATATGAAGGCATTTCGTTTATCGTTAGGATGTGAACTGAAAGAACGATAAATCTATTACATTCAAGAGTTGAGTTGAGTATTTTCAAAAATAAACGCCATAACACCTTCTTTGCCCCTAGAATCTGCCACTGCATTGTATAGCATTGATTAGAAATTAAGGTGAAAGGATTTCATCAATTGCTAAACCATAATAAATGTAATGTTTAAATATTTTTTTTCTCTAATTTTCACAGAAATATATTATTCTGTTAGATTTTCCACATGGATATCAGCACTGAAAAACATGGTTATATTTTGTTCATTGCACATAGTAACACTTCATGCTTTTATTCCACTTTATATGTTTTAACATGCCGATCAAGTTTATATTTACTTTACCAAAAAAGCATAACACACAATAAAACCATTGGAACCATGGGAGATATTTTTAAAAATACAGATGTTTGTATTGTTTGAGTTATCTCCCTTGATATAAAATATATTTTCTGATACATGCATTTTAAATTGCCTTACAGTGTATTATGCTGTAGAAACAATTTGTTTTATTTAATAAAAAGAAATGCAATACTAGAAGCCTAGGTCCTAGGGGGCCCAGAAAATTATATGTTTTCGTATTTGTGAGTTTCTGTCATGTGACATGTCTGTGAAACTATAATTGTAAATAACTGCAAGAGTTATTCCAATAATTCTAATAAATGGAATTGAGTTACCTCCCATGAAATACAGAAATTAATGTAAGGAATTATTTTCAAAATTAAAGTAGATATGTTGGAACGACATGAATGGCCCCGCTCGTCAAAACAAAATTGAAGCCATTTGTAGGAGTGGAAATCCAAAACTTGATCTATAACTTATCATAGTAGACTGACATACTAAAAATCAGCTCAATCTGTATGTGAAGGCATATAGAAAAAAAGTTTGTATAACTGTCATTTTCACGAAAAGTCCAAAGCCCCATAATTTTGGCAAAATTCAGCAAAGCTGAACAAGACATAAACTTGAACTGTAACTCATCATAGTAGACTCACTTACTAAAAATCAGCTCAACATGTGAAGGCGTTTAGAAAAATGTCTGTTTACCTGTTATTTTCACAAAAGTCCAAAGCCTGTAATTTCAGCAGAAATCAGCTGAGTGGAACCAAAGGTAAACTTGATCCGTAACTCATCATAGTTGACCTACATATTAAAATTCAACTCAATATCTGAAGATGTTTAGAAAAAAAGTCTGTATAACTTATTTTCATGAAATTTTCAAAGTTCAAAGCCTGTAATTTCGGCAAAAATTGTCGGTCAGGAACCAAACGTAAACTCGATCTGTAACTTATCATAGTAGACTCACTTGCTGAAAATCAGCTCAATATGTAAAGGTGTTTAGAAGAAAAAGGCTGTATAACTGTTCTTTGACGAATGACAGATAAGGGTAACACTATATGGCCCTGACCTAAGTCGCAGGGGCCATTTACATCAATAAATATAACAAAGAAATGAAAACAAGTTTGACATCTGTTAAATATGAGCATATTTTCCTGTTTTTAGTGGCTATTTGGGCAACTTCTGAATATCATTGGAATGCTAACATAAAGGAGAATATGTTGTCCCACAAATTTGTATCTGAGAAGCATATGATTTCCAGCAAAAATGTATCTTAGATGCATATGATTCCCATCATTTCTGCATATCTGATTAATGAAAAGAAAAAAAAACAAACAAACACAAAACAATAACCTACATGAGCTCATCAGGTAGTATTTGCCTCATATTAAGTTAACAGTTACATTTTGATTTACAGTCCCATAATTTACCTGAGAAAAAACTTTCATTCAGCCACATGTGAATTACATGAACATGTATTCAGATATAGAAGTGTTTCCTACAGGAGGTTTTTGGCTGGGTGTGGCGCAAACTTAAGAGATAAAACCTTAGTGTTTTTTTTTTGTCAACTTTATTAATTCAAATTACCATGTATACCGAATTGACATTGATTACTTTTAGTTTGTTATAGAGTTGTAAATTTGAGGATTGTATTTTTACAACTTTAGATTCGTCCATCATCTAGTCTTGCAACAGTGCTGCCTGAGGTTGATGTGTCAAAATGGAGTCCAAAGGGCCCTGCTTGTCTCCAGTATCTGTGCTTAGTACCTTTTGTATCAATTTACAATCCAGAATATCAACAGAGTTCATCAGCAAGAAAGGTCAAAATATCTGTTGTTCACAGAAAAAGACGAATGAAAGAGATCACTGGAAGAACAAATTGCAGAAATATTCTTGGTATAAACTTTGAATTTAATTGCTTACACCAGTTTAGTCTAGTATTTATTGTTATATTTTTTCACCTTGACATTTGATTGATGACTTGACAGATTTTTGTTTGGCAACCGTGTGAATTATTTCACTAAGTTTTGTATTTCAAAAGGGAAAAGAGATTGATAATGCATACATGTTTATCTGGTATTAAAACAGATACCTTACCGTCTGTGTTTTCTGAGTGTTATTTATGTGTTTTCCTTGACCACATTTTCATGGTTCAATGACTGTATGAAAAAAACATTTTTTTATGAGAAATATCACTATAATTGATATTTTAAAACATTGGAATGTATGGGGACCACCATTTGATATTCTGGAGTGGGGTGTTGGTATCAGGAGGATTTTTTCTGGATTGGTCATTTAATTTCATCTTATCTACGCATGCTTATTTTTTTGCTAACATTTATTTTCACTATGATATAGATTTAATTCCTGCATTTTGTGTTGCCGAATATTCATTTACATCCTGTCTAGTGCAACGTTACTTATTTTCAGTTTTTATCAGGCCATGTTATTTATTTTCAAAATCACCTCTCCCCTGACTTTGGCCTAAATTTTGAGCTCCATTGGTCAAAGTGTTCGGTTTTTGTGAAAAGGTTAGTTTCTCAGATACTTTAAGTCAAAGGTCAAGTAAATTTGGTGTAAAGAATAATTTATGGTGTACTTGTCTATCTGGATGGCTTCATCTGATATAGACCTCATTTTAATTGGTTATTGGACGACTTAAAGTGTTTGTTATCAAGCCACTTTCTCAGATATTATAAGTTACAGGTCAACTTTATCATGTGAAATCAAAACAAAATTATTTCACAACTTGAAAAGATTCAGGGTTCAGATTTCAGAGCTTGACATATTATAATTATATGGACAATTGTGTATCATTGTTAATCCATAAGATGATTCTAGGTGTTGTTAAGTTTGTGTCTCATTGATGGAAGTCCCAAATCTCATTTTATTCATTTAAATTCCATAATATATATCAACTTAAATTCTATACCCTTCAATGAAATTAAATACCTAAAACTTTATTGAACATGAAATTATTTCTTATATGATTCTGTATAAGAATCAGACTCTTACAACCAAACATGAAAAGAGTAATTCACATCACAAGAAAGTGTGATTTGGTATTTGTGTTGTTGGGTTCCTGTCTCATTGACATACATGTATCTCCTTTTGTTCAAACGATGAAGGAAGACAGAACATCTCAACAGAATGGGTTTAACTAAACTCAGTAATAATGAAGCAATTACTTATAAGTATTATCACATCATTTAAAGTCATTGTCACATATTATAATGATTCTCAGAGGATTCTTGGAAGGCCAAAGGTCGTAACATGGAAACCAAAAGGCAGACAGGTAAATTGACAAAGGAACAAAGGTTTTACTTTAAGATAGATAGGTTGAATGTTAAGAGTAGAAGGGAACTGCAAGTAATAGAAGGGTAATCCTCCCTTCAGAAGTATATAAGGGAATCACTGCATTAACTAATATGTTAATATTTCTGGCATTTTGTTATGGGAGACATAGGTATTACAATCCAGCAGTGGCAGCGACGGCGTAAACTATTCGTTCAAAGCTTTATATTTCACAAGGTAGAAGACCTGGATGCTTCATACCTTGTATGCAGATACCTTATGTTACCAAGTTTCCCTCTGTCATATGTTCATTGTCCTTCACCTCATTTTCATGGGTCAGTGACTGCTTGAAAAAAGTTTTTTTGTTTAGTGAAATACTCACTTATTATGAGTAATATGATAACTATATTTGGTATATATATATAGGTTCCTTGCAACGTCTACATGTCCGTCAGGTAGGGTTTCTCTGACCTTGACCTTATTCCATTGATCAGTGACCAAGGTTAAAGTTAAAGTTTTTTATGCCATTTGATAAGGGACTTTCCGTTTTGAATTTTACTTGGAGTTCTGTATTTTTGTTATTTTACTTTTTACGTGGTCAAATCCATATCTCAGATACTGTAAGCAATTGGCCAACTATATTTGGTGTATGGAATGATAGTGAGGGGTACATGTCCGACTAATAGGTTTCATCTGACCTTGATAAATGCTTACATCCACTTTATTTGAATTTAGGTGGATAGTTGTCTCATTGGCAATCATACCACATGTCCTTATTTTTATGTTGACCTCATTTTCATGGTTCGTTTGTCAATGTTGAGTTTTTGTGTTTTGGTCTGTTTTTCAAGTCCTATAAACATTATGTCAACTACATTTGGTGTATGGAATGGTTGTAAGGTGTACATTTCTGTCTAGCATGTATCATCTGACCTTGACCTCATTTTCATGGTTCATTGGTCATTGTTAAGTTTTTTGTGTTTTGATCTGTTTTTTCAAATACTAATAGCAATAGGTCAGCTATATTTGGTGTATGGAATAATTGTCAGGTGTATATGTCTGTCTGGCAGGTATCATCTGACCTTGACCTCATTTTCATGTTTCATTGGCCAATGTTAAGTTTTTGTGTTTTGATCTGTTTTTCAATAACCATAACCAATAGGTTAACTATATTTGGTGTATGGAATAATTGTAAGGTGTACATGTCTGTCTGACAGGATTTATCTGACCTTGACCTCATTGTTATTTTTTTATGCCCCTGCCGTAGGGGAGGGGGCATTAAGTTTTACCCTTTCCCGTCTGTATGTACATACGTACGTCCCAAAATTGGTTTCCGTTCTCTAACTTGAGTTTGCCTCAACCAAATATTATGAAACTTATACACAATGCTAATTACCACAAAACACAGATCAAGTTTGAATTTTGGTGGTGTCACTTTAACCGTTCTAGAGTTATGCCCCTTTATAAATGGAAAAATTGCAAAAATTTTAGTTTCTGTTCTCTAACTTAAGTTTGCCTCAACCAAATGTTATGAAACTTATACACAATGCTTATTACCACCAAATACAGATCAAGTTTGAATTTTGGTAGGGGCACTTTAACCGTTTTAGAGTTATGTCCCTTTATAAATGGAAAAATTACAAAATTTTTAGTTTCCGTTCTCTAACTTAAGTTTGCCTCAATGAAATGTTATAAAACTTATGCACAATGCTTATTACCACAAAACACAGATCAAATTTGAATTTTGGTGGCGTCACTTAAACCATTCTAGAGTTATGCCCCTTTATAAATGGAAAAATTGCAAAAATTTTAGTTTCCCTTCTCTAACTTAAGTTTGCCTCAACCAAATGTTATGAAACTTATACACAATGCTAATTACCACAAAACACAGAACAAGATTGAATTTTGGTAGCGTCACTCTAACTGTTCTAGAGTTATGCCCCTTTATAAATGGAAAAATTGAAAAATATTTAGTTTCCGTTCTCCAACTTAAGTTTGCCTCAACCAAATGTTATGAAACTTATACACAATGCTTATTACCACAAAACACAGATCAAATTTGAATTTTGGTAGGGTCACTCTAACCTTTCTAGAGTTATGCCCTTTATAAATGGAAAAATTGCAAAATTTTTAGTTTCCGTTCTCTAACTTAAGTTGCCTCAACCAAATGTTATGAAACTTATACACAATGCTTTTTACCACAAAACACAGATCAAGTTGAATTTTGGTAGCGTCACTTTAATCATTATCGAGTTATGCCCCCTTTATAAATCGAAAAATTGCAAAATTTTTAGTTTCTGTTCTGTAACAAGTTTGCCCCAACCAAACATTATGAAACCTATACACAATACTTATTACCTTAAAACTCAGATCAAGTACAAATTTGGGTAGCGTCACTTTTATCGTTCTTGAGTTATGACCGTTATAATGTTGTATGCAAGGGGGGGCATCATCTGTGTCCATGGGGACACATTCTCCATTTATTTTAAATGTTAAGTTTATGTGATACTTGTAGTAAAACCTTTATCTTTAAGACTTTCAACATAAAATCAGTGTGTGCACTCTTGAATTATATACTCTGCAGTTTAAAAACTACTGCAATAATCTAAATGGATTTGACCAGTATCACATGATTTTTTTCTGAAAAGGTTCAGTAAAAATCTTCATAGATTTGATACAAAATATTATTATAAAGTTTTTCTTTTAATAAATATGTTTTTAGATGAAAGAAGATTGAGAAATGCTGCCAATGAAAATGACTTTGAAACAGGTAAAACATTTATCTACTAACAAGCAAAGTAAGGGAAGAAACAGGTAACATTTATCTGCTTACCAGCAAAGTAAGGGAAGTAACAGGAAACATTTATCTGCTTACCAGCAAAGTAAGGGAAGTAACAGGTAACATTTATCTGGTTACCAGCAAAGTAAGGGAAGAACCAGGTAACATTTATCTGCTTACTAGCAAATTCAGGGAAGAAACAGGTAAATTTATCTACCTACCAGCAAAGTAAGGGAAGAAACAGGAAACATTTATCTGCTTACCAGCAAAGCATGGGAAGAAACAGGTAACATTTATCTACTTACCAGTAAAGTAAGGGAAGAAACAGGTAACATTTATCTGCTTACCAGGAAAGTAAGGGATGAATTGACTTTGAAACAGGTAACATTTATCTGCTTACCAGCAAGTAAGGGAAGAATATAGTGTTTTTAGTAAAGATTTAGTTAATAATTTGCATTTAGATGTTGATATAAGCGACTCAAAGTCTAAAAGTAATTATATGTTATCAGTGGACTCATCTTGGATAATGATGATGGTCTAAGTAAAAGTTGGGTCAAAGTAATGATATGTAACAGTGGACTCATCTTGGATAATGATGATGGTCTAAGTAAAAGTTGGGTCAAAGTAATGATATGTTATTAGTGAACTGACTCATCTTGGATAATAATGATAGTCTATGTAAAAGTTGGACCAAAATGAAGTCATGTGAATCCTCCTTATATGCCTTTATGACTTAGTCATGTGATCAAGTATATATCTAATGCTGGTCTGTTGGACCTCAAAACAACTGTTAGTGAGTGTTGCCTAAAATAATTCAGTTATCCTTAAGGTGTAAACAATAAGACCAGTTGATGAGGATTTTTTTTTCTATTTGATGGAAGTTTAGTTAGACATGTTATAAGAAACTGGAGCATGGTGAACTAATAAACTCTATAAAAAAAAATCTATTTTTGATACCATACTCATGATAGTAGTTAACTGTATGAAAACTCCCATCTGTAATTTCACTTTTAATAGAAAGCATTTTAGGATACTCAGTGATGCATGAACAACAGTTAAAACACCCTCTGACACTAGGTAAACTTTTGTAAATACTGGTATAGCCATATGATATTAATAGACTAAAGCTATTTTCTTTGTATTGCGTGATTGTTTTAGTAAGTCAATTATAGTCATGGGATTCATAGTTTATTTTCCTATTTCAGTTGTTGAATTACTTGAAGGAGGTGTTGATGTTTGTAATGCTGATGAAAAGAAAAGAACAGCACTTCATTTTTCTTCTTCTCAAGGCAATGATAAAATAGGTAATATGCAGTTTAATTTTGAAATAAACATTTTTATATTTCACATGAAGATACATTAAACATAGTTGTAGAAAATGTTTTGGTTTTGAATGAAATTAAATGCTCAATTATTAACCATTGTCTTGGGCATAGTGGTAAAAAGTTGGATGGAAATTAGACTTATAAAACAGGGGCGGATCCAGCCATTTATAAAAGGGGGGGTCCCTAACCCAGGATAAAGGGGGGTTCCAACTATATGTCCCCATTCAAATGTATTGATCGTCAAAAAAAAAGGGGGGTTCCAACCCCCAGAACCCCCCCTGGATCCGCCACTGTAAAACTATACATATTAATATTTTGGAATTTTGAATTTAGTAATTCAGTTGTTTACTATAGATGTATTGTAGAAAATCATTATTTTTTCCTTTGAAAAAAAGCATCATTTAATTCAAATATATTATTAACTTGTTCATTTTTCTGTTTAAAAAAACAAAAAATGAAGACTTGTATCTTTTCATTAATTATTGTGATATTGTATTTCCTTCTAGTGAAAGCATTGCTGGACAAAGGTGCCAATCCAAATCTGAAAGATCTACTTGGAAATACACCACTGCATCTAGGTAACTTATTGTAGTTTTAAAGATTTAAAACAAGAAGAGAAGCAAAGGAACATGTCTATACCACAAATTTTAAGCCTGAAGACTTTCAATATGAAAGAATTAATCATCATGAGAGCTACCAAACTTTTACAATGAGAAAACCAGCAAAATTTATTGTATTGTATAAAATCAACATTAGATCTCTGAATGTTACCCCAAGTCCTAGAGTGATATGCAAAGGTCTTTTACATTTTCCAGCAGTTAGGCAATCAACATTTCCTAGAATTTTTGCAAAAATGATATTATGGGGTGTGTTGACTAATCATATGCTGACGCCAAACATACCTTTTGTTCGCTAAAACATGTTTAGATATAAGGAAATGTAGATTATTACTGCTTATAAGGCAGCAACAACCATAAAACAAACATTTTTTTTTTATTGTAAATGGAAGAGAAGGAAATTGTTTTGCTAATAAATATTTTAGATTAAACTAAATCTGTAAAAATTTTTGTTTTGAAATCATATATATATATTTCATCTTTCAGCTGCTTGTACTGGAAAAGTGCCAACAGTTACTCTGCTGCTTAAAGCAGGTATGTAAATTCTCAGAGCATAATAAAATTGATATATTTTAATTTCCTTCTTGGTTTCTCTGCCAAGTCAAATTGTGTTGCAATCAATAAATAAAGAAGAGAGATCTGGACTTGACTTTGCAGGGCAAAATGGTAATACATACCACCATGGGCAAATAATTGCCAGGGGGAATAATTGATCATATTTTATCTGAGGATTCTTAAATAGGAATGTGTTCTTAAAAGACAAATACATAAGCCAAATTTACAGCATTATTGGACCTGAGCCACAAAGTGTCTGGTGTTTTGACTTATTTTTCCCCGTAATAGCATTATCATACTAAGAAATTTGTTGTTTTGCCAACTTTTGATTCAACTTATTTTTGTCAATTGATCATTTAATTTACAAATGCTGTTCATTAGCACACTTGTTTATTTTTCTGTTTTCTTACTTATTACATTGTGAGAAAATGTTGTCATTTATATTTTTATAATTAAAAATGTAAATTAAGTACCGGTACCCGATAATTCAAATAAAGAAAAGGGATTGACGATTCATTATACAGTTTGTTGAATTAGGCATTATAGTAGTTTCTGGTCTTGAATGTATGATTTATTTTCCTAGGTACAGATATAAAGTCAGTAGATAACTTCGGCAGAACTCCTATAACTTTAGCCAAATCAAGGTTGAAGTTCCTTGTAGAAGACAAAACATACTCATCTCAGAGAGTGAAAGATGAAGCTTTAGAGGTACTAATCACTTACACTATTATTTTAATATCGATTATCTTAATTAATAGAATAGGGAAAGCAGTAGGTTCAATAACAATGAATCATAGCTAATACAATAACTAGACAGGAAATTTGTCTTTTTGTTCTATTCATGAAGTCACAAATAGGACTCGATTTAACTTTCCACAAAAATTCAATGAAAACTGGTATATTTCCATTGATTTTTTTGAGACAGGAAATATAGTACAGGTGTTGACAAAAAAGATCTTTTGACGTAAATGTTTTTTATAGCAATTTACATATCTGACTTGAATATTTAGTTTGTCTGCACCTGCACTCTGTTTCCTAGGCCTAAAATTGGTAAAAATTTTGACTATTGTGTCAAATTACGCAAAAAATCTCTGTTTTTAGACTACCGGTATTTAGGATGTAAAAATCAAAGCTGTGACAAAAATAATTCTATTTAACTTTCTTACATATCTTTTCATCAATTTAAAACATTTTTTATCTTGAAAATTTGAACTTAATAATCGAGGCCAAATATGGCCCTTATCAAACTTACTTTTTGTATGTCAGTTTCTTCAAATAAATTTGATGGATTTATGAGTAACTATATATACGGGGCAGTACAAATGTATAAACGTATTAACACTTGTATGCAAATTTGTCCGCCATTACTTAAAGTCAAGCAAGTTGCGATAAAATTTGCCTTCACAATTTAAAACATTTGACTTCATTATCAAAAGTTTATTGTTGCATGACACCAGAAGGTTATTCAAAGACAGATCTAGAGTCTTTTGGAGCAACTTCAGCTAATACCAAAAAGTGTCAATACGTCTCTACATAATTTACATTAAGAAAGTTTATGGATTTCAGCGTTATTTTACCACTTTGTTAACCTTCTCTGACAAAATTCTATAAGAATTGACTGACTTTAACAAGAAGTTTGGTTTTAAAGGAATTAAGAAGTTAAAGTCTGGGGTTCGATAAATGATTTCATAGTAAAAATTTCCATTGCATTTTTATTGTCTGCAAAGATAAGTTTTTGTTCAGTTGAAGAAGACAAATGTTAAAAGGCTTTTTTCAGTTTGCAGAATACTGTTTAATATGATAACACATGACACCCAGACAATCAAATCACATGAGTGAAATTATGTCTGCTTGGAAACAAATTATCATGCATATTTTATGATGTGGATAAAGAAAGAGATATTATAACTGCTTAATTCAAATGAATTGTAAATATTAGCCCTGCATCCACCTCTAACATTGAAATTCAGTAAGCTCTGTGATAAAATATTGACCCTGTATCCACCACTGGCATTGAAATTCATCATGCTCTTTAATCAAATATTTACCCTGTGTGTCTACCGCCACCATTGAAATTCATCAAGTCCTTTGGTAAATTTCTTAGATAAGTACCATTGCATGTTGTTGTCGTTATGGTCACAGGTGTTTATGAACCAATCGTTATGGTCACAGGTGTTTATGAACCAATTTGTTAAAATTATTGTTCAAGACAATTACAGTATTATGCATCACATAGTACATGACATGGGACAATTCACATTTCAGTTTCCAAGTAATTTCATTGTTTTGTCAGTGGTTGGTTTTCTATTGTTTTGTCAGTGGTTGGTTTTCCATTGTTTTGTCAGTGTTTGGTTTTCCATTGTTTTGTCAGTGGTTGCTTTTCTATTGGTTTGTCAGTGGTTGGTTTTCTATTGGTTTGTCAGTGGTTGGTTTTCCATTGTTTTGTCAGTGGTTGGTTTTGTATTGTTTTGTCAGTGGTTGGTTTTGTATTGTTTTGTCAGTGGTTGGTTTTCTATTGTTTTGTCAGTGGTTGGTTTTCAATTGGTTTGTCAGTGGTTGGTTTATTATTGGTTTGTCAGTGGTTGGTTTTCTATTGTTTTGTCAGTGTTGGTTTTCTATTGTATTGTCAGTGGTTGGTTTTCTATTGTTTTGTCAGTGGTTGGTTTTCTATTGTTTTGTCAGTGGTTGGTTTTCCATTGTTTTGTCAGTGGTTGGTTTACTATTGGTTTGTCAGTGGTTGGTTTTCTATTGGTTTGTCAGTGGTTGGTTTTCCATTGTTTTGTCAGTGGTTGGTTTTCTATTGGTTTGTCAGTGGTTGGTTTTCTATTGGTTTGTCAGTGGTTGGTTTTCCATTGTTTTGTCAGTGGTTGGTTTTGTATTGTTTTGTCAGTGGTTGGTTTTGTATTGTTTTGTCAGTGGTTGGTTTTCTATTGTTTTGTCAGTGGTTGGTTTTTCATTGTTTTGTCAGTGGTTGGTTTTCCATTGTTTTGTCAGTGGTTGGTTTTCTATTGTTTTGGATGATGTACTTTTGAAAAAAAATACCCAGATTGTATTAAATTTTGAAACTGTGAATTGTGGATGATATTTGTTTGTTTCTGATGGTATGGCACTATTGATTTTTCTGTAAAATTGATATTTTCCTTCTCATACAAAGTGGAAAAGAATGTATAGCAATTAACCAGTGAGTGATTCTTTAATTTCAGGTAACAGACATGATGAAGACTTTTCTGAATATTTCTGGTCAGACAGAAAATGCTGGACAGTTAGAGGAACTCTGTGATAGACTGAAACAAGTATCAACACGTGAGGATGTCGATCATGTCAACCAGCTTTTGTCAAACTTTGCCAGTCTGGCTATTGAAAAGAATGGCAGTGTAACATGACAGGAGATATAAAATCTCATCTATTTTTCATGTGTCTTTCAATATCCCACAATGGGCAACAGGGTTTCAAAGGATATTGCTATACATAAGGCTATAAGTTATATGTGGTATGAATTAAATTATATGTATTCACATAAAACTATAGAAAAATCATATGGATGATTCAGTTAATGTTTAACAGAGGTGAATACTCATCCTTTTTTTTTTAAATGTTTTGAAAATCTTTTTTAATCTTTTTTTAAATGCAGAAATGAAGAAGAAATTATGTGAACAAATGTCTCAAAATATAAAATGTTAAAATGTTGTCAAATTTTATTCTGGGTTGATTTTAATTGTAATAGTTGTGTAAATACATTTTAGTTACTGTAAATTCAGAAATTATTGCGAGATTTTTTTATTAATGCGAACAATGCGACTTGGAGAGTATCGCAATAATAAGAACTCACATTCTGACATCTCATACATATATTTGTATGCAGATTTTCCTGAAATCGCAATAATTTATCTAGCATTTTTGTCCATTCTTCAAAATTCACAATGATAAATGCACACAATAATTTCTGAATTTACAGTAATGGCTGCCATTTTTAAATACCTCAGAAAAAGGTTATAAGAAACATGAACATTGCATTTGCTTAATACATATATATAAGTAAAATGATTTTTTATCCAACATTTGGATATTACTGATTCTCTGGATATGCAACAGAGAAATGTACCCACAGAAATGTAAAAAAATACAACAATAAATTTGATTAAAAACTGTCATTTTATCTAATTCTTTGAGAATTAAAATATTGCTCATGTTGGCCAAACAATTTCTTTTTTTATAGAAAATTAAGTTTGGAACATTCTAATCATCTGGATCTACATTTTGACTTGACGGTGACCAGCTTGACTTAAGTTGTGCATTTTTGTCCAGGTGAATCTTTTAAAATAATAATATTTAAGGATAGGCATCTTTAATTTTAAAGGGCCATTCTGTGGTGGTTAACCAACAACTTTCTAAAGGTGACAAAAGCACTGATTTACCATCACATGATCTAAATGGTCAGTGTATTTGCAGAAAAAAAGATACATACTAGTGCTGAATTTTCTGCTGCATTTAATTGTGGCAACTATAGTAGTAGCAATCATTTGGCACAATTTTGAAAGAGATATCTAAGAAATGATTTATACCAAAGTTACAAGCTTTTTTTTAAATAGGTTTTTTAAAATTGTCTATAGTACAAAAAGACAAATTATGAAAAAAGAGAACACTTATACTTTGAATAACTCTGATCCCTCAAAAACATAAGGCATACTGGAGTTATTTAGTAGCAAATGTTTTCCTATATTTAAGGATATCAGTCCATTAACACTGAAAAACAAAAATAAAAATTGTTAAAAAGTATATATTATATATTCTTCATACTGTGAAAGTACTTTTCTTCGTGGGTATCAATTTTCGTGGTTTTAGCAAAAGTTACATGTTCGTGGCAGAAAGCTCGACATAGGGATAGTGATCTGGTGGCGGCATTAACTAACTTCTTAAAACTTAATATTTCAGAAGGAAGAAGACCGGGATGCTTATACTTTGTATATAGATGCCTTATGATATGAAGTTTCCGTCTGTCAAATGTCCATTATTTTCATGATTCAGTGACTACTTGAAAAAAAGTTCAGATTTTTTGTACTGTGAATATCTCTCTTATTATGAGTACGGGTAATAGGATAACTATATTTGATATATGCGTACCTTGCAAGGTCCTCATGCCTGTCAGACAGTTTTCACTTGACCTCGACCTCATTTAATGGATCAGTGAACAAGGTTAAGTTTTCGTGGTCAAGTCCATATCTGAGATACTATAAGCAATAGGTCTACTATATTTGGTGTATGTAATGATTGTAAGGTGTACATGTCCAACTGGCAGGTGTCATCTGACCTTGACCTCATTTTCATGGTTCAGTGGTCATAATTTAGTTTTTGTGTTTTGGTCTGTTTTTCTAATACTGTATGCAATAGGTCAGCTGTATTTGGTGTATGGAAATATTTTACGATGTTCATGTCAGTCTGGCAGGTTTTATTTGACCTTGACCTCATTTTCACGGTTCATTGCTCAATGTTAAGTTTTTGTGTTTTGGTCTGTTTTTCTAATACTGTATGCAGTAGGTCAACTATATTTGGTGTATTGAAATATTTTACGATGTACATGTCAGTCTGGTATGTTTTATTTGACCTTGACCTCATTTTCACGGTTCATTGCTAAATGTTAAGTTTTTGTGTTTTGGTCTGTTTTTCTTAAACTAAGCAATAAGTCAACTATATTTGGTGTATGGAATGATTGTAAGGTGTATATGTCTGTCTGGCAGGTATCATCTTACCTTCACCTCATTTTCATGGTTGATTGGTCAATGTTCAGTTTTCCTGATTAACTTTTTTTCTTAGATACCTTAAGCAATAGGTCAACTATATTTGATGCATGGAATGATTTTAAGGTGTACATGTCTGTCTGGCAGGGTTCAAATGACCTTGACTTCATTTTCATGGTTCATTGGTCAGTATAGAATTTCCATGGTTTGGTCTGTTTCTTTTTTACTATAAGCAATAGGTCATCTATATTCTGTGTATGGAGGGATTGTATTAAAGGTGAACATGTATTTCCGGCTTGGTTTATCTGATCAGCCTTGACCTCATTTTCTTGGATCATAAATGTTAATGTGATACTTGTAGTAAAACTTTATATGTAGGACTATCAACATAAAATCAATTGTCAGTATAGTAGGCGAGACATTTCAGCGTGTGCACTCTTGTAATGATTTGTGTACATTTTCACTAACTTGTTCATCTTTCATAACTGCAAACATTCAACTCAGTGGCGGATCCAGAGGGGGGGTTCTGGGGGTTGGAACCCCCCTTTTTTTTGGACGATTAATGCATTTGAATGGGGACATATAGTTGAAACCCCCCCTTTATCCTGGGTTGGGACCCCCCCTATTTAAGATGGCTGGATTCGCCCCTGTAACTATTACATATATTTCAAATAATAATAATTTTCGGAAAAATCTGATTTTATCTATGCTTACTAATTAACCCGAGATCGAATGATCAACAGATTAAGGATCATCAAAGGTGTTAATTGAGCCATAAACATGTTGCTTAAAGAAAACGGTTACATAAACAAATGCTATAAATGTACAAAGTACTTTGAATTGAAGAATTAATTCTTATGAAAAGCAAGCCCAATATGAAATTATTCCATATGAGAATTATGAGGAGATAAAATGAATACTTCATCATTGCATATCATCATGCACCGGAAATCTAACTTTCATTGATCAAAACTAGTTTTTTTCATGAGAATTAAAAGGCTAAACGTTGTACAGTTTATGTTTTTAAAAGATTAGATGGGTAAAATCCTGCCTGAAGTTGAATATATAGTTTATAGTGCGTTTGCAGATATTCAAAGTATTCTCTAGATTATATGCCTGTATCCATGCAGTCAAACCTAATGGGGATTTTTCCATGTCTTGATTTTGACAACAGTTGTTATATTTCTTTGGACACTTGAATTCTTGGATAAAGCCATCCAAGAAAACCACGAAAATTGGTACCACACGAATAAAAGTACTTTCACAGTAGTTTGATATTTACACCTATGCGTAGGCACTATTTTGTTTTAGATATGTACCATTTTCCTGTATGTTCTTTTTGATGGTTGTCTAAATGTTTGCATTGTTTTTGCACTCTTCAGTGTGGTAGTCTGGCTAAATTATGACAGTAAATGTTTGATTTCTTTGGGAGATTTATTTTATTAAAGTTACTCTTACTATGGCTTTGTTCTTCAATTCACAATTGTGGCATGCTTGTCAGTTTGAAAAGTATTTCCCTCAAACCAGTGCTAGGGGCTATCTTAAACTTGCAGTGAGGTGAGAGTTTTTGCTCTGTGTTGAAGGCCTCACTGACTTTGAGACGATGAACAGCTGTAAAAGCACTGTTCCTTTGCTTTTTGTGTTTTTTGCTGTGCATGTACTGATTTTGTGTCATGGACACCCCATATCCTTTCTTTTCTATTATGCATATTGTGTAGACATCTGCCTATTATGTTGACCTCTAGCTGTTTTAAGGTTGCTGTCTTATTGATATATACCCCATGCCTCTTTTCTCTTTTTATTCAAATCAGCTTAATATGATAAATGCTGTCCACATGTCCTGACATCTCCATTTCAGACTATCAAAAACCAACTTTATTGTATTTATAGGATGAAGCACATTAACAATGTTTTGTAGGAAATCTAGATTTCGGTTATAAAGACCTTTAAGCACATTTCCTGACTGGCATAACCAGTAGTAAATGTGTCTTCCCCTGCTAACTGTTAGGTATATTACTCCACACACACTGAAATATAGTTCCCAATACTTCCCATTTAGGTTATATTTTTACAGCTGTATATGTCATCAATTTTAGTCAATTTGCTAGTTTGGACATTGATATACTTCTTCTGGTATACAGTTACAACTTCATAACATTTAAGATTTTGTTCTATTAGCATGTGTGGGGAATGTAAAGAAAAATATATCCAAGAAAAGTGCAAAACAATAATAAAACATTGTAACTATCATTTACCTCAGTCACCTGATCTTATTACACTAATCAATACACAACCATTGAACTTTAAATAAGTAAGATATAGACATACACAACTCTTGACCTCTTGATGTTAAGGAGCAACAATCAATCAATCAATCGATGGTATGTTGAATTCTGTTTCAAATAAGAAAGAAATATAGAGTTGTAGTAACTAAATGGAAGTCAATTTTGTAATGGCTTGTCACCCATAATCTCTCAATTATTAAAGCCAGGATCAAAAGTCATGTACTAGTAGATTGTAAGCCTAAGAAGCCAATGTTACCGAAAAAAAGAAATGCACTTCAATATGAAATGCACTTGGGTTATTTTAAGTTTATTGCAGATTTTATTTTACTTTAGTACACTATTTTCTTGAAAATTTGAAGTCCATTGTTCTGAATGACCTGGAAGCCAATATGTTATGAAACAATTTTTTTATATGAACTTCAAAGATAAATTCAATTCAGTCTTTTAAAAAAAAAAATTTATTTGGTAATTTCTTCAAATTGAAAAAAAACTCAAAACTTGGAACTCTGAACATAATTTGATTAAGATATCAAATAACAATTTAAAGGAAATTGAAAAAAAATGCTGATCTTTCTGAAGAATGGTAGTTTTATACAATAGTGCTATATCTTGTTTATTTTGTTAACCATATTACCTAAATAAAAAACTAAAAAATGCAATTTGAAATAATGAAAACAACTCTTTTAATCTTTTCACATATCATTTTGAGCACTTTGATTGAATTTCATGTCAGATCAAACCTGGACTATAAAGGTACTGACTATGACACTGACAGTATAGCAAGAAAACATAAAAACCAAAATCAAAATACCCCAATAAAGCCTCGAGATGGACTCATGTTGATCCAGAAGAGTAAGAAGTAGCTTCATCTAATTATAACCATATCTAGGTTTTACTCATGTCAAGTTGGGGGAAAGTCAACTCAAGGAAGAGGAAAAGTATTCAGCTGAAGTAATTTTGAAGATGAATTTTCTGTTTCATAGATATAAGAAGATGTGGTATGAGTGCCAATGAGACAACTTTCTATCCAAGTCAAAATTTATAAAAGTAAACCATTATAGGTTAAAGTACGGTCTTCAATACGGAGCCTTGGCTCACACCGAACAGCAAGCTATAAAGGGCCCCAAAAAT